CCGGTGCCGGAGCCGCCAGGACGGGGCGCACAAGGGGACGAGCGCGGCGAGGGCGGCGTCTGACAGACACTGTTGGGGCTGCACAGGGACAAGTCCCCCCGTGACACGAGCTCCGAGCAGCTCCCGTGCAGCCCAGCACTGCACTCGTGTCCCCGTGGGACCCGGCCCCAACGCTCTGGGGCACCGGGGCACCCGAGGCCCTGCACAGAGCTCTGCCCAGCTGCCCCGCTCCCCAGGGAGGTGTCTGCCTCCCTGCCCCAGCTTCTCAGAGGGGACCAAGCTCAGAGGAAGGAGCAGGGCAGAGACGCCCAGCGCCCGCCCTGCCCGGCTCCAGCAGCGCAGCCTGGCGCAATGAGAGCGAGCTCTGTCAGGAGCAGAAGGGTCAGGCCGTGCTCTCATAGTTATCATTTGCAGAGGGAGACAACCATTTTTATCAGATTTGTATAAAAAAAAAACAGCAGAGTTTTCTTCATCTTTTCCTCTTTTTTTTTTTTTTCCAATTTATAAAAAGCTTTTACAAAACAAAAGCGTGTTTTAACACCACATTAAACTTCTGTTCCATCGGGCACATTGTTGTTCACTTTGACTTCTAAGTTCACCTGCTTCACCTTCCCGCCTCTCACATGGGAGGCACCCCCACTTTCCCGCAGGATATTGATATTCCTCACAGTGCAGTATTGGCTGCTCATAGCCCTGGCTCCCTCAGGCAGCTCCACCTTGGTGTTCAGGGGATGCTCCTCCGCGATGCCGCTGGCAGCCTCCTTCCTCTTCCTCAGCCTCCCACACTTCCTGGCCAGGAAGCACATTCCCAAAAGCAGCAGCAGCAGCAGCAAGACGGCAGCGCACGCGCTCCCGAGGGAAGCGCCGCTCTGCAACAAGGAGGCTGCGACAGCCACTTCCTCCACCTCCAAGAGCAGCGACTTCATGTTGGTGCCGTTCTTGAGCTGGTCACCTTCGTTGTCATAGACCAAGGTGTCGTCCAGCAGCCGCCTCCCGTCGCTGTCGGCCAAGTCCCTGCGGCCACGTTTCCAGCTGCGAGTGAGCGATCGCTGAACGCGAGGCCCCGCTGCGCTCTCGGGGCCAATTACGTAGATGACTTGAAGGTACCACTGATGCCCAGCTTCCACCTGGAAGAATGAGAACATAGGGACATGTGAAATTTTACCGACATGTTTTAGATAAAGCTAAAGCTTTATCTAAACCAAGCTTTACCTTGGTTTAAGGTAAAGTTCGATAGAGTTGGTTGCACTTTCTGGAGCAGCTTTTTGGCTTGACCGATTATCAATACAAACACTCCCAATGCTTCCACAACACCTGCAATATTTATCACCCATCATGATGTTCACTCTTCCTGACTATCTTTGCCAGCTGTAAAAAATCCTTCAGAAAAAATAAGGAGATGCTTCTAAAGAGCTGCCTGTCTTCATGCTTTGAGAAGGTCCTTTTTCAAAACAGCTTAAAACCAGGGCAATTCTTCATCTCCATGTTCTGTACTGGAGAGTTTGCTGCTTATTCTAATTACATTAACATTTGTCCTTTCTGGGCAACGTCAGATCCCAGAGCCTATGTAATTCACAGACCATCTGGGGCAATGCAGACACCGGGGTTAATTTCTGGCTCCCCACATCCCGTGCCACCAACCTTGTAGAGAGCGTCCACCTTGAGGGTGAATCCGTCCACTCCAGGCATGCTGCTCACTGACTGAAACGCTGATAATTCTGAAGCAAAGTGGGCATCAAAAGGGACATCGTGGAAGTACTTGTCAGTCACTTCTGGTTGGTTTCGGTCCTGCAAGGCAGAGAGGCTTTGAGAGCAGCAACGCGCGCAACCAGCGACATGTCCGCAGCACGCGGACCTTCGGGGGGGCATCAGTGCCAGGACAAAGCAGAGCGCCCCTCAAGCCAAAGACACCCTTCAAACACATCCTCTCCAGCCCAGAAACCCAGTCTGATGTCAACCCTAATGAATGTGGGATGCATTCCTAAGGGAAACCACAAGCCAGCTCCCCCCACACTACCCATTACTCCAACAGCCCAGGACAAAAGGTAGTGTAAGATGCCCTAGAAGGGCCTCAGTCACATGGGCATGCACATTCTCCCCTATCCCCCATATAGACACGTACATTTGTGGGCTACAGCACAGAAAATATTTACAACCTGTGGGAGTTGTAATCCCTGCATACTCACTGAGCACTAATCATTTCAATAGGAGGTTTGTTGAACCAAGCATGAGCAGAAAAGATTCACCATGAGCGTGTTCATGTCTGGCAGCCCTACGGGACTAAAGCCATTCGTGTCACTTCTGTCCCCAGGCGGTTGGTTGTGTGGCTGCCAGCGAGGACACTGGCACGTGCTAAGTTCTAAGCAGGTCATTAGAGCTAATGCGTCTTGGGAGCTAAGCACAGCTTTACACAAGGAAGAGGAATGTCTGAGGAAGTGAGAAATGAATCTGCTTTTCTATGCTGCCAGCATGGTTGTGCCCATGCCACGGTATCAACAGAAAAACAGGGAATTTTACAAGTCTGCTCCATCATTTCTTTTTTTCTTTTCCTCCACATCTCTTTATCCTTTAGACTAAGAAATACGCATGGGTAAGGACAGCCCAAATCTTACCAAGAGGAGAAATCTGTGCTTGAGGTGCTTGTTGGGCTGAATGCAGCCGTATTGGGGGCCCTCGTTATAGACACTTCCCGTGGGGTCAAAGAAAGGCACGTGCCCATCCTTGCCGGTACAAAGGTAGACCTTCTCCAGCTGTAGCTTGTAAGCAGCATTCAGGTTTTGTTCAGGGTGCCAGAGCACGCGGCCATACAGGATTTGACCTGAAGAAGTTGGGAGAAGACGGCTCAGCTGAAATTCTCCAAATGATATCAGGGAGGAGAAGAAATAAATTCAGCAGGAGAACTATTTCCAGGGTCAAACACATCAAGGAGAAATGGATCTTATTTTCGATAGGTTTTCATTTGCATGTGTAGATGACAGAATATTGTGGCAAAAACACAGTCCTGTTTTGTCTGCAGCTCATGTGAAACCGACCCATGTCAGCCTTAAAATGTTACAGGCTGCTGTAAAAGAGGCAAAACCAAACGGGCCTTTTGCCATTCTCTGTCTGTCACAGAAGCCAAGTGCCAAGTGAGGAAGACAGAAGCCTTAGATACAAGCGGCACAGGAAAGAAACAAATCCTACCTTTGGAAAAAGCCCCCTTGTAATCCATTTCTGCCACGGACAGTTCGGCTTTGGTGGGATCCATCAAAAACACTTTCTCGTTGTTACAGAGCTGAAACTCAGTGTTCAGGGAGTAGACAACAGGGACAGGGCGGTTTGTCTGCTGGAAGGCAATAGGGATCAAAAATCTAAAATGGGGACAAGAAGGGAAAAAGGAGAGACTGAGTGAGGGCTGCTCCAAAGTTACCCGCTGGGGAGCCGTACACTCCCTTGCCCTCTCCTCCCTCCCGCTTTATCCCGGGCAGCCCAGCAGCCCACACTCCCGCACGGGGCTGCAGGGCAGCCATGCCGACTGCTGGTCCTCACCCTGTCCCCTTGCCCAGGGAGGGCACAGGGCCCCGCGCAGCTGCTCTCGCCCGCAGGGGCTGCGGGGCCCCTTCCCTCTCGGCGCACACCGTGGCGCCGCGGGGCCGAGCGCCCTCTCACCGTTCAGGAGCGTGAGCTGTGCAGGCCGGGCGCTTGTCCCCGCGCTCCGTCCACGGCTGGGTGGGCTGCACGGTGCAGGGGATGAGGAAGATCGTGTACTCTCCAGAGTAGTCCTTCCTGCAAAGGGGCGGCAGGCACCGCGCTCACCCAATCCACTCCGCGCTCTGCACCCAGCTCCAGCGCTCACCCAAGCCCTGCCCTTTGGCAGCGAGCGCGAGCAGGGGAGACCGAGTGCAGAGCAGGACCTAGCCCGCACCAGTGTCCTCCATTTACCCCAGCACGTGCAAGAGGCTGCTATTTGGCGCACGGGCCTTAATTCGGCCTCTGCTTCTGCAGGGGCATACATGGAAAAAGGACTAAAGTAACAAAAAAGGCTGTGTTTCTTTCAGGTCAACCAAATCTCCCCAGTGTTTAACATAACCACTTCTACTGAGCACAGCACTAAAGATCACTAAAGTCACACAGAGGAAATTCTGTTTTAATTTGCAGACTGCAAAACAACTGTAGACATGGGGTCACCCCTGGAATCTACCGAGACACTGTTGCCATGCCTAGAAAAGGGCATTTTACAGGGTGGACTCATTTTTTTTTTCTACTTCTGCACTGGACTGAGGCTAAGGTGACATTCAGCTGCTGAAGGGCAGGGGCAACAAGGACCAAATGTCACCAGGCGCGATTCAGTAGAGCCACGTGTGCACAGACTGGTGGCAATTACCCCAGCAGCCCCAGCTACGCTGGGGAGCAGAGGAAGGGGCTGTGGGCAGGAAGGGGTCCTGCAGTGCTGCTGGCCAAGCTCTCCCCGCTCCCCTAGACCGAGGGTTGCAGGAAGGTCCCGCAGGCACGTGAACCTGCTCTGCTCACCTGTTATAGGAGCTGGTGGCTCTCCAGAGCTGGTAGGGTGAGTCAAAGGTCTGGGCGCTCCACAGCAGCTGCAGGTCAAACTCGATGCCTCCCAGGTGCTCTGGTGGCTTTAGGAAAGACTTCACATCTGGCAGGCTGTGGTGCTCCATTACAAAAAGCCCTGCCAGGAGGACAGGGGATCCCTCAGGGATTTGCCCTCGTGCTGCTCTGCACCTCCGTGCTGCTCCAATCACCTATTTAAAGCAGGAGTTGGGGCTCATGCATGGGAGAGGGCAGCAACGGGCATGCAGCTGGCCTGATCCTGCCCAGAATAACAGACCATAGTGAATTCAGTCCATATACGAGTTACTTGTTAGGTTAAGGCTCTGAATCTAGCAGGTAATGAAAATTATTAAACCCTAAGCAGCCAGGGGTCGTGAGGTGCTGAGCTAAGCATCTGGTTAAATTGTTAGATTAGGCATAAGCACGTTAGGAGGCTTGGTATTAGCATGAAATGTGCATATGCTCCTTCTTTGGAATGTAAGAGAGTTTGTCCTAACTGCACAACCAGAGCAATGAGCCACGGAACGAATCTACACCTTCGGTTTGCCACGCCAGCAAGCCAAGTGAGAAAGAGATTTGAACATAGGGGATGCTGGCATATGAGGTTCATGTATGAGCAGCAAGATGAACTCAAAGCACAAGGCCAACACTGCTGGCTATAAATCTAGGTGCTCCTTCTCTCCATCAGGACTTATACTCTTACCTCTGAACTTGGCCTGTGTCTTGAACTCGATCACCAGGCGGCCGTCCTCGCGGATGTAGATCCTGATGATCTGCAGGCGGGCCGAGAGCACGCTGTCCGTCTGAATGCCTGCACGTGCAGCAAGAACAGAGGAGAGCGGGCCCTAAAGCGAGCTCTGGGTGTCAGTCCCAGCACAGGAGAGGAGCCACACAGGGTTTTTAACAGATACGGGTTGCTACGGGAAGGAGGTCTCCCGATGAGGGTTGGGCGGCTGAGGGACATGACTGTAGCTCCCACAAGGGAATCGCTGGAAAGTGATGGAGATGAAACTCCAAATGTGCCAAAGGGAGCAGAGCGGCCTCCGCTTGGCCGTGGTGCATTAGGGGACATCACGGGCCTCTTCCTGCAGTGCTTTCTAGCACCTAGTGATCATTTGGACGAAAAGGGAGAGCCTGCAACAGCTCCCTTGCTAAGTATTCCCAACTGCTGCCTTATCTGGATTCAGTCTGCACACTATTTACTTTGAGCATGATCCATGCTCAGGACTGCAGCTAAAAACTAAGAAAATCAAGAATAAAATGACTTCCCCAGCCACCCACAAATACCTCACACCTACCTGTTCTCCAGAGAACAGTATCATAGAAGAAGGAGAACTCCATCTCGGTGTGATGCTCCAGAGATGCCCAGCCTCGCGGTGCCGTCACATAAACGTAGGACACGTAGAGCGGGACGTGCACCGTTAGGAAGGACTGAGCAGAGTCCCGCACCTGCCGGTACAGCCCCCAAGGGTGGTTACGCACGGGCTAGCGGGGAGACACTGGCTCACTCCTGCAGCACCCACCGTGCTCAGCTTCTGCTCTGGGAAGTCTCCTTGCTCCCGGTTTGCCGGCACTCCATGCCGTGTGTGCGCCTCCCAGGGTGGGCACAGAGTTAAGTCAGCCCTCCTGGTTCAGGTGCAACTTTCCCAAAGATGGAAGAAATCCAGAGCTGCACAGCTTGGAATCTGCTAAAAAGCGCCCGCATCTTTCTAGACCCACTAATACATGGGTGTAAATACAGGTCATGGGCATCAATGAAGACAGTCGCTCTGTGGCGCATTTAAAAAAAAAAAAAAGAAAAGAAAAAGCTATCACTGGATTTCTATTTGAAAAACTATCATGAGAAACTGTTTGGGAAAAAAAAGTGGGTTTGCAAATACAGAGTGCCCCTCACAGGCTACAAAATCCCTCCAAGAAGTCAGAGATGACCGTGTGAACTCTCTTGACCTTTGTGTGTAGGCACTTTGGACAATCATATGGTTTAAATGAGTGTATCTCTCTCCTAATGTTAAAGCGTGTTGTTATTAAAACCCAGAACAAATGGTGATGTGACCACAGTTTCACCTCTGAAACAAACAAAAACCCTTCTAATTCTAGTTATAACTACACCAACCAGACAAACAAACTAAATCTGGCTTGCTCAGAAGTGCCTCTAATAGCCTGTGCAACAGCAGAGTCTCATGCATGAATATGCCCCATTTCTAGTCTGCAGAAGGCAGCTCTACTCTGCTAGCCCCTCGCAGAGCCCAGAGAGATGCACTCCAGCCTGGTTGGTGCCAGCCTCCACGAGCCCAATTATGTAGATATTCAGTTCAAGTACCTACTCTGCATCTGTGCAGCCAACTAGAGCTATAAAAGGAAAGGCAAAGTCTTGTTCCATGCTGGCTCAAATTAAGAGAGATCATGCTGGGTGTAGCATTCTGCCTGGGAATTTACTGTATGAGTCTAACATGGGGAAGATATTCCGTGAGTGAGATTGCACATGTATAATCTGTCCATAAGAGGGCAGTGGGACATCCCAAAACAGGGAACCACGCACAGCAGCTTTGCCCGAGAATGGACAAGGACCTGGGTTAGGTGGAAGAGCTTCAGATACGTTATCTTACCTGGAAGTCAGCAGTGACAGAGCCTCCACAGATGTCTATTAACTCGGTCATGTCATAGTAAGCGTCAAAGGTCCAAATGCAGCTCTTGAGGTTGAGGTGTTTGTAGAGCTGGATCGTCTTTGGCTCTCTCACCGTGGGGTCAAACTGGTAAGGACGGTCATAACCAGGACCAAGGACGATACTATCCTGAGTAACTTCATCCAGGAATCCTGCCTCTGGGATCAAGAGATATCAGGGAATTTAATCAGTCTGGATTTTCAACAGCCTGAAGCTGTCTTCACTCTCAAATCTGGTCAGTGCCTTTTATTGTACTAGGGCTTAATGGCTCCTAGAGGTCAAACTGGGCACATACCAGTCTTTATGAGTAAAAATGTTACAGGAATGGGGCAGCAAACACACATGGATCTATTCATTACAGGTTAAACTTAAAAAAAATGCAAGACAACTTGGGTCTACAATGAACAGGGTGAGGTAAAACAGTCCCTGTCTACTGTGAGGAAACTCTGCTTAGTTAGTAGAGGAAAATGATTTTTTTTTTAATGTAATATCAAAAGTGCCCAGAGGAAGACAGACACCTCTGCATTTCTTCTCTGGCTTCTCCAAACCTCCAAATTCAGTGAGCAATAGTAGGCTTTAAAGATTACCTGAGATGCCTTTAAGGTCCCTGATGGTGACCAGGTTTGAGCAGACATGCTGGTGCCTGTAGATAGACTCGGAGAGCAGGAAATGCAGATTGTGCAGCGGTAGGGTGGAGATGAGGGGCAGCATGCCATCCTGATGAGGAATCTGCACTGAGATGTGGATCCTGGAACACAGGATAAGGGCAGATAAGAGGGCAGAAAAAGAAGACCTGGCAGGTACAAGAGCCTCATACCCCACCACATGCCACAAGGAAGCAGGGCAGGGACATGGGCAGGGGAATAGATGGTCTGGTATTGAGTCACAGCTGGATTTCCTTGCCTATGTATCTGCTCCTCAAACCACTTCTCCAACTGCCTGGTTGTTTCCTGCGAGGATGAGCAACCCTGGGGTGGAGTGGGGTGAGAGGCAGTGAGCGCGAGCGCGGCCCTGACCACCCTGTGTGGAGGGATGTGGTTTCGGACGTGCACTCTCCTCACCACCCGGGCCAGCTCTGTAATCCCTAGGGGCTCCAGGGAGGACCGCGCGTGCGCCCTGCTCCCAGCTCATACCTATTGGGATGTTCCTTGTGTTTGACGTCCAGGTACTTCAGAGTGGCAATGAACGACTGTGCCTGGAAACCTCGGGCTGTTCCCGCTACCACTGGGGTGTGACAGATGGCACTGTCTGTCCCTATGGTAACTATGTTGCTTCTGAGGGGGGTCCCCACATGGCCAGCCTTGTCCACTGCCTTGGCCACACAGCGCACGTGGAACCGCCGGCTGAAATAAATGCTGTCCAGCACCTGCAGGCAATGAGGAGAGACAAACACAGATGGGGGTCACCAGCACCTTCACAGTGACATCCAATGCTCTCCCACAAAGCTCCCTGAGCTGCCCCAAGCCCTCATGTGCTCTTGTAACCTCTCCACGCCAGGCTGTAATCACTTACCATATGGTTGACGCTCGTGAACGGTGTGTTGTCAGTGATGGTTTCAAAGGGTGACCTGGCCCCGTTGCTGTCTGTAGGGGCTGCTACCTCCCAGCTGAACTGGACTGACGACTGATTGATGCCAGCCTCGCTGCAGCGTTCCTTCATGACCGCGTACTTGGGGAAGCGCGGGTCACACGGAGTGACGCAGATGAGCGGATAGCCTGGGGAAGGGGATTTCTTAGCACCCTCTTTGGTCGCTCCTTCCACATTGTCATAGTCAGCCAGGGTGACGACCTGCAAGGATGCGGGACAACAGTGTTCGATGGGGGTCAGGGAAAGAGCCGCAAAGGCAACTCTTCCTCCCACACGCTCCCAGCCTGCCACAATACTGCACCTCGAAACTGCATTTCAGAAACCTCACTGGGGTTTTCAGTCTGTACTCAAAGGCCTAAATCACAGTCACAGCAACAGGGAACTTACCACAGGAGGTGCCGGAAGAATCAGGCTCCCCGTTGCTTCCTGATCCAAAATAGTCACTATTGCAGTGCTGGTATCTCCGAGAACAGCGTCCACTGGGTCATCTGGGCCCAGCACCAGTGAGAAAGACTCATGCCATTCCCGGTCATCATTGGACATGATCTCCACCTTAAAGATGATGTGGTTCATACCTGTCAGTGTGTGTAAGAGAAACAGAAAGAACTCAATTCATCACACTGACAAACCAGACACTGCTCTAAAGCTGCCACTGAATACTGAGCAGCTTGGCTAGGTCGTGACCACAGAAAAATTATGATAAAGTATGCATTATGATTTTTATTTCCATTAATTTCCACTAATAATTAACCTCCGCTTCCTCATAGGAATCTACTCTATACATAAAACTCCAGCTATGACAACTAATTCGACTGATTGGGTAATAGATTTACTAGCAGGTGCGCCATCACAGGCTTAACAATGCCTGATTTATATTAGCTGTCTGTAATAAAAATCTGCAGTCCAAATTATGTCCTGCTGTGAGCATCTCTGCTCTGACTCTCAGGCCAGTATGCAGAGCTCCTTGGTGAGGGCTTCTGAGTCTCAGTGACGTGGTCTGAGCCACCTTACAGGATCCTGAAACAATCTCCGATGACGATGATGATGTTCCCTGTGGACCGCTTTACCTAGCAGACACTAGTGCTTCTTCCTCTGTTCTTATCATCCTTCTTGTAATAGCTCAGCTCTTTCATATCACAAAATTATAGCTGTAGCCAAGTGCAGGGCTGTAGCCCAGGGGAGTCACATTAACTTTAAAGATGAGCACATGGTGGGTAGCCTTATGTAGTATATTTAAAATATATTACTAAGAATCTCCTCCAAAAAACACTCTGAAGGAAGAAAAGAAAGGCTCTTCTCATCCAGGACAGGCATTGTAAAGGGATGAACTGTGGTACCCAAGAGAAAACATGGCAAGATTTGGGATGGCCTTCCAGCCTTTTCAAGGGACATGAACCCCTGTGAGCAGCCTCCACCGTCTTTCTTTAGCCTTAGACAATGACAGCCTGCTCAGCCACTCCATGAGGAGCAGTCAGACCTCACACAAAAAATGGTCTTGTCTGAATCTCCTGCATATTTCTCCTTGTTGTTTCCTTTCCCACATGCGAAGAACATCACATCACCGCCTCGAACCTCCCCTCTAGGGATCCTTTACCTGGGCTGAACTTGAGCACTTGACTCCTGGGGTAGTAATCCACTCCCGCCTGAGCTGAGCCATCACGGGTGCTGCAGCGGACTTTGGAGGTCCTGTTCTGATCCCCTCTCCGAACCACCTTGATATTTAAAACTGCAACACCTTCTGGGCCGGGTGGTTCCCGCACTTGGTATGAAGTTTCTTCAAACTCAATGGTGGGTGCTAAAGAAGCAGCAGTGAAGAAAAAGCCCCAGGTTGACACCATAGCTCATTGCTTACAGCTGGAAGTATACTGTCCTCCAGAAGCTACTGTTCCCCTTCCTCCCCACAGCTCTCTCCAGGTTGTGGCCAAAGGGAACACAACAGTCCCCAGAGGAGGCACAGCAGCTCCCTGTGTGACTGCACTGCTAGGGAGATGGGACAAATGAGTGCATGCAAGCCCTGTTTATTCAATGTCTTCTGCAACATCAGTACACAAAGTGCCCCCCCGATGACCACGTGATGGTCCTGCTCATAAACCAGGGGGTCTGCAGCACACAGGTAAGTATTTCTGTGAGAATGAATCCAAAGTTGTTCATACAACTGAAGACATTTCTTTTGCACTGAATTAAACTGTCTATAGGACTGTGCTGACTATTTGGTACTACATCCTGCACTGCAGCTCCTACATCTGTTTTGCGCCTCCTCACTTACCATCTTCATCATTGGTGACAGTTACAGTTGCCATAGCCATCTTTCCAATCCTAGCTCCACTCCAATGGTTTCCAAGTGGGCTACCAAGATGGACCTGGAACTGCTCTTCTGGTTCAAAGGCAGAGTCATCGCTGATGTAAACTGTGCAGTTCTTCACCTAGCACGAAAGAGAAAGCAGGAAACGTTCATAAATCTCGTGAACCCATTAAAAGACCGGACTGCTTCCTCACCATCTGAGTACTGCCAACCCTGGAAGATGTACTCTTCTATTTTTAAAGCTATTTCCTCTGGTGGGAAAATCAGCACAATTACATGATGAGACACAGCAGTGAAGAAGACATCTACCTCCACAAATCAACAGCTCCCTGCTACAACACTCCTTAGTCCTACTGACATAGAGGATTTTTTTAAAAAAAATGTTTTAACCAGCCTCATCACAAACAAAGACTCCCTCCGGAGGCTTGTCATATATCCAGAGCCAGAGGACTTGTGATTTAAAGCCTTTATGGAACGAGCTCTGGAGAGAGGCAATGAGGAGGTCTCCCATCCACGGCTCTTCTTTCTCCGTATCAGATGGGTTCAACTCACCTTCTCCCCTTTCAGAAAGGTGATGCGGGACTCCTCTGCATCTCTCCTCTCTGCAAAGTCCTCCACGACCTCTGCTGTCTGGCTCTGGGTGTAGCACCTGACAGAAGACTCATAGCTGAGGTCCCCCACACGGAAGATAGGGATGTGCAGGGCACCCTCCTTCTCCTTCACTGTGTACACATCCTTGCTGAACTGCATACTGGGCACTGCAGGAGGCAAGAAGAGTTAAGCAGTGATGAGTTCCCATGAGAGAGACAAGCTAATGGAGGCATGTAAACTCTTGGAAAATGGTTGCATGGAGTTTGACAGCTGGAGAATGAAATGACCTCTTCATTGTGCCTTGGGAAAGGATTTAGCTTTAAAAAAAACAGGGGCCTTTATTATCATTAGCCCTCCATGGATAACAGGACTCACAGACCCTGCTGTCCCTCAGAAAGGACATGGTATTTGTCTTAATCACCTACTCCAAAGGCTGCTGAAACTCATTTCTGCGCTAACATTTCAGTGCTGCTCCAGTGTGCTGGAAAACAAGACCGCCTGGAAGCGTGGGGTGGCGAGTTTGTGAGGCATGTCAGGAAGGGATTATGTGAGTACCGAAATAGGTGCTTGGTCCCAAAGCATTATGCCACTGTCCGTGGACAGGCATAAAATAAGTGGTTTGCAGCAAGGAAGACACACTGCAACAGCAGATGAAAAGGCAGAAGTGGCTACATTCTACTACAGAGTTAGATTATGCAGGTGGTCTGCTCCCCAGGCAAGCAAATATGAGAGAAATTAAAACATACGGGACAGGAAACCTACTCCGAAACATTCTCACATGGTAGGGGAGAATCCAGCCCATGGGGAGCATGAGGGAGGGCTGAGCTCTAAGCAGAGGAGACAGCCTGCCTAAAAGCGAGGGGATCCTACTGGATAATTCACTGTGCAAAGACTCGGTGCTCTTGTGGACAATGATGCATGGCAAGATCAGGGTAGCCAAACAGAACAAGAAGATCAAGGGTAACTTCACTTGGACAAGTCTCCTGAAGAAATGTAGAAGGTGAGGCTAGGATGGACCAGAGAGAGGTGCCATAGAGAGCTTACCATCTTGGAAGATGTCATTAATGGCCACTATTGCTTGGAAAGGCTCTGTCAGCTCAGCCCCATGGGGTGAGCTGAGATATACAACAAATGTTTCCAGCCCTTCTATCACCGGATCCTGAGCATCATCCAGGATTGTCAGAGTGCAGGACTGAAAGGAAAGCAAAAACCCCACATTTAGAAATGCAACCTTCAAACCCACATTCAAACCCACATTTAGAAACTCAGCCTTCTGTGATCCCTGGCACTCACATTTGGATATCCCATTCAGGCCTTTTCTACTTTCATTAACCAATGATTGCTCTTCTGGAAATAACATTCCAGATCACCAGGCACATCACTCAGGGAACGGGCAGCCCCCTTTACCCTGGGAGAGATGTTCTCAGCGGGTCCAGCTGGAGCACTGCGCTGATGCGCATCTCTGCCTCTCAGATTCATTAACACTACCCACACAGCACCCTAGTGCTTCCCCTCCTTTAAGGCTGTTACAAGCAGCAGTGCCTGGCATACAGTAAGCACGTATTAATCCTCAGCTTCACTTTATGCACCCTCTCCTCATATATCATTCCCCATCCCCATCTCTCATGTTTAGGAATGCAGAAAGACCATTAAATGCACAGGTGGTGTGAGATACCTAAACATGGAGCAGAAGCCAAGACTTCACTGCTATACCAGCTGTTAAAAATCCACTGTCCCAGTCTCTTGATGCTGGAACCATGTCTTTCAAGATCTGCTATCAACCATTTAATCCACGCTGAGCTGTGTCATCAGTCTGGGTCATCAAACCAAGCAGACCCATCATCAACCAAAGGTGCTTCTTACCTCTTGTGTCCTGCCTGGTCTGAACTCTATTTTCCTGGAGCTGGGGACATAGTCGGTTCCAGGGCTCGCAGACGGAGGGTCTGAGGTCCGAGTGGCACACCACACAGAGACAGGGGTGGACAGATCAGGTCCCTGCCGGAGGACTGGAATTTCAATGTTTCCTGCATCACCAGTTACACACAAGAGAACCAAGATCAGAAGGCAGCCAGACACCACAAAACTACCTCCTCTCCCTTTGCTTGGCCCCTCTCCCTTTGTCACCACCCCTGCACTGAGCACGGATCATTGCAGAGAACAACCTCCGGCCCTCCCTCGGGGGCACAACAAAGAGCATCAACCTGCCAGGAATCTTTTATGCCACACTGCAGTGCCCCAGACTGCTCTTCCTGATGCCCCATGCTGCTGAAAAGCCATGTGCACAGGCAGCCCGCTCAACACTGAGCAGCGGCCCCCGGGGGAGCCCCGCTGCTTTTCACCTGCCGCCTCGCTCACGGTGAAAGAGGCATTTCCCAGGAACACGGTGGAGGCGTCGTTGGGACCAGCGATGAAGACGCTGGCTGAAGCCAGGCTTCCAACGCGGGCGTTGTCGGAAGCATCAGTCAGTACGATCTCAAATTCCTCCTCCTCTTCGTATTCGCTGTCGTCGATCAGCGTGACGTCGCATGTTGCCACGGTGACACCTGGCCCCAAAACAACGCGGCTGTCGTCTGTCATCCCTCGGGACTTGAAGTCGGAGCCAGACTCCAGCATATAGAGGCTACTTCCCTTGGCTGATTTGGGGACCGTGTAACATATGGCAGACACAGTGCTGCTGGTGTCCCCTAAAATGAAACAGAAAAACATGTAACTCTATGCAAATTCTTTTACTTCATTTGCCAGACTATATTACATTAACATTATTAAGTTAGACATTATTCATTTAAATAATGAAAAGAAATATTTTTTACTATCCTACCCATGTGTTCAAAGAACGCAGGATACATTTAATCCTAACCACTTCTGTTACCTATAAAGTACAGAATTAAAAGTCAAGCTCTAAGCAGCCGCAAGCACTTCTCAGGACACTGGCAAGTCCTGTGCTTGTCACCTGTCACCTTCCTGGCGGCTACAGTCTCCAGGACTTCCCACCCACCCTCTGCAGCTGGGCACAGGCTCAGCACATCATCCCCAAGGTGCTCAGTGCTTGTGGAGTCGCTTTCCTTCCCATGCCGCAGAGCCCCGCGGGAGCGGAGACGGTTGCTGCGTGTGGCTCGACCCACCTTTCCTTTCAACAGGAGCGGACAGAAGGCCGGCGCTCTCGCTCACGTGGTACACCTTCCTGTCGAACTGCAGCGTGGGCTCGTCCTCGGCGTCCCTGATGAAGACCGTGGCCCGGGTGATGCTCCCCAGCAAGGCGTAGGTGGCCATGCTGAGCTCCACGGTAAAGCTCTCCGTGCTCTCAAAGACGTCGTCGTCATTAATGACAATGGTGCAGGCCTTGGTGTCCTCCCGCTCCTCAAACTGCACCTGGGAAGTGGAAAGCAGCGCTGTCACCGGCAAACTGCGCTTTCTGGATCTGAATTTTTTGTCCTTCCTGCCTCCCTTCCCCTCCACATCCTGCGCAGGGAGCAGTGTCAAACAAAAACTCAAGCCCAGGATAAAGGACAATTGACAATGGAAGGCAACAGCTGCAGTGGCTGGGCCTCTACCCCTCCTCATTTCAGTTATGCTTTCAGCCTTCCGCGGGGCTCTGGGAGGCAATCCTACCTAGGCAAGCCTGCAACGCTATCAAAACAAGTCTATTAAAGTATTACCCAAAGGGAATCTGGCAATATTAAATCTTGATTAAAAAAAAAAAAAAAAAAGAAAAAGGATTCTTCCTGAAAGAAATAAAACAGTCTTTTGGAAATTAAATATCTATTAAGGGTGACTCTAATGGAAGAAATGTCTGGGGATGGATTAAAAACCTGGTAAATACTTGTGCCACTTCCACCTGCCGCTAGTTTCCCCGTGGGCTCTGCCCTCCCGGCTCCGCCGTCGCTCCAGCCTCGCAGGCAGGTGCCCAGCAGCCCTGGCTGCTCGCAGCGTTCCCGACCCACCTGGCCTGCGTACTCCACGTAGTCCTGCTCGCCGGGCTGGGAGCCGGCGCCGGAGGCGGCCGTGCCGCGCTCGGTGCGGCACAGCACGATGGCGTACTGGTGGAGGTTCCCCACGCGCCGTATGGGGACGCTCACGGAGCCTGCGCTCTCGCTGACGTTGTAGCTGGAAACACATTAAAGCCACACGAACACCAGGCACTGCTTAGCGGACCATGTCACCAGCTGATGGCACTGACATGTTACAGGGAATGTAAGGGTTATGACCTTCACTCTGGGGAGCAAACTCCATGTGTTAATACTAATACTGATCTCAAGCTGATTGATGTCTCTACAGAAGGCCCAGGGGACACTGGGCCAAGACACAACGACAGTCTGACACTGATAACCAAGACACAAAAGGTAGTCTCCAAACCAGGGACTTGAGCAGATGTCAGCTACTCGGCAAACCTGCTCCGCGGTTTAACCCAGCAGACACTTCTCCTCACTCACACGCGCATGAATTCCCTCTTCCATAGTGGCTGCTAACGGCCCTTCCACAGTTCTAGAAGTCAACAGTGGGACTGGCGCATGTCCCACAGCAGTGAGACCTCAGGTCTGACAGTGTGAAACAGCCATAAACGATGGTGACTGTCCAAGAAACATCATTGCATGCTGCAAGTCCACCACATATGGACTGGACTACAGAGCTCATGGACTCATGGACTACAGACTCATGGACCACATATGGACTACAGAGTCAACCTGCCTTGCTCTGAGTCACAGCCCATCTGTCTGAAGGATACCGTGAACCCCACGGCACTTACCTGGTTTGTGTAAAGCTGATGAGAGACCACCGGACATGGAAGACATTGCCACTGACCACATTGGGCTTGCTGTCCTTCACTAGGAACTGAAAGCTGTCCATGGTCTCCTGAACCTTCTCGTCGTGCATCACGTACCGAACGAGGCCATGGTTCACATCCTCTGTTAGGAGATGTCCAATGAGTTAACCCAGAAATTCAGCTCCAGTTTTAGAGATAAGTGTTGCACATGCAGGCATGCAAATAGCTGCACAGTATGGGTCCTGTACATGCCCTTTATGCTGCTGGAGCTTTCCTAGTTACCATGGTCTTCTCTGTGACAGAAGCCAGCCTACAAGCTGTGCCAGATTACTCCTTTAACCACTCTTCAGCTGTAATGCCTCATACTTAAAGTAAACTTGAAGTAGCTCTGGTCAAATATATGGAAGCACATATTTCAGCACTGGCCCATAAACTCTTATAAACTCCATTTCCCTGCTGAGATGTTTAGAACTCTCTCTTTTTCTGTAGTGTAAAGTAATTTTCCTAAGCTCCACACCCCAAGTAATAGGTCTCTTTCCTTCTTTTTAGATTCACTTACTGAGGCCAAGGGAAGCCAGGCTTGTTGGCAAAGGCCTCATGAGACAGGACAAGACACAAGCTATCCCAATAAACTTGGGCAACCAAAGGGAAAAAGTAAATGCAGCCCAGTTTCCATACCCTGAGTGAAGGTGGTCACAACTGTCCCGGGTTGCAGCTTGCTGTCCAAATAACCATGTCTGGGACCGCTTGTTATCTCATAGATGAGTTGTTTGTCATCTGTGTCAGGATCTGTTGTCAGTAATTCCTTCTTAGTGATGACATTGGTTGCCTGGATTAAAGCCAAAGCGACGGAGTCAACTCTGGAGATCCATCAGTGCAAGTGTGACTGCCTGCCCATCCAAACAGCCCAACCATCCACCATCCCTCTATCAAACAGAGCTCCATGAGAGAAAAGCTCAGGATGCAGTTTAAGAGTACTGGCCATAAAGAGTAGCCTTGAACAAAGAGAGGCTGTAGAGCTCTAGTCATGTCCCACATGATACTTGACAGCACAGGGAGGATTAAAATTCTGCCTCTTTTTTTTATAAATATATTTTTTAAATAATTATGGCTCAAGCAAAAGCAATTTTAGAACAAGCTGCCAAGCCCTGTCTAGCTAAGACTAAAAGTTAACACAAACCTTCTGGTTTCACCTGGAAACCACCCCTCCACAAACAGGCTGATGTCCAGTCAAGGCCGGCCTTGGCCAAAAACATTTGCAGATAGCCTCAAGTTTAAGGGTTTTCCATTTTGCTCTGCTTTAGTGAGACTTTATTAATCCTCTTTCAACAACCTCATCTAGATATGCTTCAGTTTTGCCACATTTTGCTTTCTATTTCAAAAGAAAACACTTCTGCCAGGGTGGGGAAATAGACAGCGAGTGTTAAACTGCCTGAGGCTACAGAAATGTCTTCTCCTACATGTCATGCAGCCTGGTTTAGGTAATGCGGCTGCAGCTCATGTGTACCTGCAAATCCCAGCCTGTTTCAAGCCACTCCATGAGCACGGAGCAGCACCTGCTTTCTGCCAAAACAGTAACAACGCTGGATTCATCTGTGAACCCCCTTCTGAAACAGCCCGAGCAACAACCTACGCCAAACCCAGGCCGCCGTTCACCTTGCCGTCCGTGTGCTCCAGCCACTGCAAGCCCAGGTTGGTGATGACCCTGGGCGTCCCATCATCTACAGGGAGAATGTCCACCTTGAAGCGCTGCGGTGTTCCTGTCACAATCTGAAAAACGCTCAGAGTTATGAATGATAATTTGGCAATCAAAGCTCTGGCTACTGTATTATCAGTCTGGCTCCCTCAGCTTCTTTGGAGGCAAGTTTGCACATGCAAAGGGAAAGCAGGGACATCAGTGAACAAATTTATGGTGGCCTGTAAATAAGAATACTCAGTCCTTTTCTTCGGTGCAGTGACAGCAGCTGACCATCCTCTGAGAGAAAGCTATGGAAAACCTTCCTCACTTCCCTCCTCCTTCCCTTACCTCCTTCCCCTCGTTTTCCACAACGAAGAAGGGATTGGTTCCATCAGACACAGTGAAAGTGAAGCGATCCTTCAGGGAGTTGCTACCATCGTGACTGTAGCTGATGCGGTTCTGGTAGACGTCCTCCATCGTGAAGGTGGTGGCTGGGTGGTAACGCTGTCCGTTGACAGTGCGCTCAATGAGGCCGTGCCGGGGTGGCTGCACAACTGTGAACGTGATTGATTCAGCCTGCATCAAGGAAACAGGTTGGCAAAGGTGAGGATGCGTCCCCAGCACATGGACAGGCAGGTCACTCTAGCTTGAAAGGCCTGGAGAGGCACCCTATGCACCCAGCCAGCCTGCCCAGTTCAGCAGGGCCAGCCAGGGCTGAAGGACAACACTGCACACTGAAACAGTTCACCCTGAACCCCGACACTGCCCCATCCCTCTCCCAGCATAAAAAGAATACAATTAGGGAGAGCTAGGCTAGACACCTCAGACCAAACTATTGCTTTGGCTGCTCTGCGATAGCTCTGCTGCTCTGTGACAACCCCTCAGACACAAGAGCAGTCGCTCCTCCTGCAGCCCTTCTAAGCAACTGCTCCCCTGCTCACTTTAGCACAGGGTGACACATAAGCAAAGCTGCTCCATGAGGCAGTGGAACTCTTTGCTGTGGCTCAGAGCAGCAACAGTTCCTCTGCTCTAAAGAAGCTGCAGCCCAATGAGGCAGAGCCAGCAGGGCAGTGCTGAACCTCCCGTCAGACACCGAGCGAGGAGCAGGAAATGCCATTTTCATCCGTGCCAGGCACAAGTTCAGAGCTACATGTGTCAAGCCCACAATGTTCAGAAGGAGGTGAGGACAGGGCAAGGACTAGCTCTGATCACAGCAACGTCTCCATATTTTTCATGCGGACTTTTTGTTGTTTACGTGTCCAAGAGACGCTCCAGACGAAGTATACATTTCTCCAGCCAAGATTTTGCTTTGTTCAAACACTCGTTTATCTATTTATATACAAACGGGGCCTCCCATAAGCTGTTTGTTTGAAGTTGTGATCAGACAGGGTGTGAGCAGGGAGGGAAAACACTCATTATAATCTTTCTCTTTGAACACAAGCCCATTTTTTTTCTGATAGCCTACATGTGCAGCAGAACAGGGAGTCCTGCCTTACCTCTGTGTCAGCATCTGTTGCTTTAAGCTCAAACTCTGTGATCGTTTTTCTCACACCTTCTTGAACTCGCATCCCAGGGCTCTGTACCACAGGCAGGGAATCGTCCACAGGGTTAATGGTGATGTTGAATGTCTGGCTCACCTGGAAGAGAAGGAAAAGGAACATCTGGGCCTCAAAAGCATACAGGAGGAAACACAGGCTCCCATCACATGTTACAGAACCAAGAGCCTGCTCTGACTTCGGCAAAAGACCCATCCTGGCCCCTACCTCGTCCGTTCCATCCGATACAGAAAACGTGAACGCGTCGGCATGCTTCTCCGCGTCGCTGGTGTGCACGTACTGGATGCTGCGAGAGGCCAGGTCTGCCTGGCTGAAAGAACTAATTCTTGTCCCTAGAAAAAGAAGAATAAAGGAAAATGTGCAGCAGAAACCCACGTGGGCTGTGCGGTGGGGCAGACCCTCGGGAGGGAGAGTGTGGGATCCTGACCACTGCTTGCCCTCCCTCTCCTAGCAAGCCAGCACAGACAGTAGCCCAAACCCCACGTCCAACACAGAGTTATAGGAACACCTTTACAGGCGTTAGGAGCAACATGGTCACAGAAAGGTTCCCAAAAAGTTTTTTCAAAAGCACTCTGTCCTCTAACTATCATCGGAACGTTTGACGGTTTTACTGCTTTTAACAAGAAAAAAAAAACGGGAAAAAAATCGTTTCCACTAGTTTATTATGGCAAATGGCTACTATCAAGTAGTGGCCACACTAAAATAAGTACAGGCAACTGGTATAAATAAATGACCCTAAAATTAATAATTCACCAAAGTTCGCTTGGAGTTCATTAATTTTAAAAGCTGGGAGAATATATGCTCCTTGGAGTGCCCTGGGACCCTCTCCTTAAGGTTAGGTCATTTAAACCATGGTTAACAATTGGTTCACACTGCACAAGGCTCTAAGTTTCTTAGTTGCTCAAGGGCCTGAAAAGCAAAGAAATTGGAATCATCATGTTTTAAACAACAGGATGATTAGAACTTCAATTCTTATCCTTCCCATTTCAAAGTATGAGAGCTGCTGTTTGGTTTACAGCTTAGGCAAAAGCACTCTTAGTTTTTAATTTTCCCTCAACAGGAGGTTGCTTACTTATAATTTCATCTATTTCTCCCTTTCAACACGCTTGTTTGTCAGTGAGAAGACCAGACCTTCAAACTATATTGTAGAGACTGCCTGCATCCTGAAAACATACAGCAGATTCACACTTTAATCTCATGGTAAGAAGCAATCAAATTCTAAGAAGAAAAAATCTTAGGTGAGTGTAATCTACACTAAAAGAGTATATTATATGACAGCACAATTTCAGATTTTTATATATATATATATTATATATAAAGAGTAGGAGGATAATCTTAATATGAGGGGATATCTGGACTTGGAAGGCAAGTCTAAAATTTAGACGAAGTTTGCAGGGAATTTTGAGTTGAATTAGGTCCAGGTCTCCAGAATCTGGAGGATGGCAGTGAAATTGCATGTGAAAGGACACTGTTTCAGAGCACACTTTTAAAAACAGCCTCTCACAGAGCCTGTGGGAATTCCTTATGCAGCATATCCATCACCCCATGGATCTGTGTGACTTATCTTCCTTTTAAGCCAGAGGTTGGCAACCTCCCACTCTGCAGCACTGCTGGGAGGAGAAGCTGCAGTTAAGGGATCAACAGATATTAAAGGCTAAAATGGGGGAGGAAAAGCAAGTTATCTGTCCACCGAGGGACACTGTTACTGTAGTGGTTAAGGGATGGATTCTTTAGGGTCCTGCCCTGTGTAAGAGAAGGGTTGCCTGCCATGCAGATGCAGTGCAGATGCTGGAGGAAGAGATTCACGTAGGGAAGTAGCAAGGTCCACAAGGGTGAGTTTACAAAGCAGCACAGATGCAGTGGCTGAATAAATCCCTGCCTGCTCATTCCTGGGCTGCCCTGTACTCGCTGACCCTACTCTCCAACGCTCTCCACTAGTGACCGTTTGCTTTCTAGTGGAGCACAGCATTCCCACTCCGGCTCCCTCCAAGCACATTTTCCACGCCGGGCAGCCTTAGTGCCCGCAAGCCCTTCACGCTTCGACGTGCCCAGGAGAGCCCGAGGCCCCTGCGAGCAAACCTGGCGCGGCGGCGTGCTCGAGGCGGCCCAGCTGCGGCTGCCGCGTGAGCCGGAAGCGGAGCTGCGCCGCCGCACCGCGCCGCGCCGCCGCCGAGAGCTGCAGCGTCGTGATCTTGCGCGCCGAGTTCTCGTCCAAGACCAGCCCCGTGTTGGCGACGATGGAGGGCGGGAGCCTGTCCTCTGGAAAGGTCAGGTACAAAAAGGAGGGAGTTAGGAGACGGTCAGTGTTGGTTTTCTCCCTCCTTCTTAAGGGGCGCTTCTAGACCAGTAATTCTGAAATGGGTATTTGGGGCCTCAGCACTAAAGGGGAGATGATAACATTATAATTTCTGGACAGTACTAAGATACCGAGTGGAATTTTCCTGCCTTTTACAGTGAAGATGTCACAAGCCAAAGGACTAATCCTTGTATCAGTGAATTTTCTCATGCCCCAAAAGGGAACAGCTTGTGAGTGACAGGAGAACAAAAACTGCACCTCAAGAATCACACCCTAGCCAACCATACATGTGGAATGAGAATCTTACTCCATGAAAATGTAACTTTGGAAATCTCTTTTACCTAATACACTAATGTGGAAAACCTGGTCCATCAGCTTGTTGCCCTCTGCATCGATCACATCAAAGGTGAAAGCAAAATCTCCGCTGAGGTCTCCTTTCTGGTGCCTGTATGTCACTTGTCCTGGACAGAGGGACAGAAGAGGCAGTTCATTATAGGCTGTGTCATTGCATTCTTAGTTCAAACCTGGCTGGCACTGACAGCCGTGGCCTTGGGGATGGACAGAACTCTGGTATTCAGATGTTATTGCTTGTTCTCTTCATTTTTTTTTCTCCTGCCAAGGAAGATGCTTTAGCATTTGCTTTATGATGTTTTTCTTCCTTACTATAAAAACCTTATTTTACCTCTTTCCCTCTCCCTTCCCTGCTTCAAAACAGCTTGCCCTTGACATAAAGATGTGGCAAAATTTTACCTGGAGCTGGTCATTAGACACAATGATTATCTAAAATCAGGCACACACTCACCTTTATTTATATCAGCCTGCGTGAAACTTTTGGCTGGTCCTTTGACAGAGATCTGGACTGGATTATCAGTTTTGGTCAACTGCAGACTGCCGACACTGGGATCCTTCTTCATGACAAATCTGACCCTCGTGTCATCCAAGTAATTAGGTGCCACTTTCAGGTGCTGATCTGTGAGACGTGCTACAGAACCTGCACCGGAGAAAGGAGACCAACCAGTGGCTTCACCCAGTTCAACTCAAGGACTTGTCTAGGCTGGCACATATAGCTGATAAATCACAGGTCCTATGGTACTGTGCTGGAAGCTGGACTTTTATGGGAGGGCAAGGGGAACTCCACCACAAGGAAAACAAGCAGAGGGCTCCTCTACAAGCATCCCCAAAGTGGTCATGCCAGCCCTCTGTGTGCTCAGCCTGCCACAGCAGCACTGAAGGCACGTGCTGTGCTCCTGTCTCAAGTGCCTGGACACCAGGCCTGCTGAGGAGCCTTGCAATTACAGCCAGAGGAAAACACAGGCCCGCACATCTCCCAGTGTGTTGGCTGAGCATGAGACACCATCCTCCTTCCCCATACTATACCAGCAGGAAGCTGCAGGCCCTTGTTGACAGCTAATTTGGGTGGCTCGTTGTTCTGCAGCTCCATGGAGAACTCCAACTTCCCGAGTTGGGTGTAGAGTCCGTCCGTGAGGGAGAATCCAAACTCGTCCGTCTGCGCTGCTGCACCACTCTGAGTGTAAACGATCAGCTCATCCAAAATGTCCTGGTAGGTGAAGGAGGAGCCCTGGGACAGCACAAGTCCCTGCTCCATGGGTTCCTGGGCAGCCTGCCTCCTGCAGAGATAACCTGCCAAGCACATGAAAATTACAGGGAGAACCTGGCCCGTCGGGGTACTGCTTGTATGCCAGGGTGGATGTGACCTTACTGCTCCTCACAGGATGATCTTGGCCGAAACGTGGTGAAGGAAATTCTCTGCTTATTGCCAAAGCTGGTATGAACCTGCCTGCTTACAAGAGGTCTCAGAGGAAGCTACACTCCCTGCCTGGCTTTTCACTAACTGCTCAGCTCCGTCACACTGAACCCTGTGACTGGTGATTGCACTACGATGGGGTAGCACAAAAGGGAATTTCTCAGGGAAGTGTCAGCCCCTTGTCCCCTCTCTCCCATAGGCAGTGAAGGAAGTCTTGCAAAGAACAGGTCTGTCCTGCTGGGCAATCCCTGTGTGGCTCCTGGGCCACACTGAAAATGCCACTGTGCTTCATGACGTCAGGAGCTGTTGCACACAAACGCACACACGCACAGGGCTTGTGGGCACTTACCATGGTCAGGAGTTTTGGTGACCACAATGACAAGCTCGCTGTCCTGGGTGTCCAAGTCCTGCACGTTGAGGGAGGCATTGGTAACCACCACACCTGACCCCTCCTGCACTCTGATGGGCTCCAGCATCATCTTTGGGGGCTCATCATTCTGCCGCTGTGCAGGTCCAAAGGTAGACAGTCACAGAAAGGAAAAGACCACACAGAAATGACTGTTCCCTATTGGGATGAAATACAAGCTCCCAGTTAACAGTACTGATGCGTTGGTACATGGGCGGGTTACATCAGTCTCTCCAAACCTATCCAGCATCTTATCTGCTTAGGAGATGGAAAAGACACCACAGAAATAAGCCCCGAGGAAGAGGCTGAATAACTTTCCAGGCCTGACAACGAGTTATGCCCCTGTATCAGGGGAAGGAGACAGGAGAAAGAAATCCCTCTTTTATCCCGTTCACATGTGTTACAAAAGGGTGAACGTAGCTCAAAAGCAAAGAGTTGCACCTTCAAAGTCACTTGTCTCTGGAGGGAGAGAGGACAGTGTGTTCATACCTGAATGGTGATGTTAATGCTGTGCACCTCGGACTGGCTGAAGCCATTGCTCACATAAAAGCTGAAAACATCGTTTGTTGGTTCAATGCTTTCGTGGACGCTCTGGAAGTAATAAATGCTGTTCTCTAGAAGGTCTTGAAAGGAGAAGGATGCATCCGTGGCCTCAGCACCCTGCGGGCCAAAACGCTCACCTGCAAACAGAATGCCACTAGTGAAAGGAGCTGTACTTAACAAACTGAGGGAAAAAGACAGAATCAGAAGAATGACATGGTGTGAGAGGCAGAAGGACATCTGTTTCTGAAATGTGGTTTTCACTAATCTGCTGAACCTACATAGAAGGCAATTTCTGCCACATTAGAGCAGTTATTTGGGAAGTACAAGTGATCCCAAGCCCCAGGATTACTTAGGCTTTCTTCACCGATGAGACAGTTGCTAACATCTCCAATCAACACAATCACTACATGCTTTCTCTTGCAAAATTATGTCTCAAAGCCAAAAAAAAAAACATCCAGCCCCAGCCTGGTAATTAGAAGAGTCTCGCTATGACCAAAATGACATAGACCAGAGTTTATTGATGAGGAGTGAGGTGTAAAGATCAGCAACTCCTGTGCTCCAGGAGTAACTGTGGTGACAAGTCACCACATTGGCTGTATCATGGGGATATTTTAGAAGGGAAAATCATGCTTTAAGGAAAATGTCACTTCTTTTAGGACCAACAGGAGCAAGCAGAAAAGCCCCTTGGATGAATATCATTGGACAATACGAGAGGAATCCTACCTCTTCCCTGTAACAAAGTGAGTGTCACCAGCCATGCTCTGGGCCAGATCCCCTACCTTTGAGGTTTGCTGTGGAATTCTGTACTACAAGGACAGACAGAGAAAAACATGCTGAAATACACATTTACCTGTCTTAGTGTTTTCAATGTAGCCGTACATAGGGAGAGTGATTACTGTGACCCGCAGGTTTTCCTTGATGGCAGTATCATAATCAGCAGCTAGGAGGTGATGAGCCAACAGTGGGACTCTGCCCCCCTCATCCACCTGGAAAGCAAAAGAATGCAGGAAAATTACCATCAATGCACACAATGCACAACAACACACCAAATGCTACCGAGAAGGTCTGCACAGTCACTTAGTGGAGGAAGTTTCCCAGGTTCTTGCATGTTCACTTCTTTAAGTCCCATCTCACCCTTCCCCAGATGACTTGAACATGAGATCAGCTAGGAGCTGGGGTGGGATGGGAAGGACAAAGCCTACTTGCCCTCCAGAAGGAGCCTGCAGGTGCTTTATCAGGGAGAAAGTGGACTGACAGAGTCACACAGGCCTCTCGAGGGGCACGATCTGCATTTCATGTTGAGCAGAAGCTGTTGAAGGTAAGGGAGGGGGGATGCAAAGCCGAAACAGAGGGAGATGACTTTAAAAGGCTCGAACAAGGGGACTGAAATGCTTTGTATCAATCTAAAGCCCCGGATGTTTTCAGACTCAACTGCTGGCCCCAACTCGTGCCCAGTACAGAAGTTAATAGTTGAGGCTCAGGAATGCAGCAGTACCGTCAGCCTCCTTTGGCCTTTGAGTAATTTGTTAACTTTCTGCACTCACAGGATTGTATGTGTAACACCAGACCACAGTGATTTCCTCTCCACTCAGAAAAAGATTGTTCACTTCCTCACATCTAACACATTCTTGACACTCTTCCCGCTGTCCTCCGTGGCCACTTACAGTAATATGGTCAGCAAAAGCAATGAGTGATGGTGCTGTCTGGGCAGATGTGATAGTGATGGTGAACATCTGGCTGTCAAGCCGGTTGTTATCGGCATCAAAAACAGCGAAGTGGAAGACGTCTGTGACTGGCTGATTGCTGGCCTCAAACACGGTGGAGTAGCTGTGCAAGTCAAAACAGAACCTGGGTCAGTGAGTTGTACAAAACGCTGGCCAAAGGGCCTCGTCCTTGCATTGAGAAAGGAGCACACGCTTCTCCAGAGAGAGGCAACACTCCATTCCAAAGTCCCCTTCTCATTCATTCCCAGAGTTCTTTTAAATCCCTATTTTTGGTATTTCATGTCCAAAATATCACCACGAGATTGTGGACACAGAAAGATATCTTCACAATTTGAAGCTGTACAAAATTCGGGTATTTCAGAAACACCTAATTCTGTACACAGGAAAGGCCCTCATTTGTAATCTCCCAGGACACAATAGCCCAGAGAGCAAAAATATCTTTGATACATTGCGCTAATATCGTATAGCCCTGAGTTCCCTGCACAGAGCCCCCTAAGCTTTTAATTGGCAAGGCTTGAAGGAGAAGAGCTCTTTGATACCTGATCCTCTGGTTGTTGATGTCTTCCATAGTGAAATTATAAACCTTGGAAAGCTCTTCGCCACGAGAACCAGATGTCCGTAAGAGGGTGCCGTATGTGGGCAGAGATATTAACTGGATTCTTATCTCAGAGTCAAGGGAATTATTATCCTAAATATAGGAGAGAAGAAAAAAGGCGGAAAAAAATCAAGATTAGCTTCCACTAAATGGAAGGAGGAAGAAAATGTTTTATGCATGAAGCTAGTGGGGCCAAATCCTCAGCTTTTGAATACTAGAGAAGCTCTGCTGATGAGGAACAGCCAGCTGGAGGTAGATCCCCAGAATCTGCCACAAAATGCATTTTGTTTTTTCTTTCAGTGCCAAGAGGTTTTCTCTCCGTCCTTCTATCACGCCAACACATTCTCCAAGAGATAAGCCTGGTATTTTTAATTTCAAATTACACTCCTAGCGGACCATTTATATAATGTGCTTTTGCTGGCTCCACATAAACTGAGCCAAAATGTTACTTACACATGGCAGAGAGCTGCCAACCAATGCTTCACACAGAGACACAGAACTGCCCTCAGTTATCACTTAAAAAAAAAGGCCAATTAAGAGGAAGGCTACAATAGATAGATCCTCATTAAAGCGAATGCTCAGTTTGGCTCCTTATAACTACATTAAGTAACCATGGCATCTTTCTCCTAAGGCTTTTGTTGGTGTCATAAAGGATAAGACCCTACGCAGAAGTTATTATATCCTCAACACACAGATCAGGAGCCAAATATACTTTTCTACGTCAGTCTGCCTTCCTGTTCTGGGAGAACAATTCTCAATTCTGTGCAAAAAGTTATATATTCACAGGGTAAAATTCTGAAAAATCGATTCCATCCGGCCTAGCCATGGAGACTGTCAATGTATCAACGCTGCTCTTTGAAGCCATTTTCATACATTGATTTAGGTACCACAACACACCAACTGCTCTTACAAAAGCATTCAGTTAGGAGAGGCACCTAACTGCTGTGCCTCACCTGCCGAGGCGTTTTGGCAAACCCCAGTGATCCGCCTCTCTGCAAGTCTGCTGCCAAACTGCTATAAAAATAAAGCCCTGGCTGCCAGCTTCCTAGGGATACCCACAAATCCAGGTAGCCCTGGAAAAGAACGTGCTGGAAGGTATTTGAGCCCATCTGCCTCTCTTGCCTGCTTGGTACAAGGAGTATGCAACAGGGATGATGTTTAGAAGCAAAGCAGTCCAAGCTGTTAGCAGGTGGAAAAGACTTCCAAAGGGTCATTGTAATCAGTCAAACAAGAACTGCTCAAGTTTCAGTGTTTTACTGACTCAGTGTACGCGATTCATATACTTCTGTACATTGACTTCTGTAAAGTTGGTATTTCTGTTACCTGTTGCCAGCCAGGAGAGCACAGCTTGTTGCTGTCAGAGAAGAGTCTGACATAAAGCAGGTGAAATGCCTCCGAGTCTGGACAACACAGTCCTTCCTTAATGGAGAAGCAGGAATGACACAGTATGACCACTCTTCTGGGGCTTACTACACTTCCACTGAAACAACTTTCTATTACTGCTATCAGGAAAGGAAATGAGGTTCTTAAGGTCAGTCTAGTATCTTCTAGACACCTGAGGGATCTAGATTTACAGCTCACAACTTTGCATAAATGCAAACAGTGGGGCCAACAGGGAGGGAGCAGCTGAAATGCATTTTTACTGCAACAGCTGAAATGCATTTTCACAGGCAAGCTCCAACCTGCCCGCTCAGAAAGCAGCTATGGCAAAACCAGCAGCTGGGATGACACGATCCACATGAAAACAGGGCTGCGTCTCAAGTGCACATGCTAACATCTTTATCTGTGCAGATCTGCCCACATTCCTGGGTACAGACTTATATTCTGTCATCTGCCTTCTTATCCTGCCTCAACCCTGTCGTTCCCTGAGTAGCTCTCTGACCACCATTACATGACGTCTCTCCAGCTACACACACGTGCTTTGGTTTCACTCACACCTCCTCGCTAAGGAGAGAAATGTGCATGCCTGTAATCCACTACTAGTGTCTTTGCTGCTACATCACCTGCTAGAAGAAAGGTATCCTGCTAGGAGCAAGATACCTTTCTTCTGAATTTCCCTGCAGTCTAAATCTTGGACAGCACAAAACCCCTGGTGTCAGCTCCAAGCTGCCGAGGGGTGCAGTACCTTGGACTGCTTAAAAACCCTCAAGTATGTCTGGAAAAAGAACCAGGCAATTTGGAAAGGCAGTGGGGACAGAGCAGGTAGACAGAAGCTGTCTGGGGATTATCACTGAGCAAATGCATGGGCTTTGTTAGCAAGCCTGTTTGGTACCTAAATCTGGGATTAACTCAGTTCTCATGTTAGCATGGCAGTTCACCTCTGTTTCAGTCAAACACAGATAGCTTCAAACCCCGGTGGATAAAAGAGCCCATTATCCCCTTTTGGCAGCAGTAGCTAGAACAGAGTCAAAGCCTGAGCTCTGTGCCAAGAATCCACACCGGCGGAGCGGGGTGTGCTGTGAAGGCTCCACGGGGGGATTAGGAAAGGGATGCTGGCAGCACTCCTTGGGTTGAGGCAGAACTGGAGGAAAGCTTACAGTATAGGCGAGGTGCAGCCGAGAGAGAGTCACGGAGCTTTTGCTAGCCACCGTCATGGCCAGCAAGCAGCCTGGGGCCAGCTGTGGGCCGCTGTTATCCAGCAGGGACACTTCCACCCTCAGCACCGTTGTCACTGTGGTGACACCATCAGTGACCGAGATTTCCATGCTGTCCTCTGCCGTCAGCGAGCCATCGTGTACGTATTGCAGGGCGTTTCGAGTCACGTCCTCGTAGCTGAAGGTGTCACCTTCCCAAAAACAAATGCACAAGTCAGCCTGACTTTGTTCAGAACATGAGTCCAGTTCAATTCATCTAAAGCTCCAGTTTAGCGAAAATCAGTCACACGCTTAACCGCATTTAATGCCATCCTTACCGAGCTGTGAATTATGAGAAAATTTATCAAGGATTATTTATCATTTATGCTACTAGTATTATTCATATTTATCTTATAATATATATTTATATTACCCTGTTTGTAGCATACATATTTATGTTGTATCAAAAATAATCATATTATTTATTAGGAGATACAAGGCAATTTCTTCCCTGTCCATCCCTCCCTGTCTGCACTCCCTGTCCATCTTTCCTTCTTTCCTGTCTTCCTTCCTCCCTCTCTTCCTTCTTCCCTTCCTTATCAGCTGCTCTGCAAACTCCCATATGCCACAGCTTGGGTGTGTTTCCATCTCTACATCTTCCATATGCTCCACTCCCCCATGGACAGTATTTGTCCATTTGATCACATACTAGAAATCGCTGCCACCAAATCAATAGTAAAACTCAACTGGGGCTTTGAGCACTGGCTCACACCAGGCTTATGAGGACATGGACTTCAGGAGAAAGTTTCACTAAGTATTATGTTAGATTTAACATTCCAGCGAAAACAAAACATCCCTTATACAGTTAACTGGTTATAACTGGTTACAGTTATCCCAGGTGAACTAGTCCCCACACATGCGGTACCGAAACGCACTGACTCAGCCAGGAATTAGTCAACAAAGCAAAGGGGAAACATCTTCCAAGCTCCCCATCCCACAGTCACACACGTTCAGGCCTCTGTTTCCTGATAGTCAACTGTCTGGGTGGTCTGGCACGCTCTGACCCCCTCTCTGCCCATAACAAGACCTGTGCTCAACTCACCTGCTCTCATGCGCTCCTGCACTCCTGCATTGTACTTGAGCACGACACCGTGGCGGGGAGCTTGCACCAGCTCAAAGAAGAGCCCCTCGGGAGCTGTGTCTGTGTCACTCACTGCCAACTGGATTCCTGTGCCGGGGAAAGAGCGGCAGCTTCCTTAGACACCAAATTCTCCTAGGTAGCAGAGATCTCTCTGCTTTGGTGATGTGTGTGATGTGCTCTTGTGAATGGAGCCAAAAGCTGAATTCAGTCAGTACCTAAGGAGTCAAGAATTCTGATGCTGCCTTCACAGAAATCATTATTTGATGCTTAGGTGAGAGAACCTACTGTCAATATGGTCCACAAATAACAGCAATGTAAGCATTGAGCTTAGGAGAGTGTGTGAATGTGCATATAGCAGGGGGTATCTCTAAGAACCCCAAAGAACCTCCTGACATCACCAGAAAGTAAGTTATCTTAACCAACCCAGTGCAACAGATCTCATCACTAATCAGCAGCTCAGTTTTTTGCCTCCCAACTTGAGGCAAATGTAACATGAGGAAGATGGTGACAAACCCTGTCCCTTGCGCACAGTTCAGTTGAGGGGCCACTGCACCCACCCAAGCACAGCTCCCTAGCTAAACAGAGGTGAGTGAGACCAGAAGTCCCCCCAGCTCCACCCGGATGGCCTTGTGGCAGTGAAGAGCAAGGCCAGGCAGAGCTCTGCCACCCCGTCCTGTCTGCTCTGCTCACCGATGGCGGCTCTTCCCCCTTGGCCGACCTCCAGGAAGGGAGCAGCGATCTGGAAGACGGGAGGCTGCTGCTCCGCCGAAAGCAAATGAATGACAAAGGGCAGCTCCCGAGTTGTGTGTTCTCCATCAGACACTGGATAGAGACAAAACAAAATTAAAAAAAAAATCCCATCTGAGCGAAGGGATGTGTTTTCAGAGCCTTGCCTGGGAAATAAAGCTTCTCCACAAATCACAGTGCCATATCAGGGACTTCCCACCGGGCCAATCTAGCCCTGTGTCTATGGACCCATACATACATTTTAGAAGTGCTGCCAACAGTATTTAGTTTTGTAAGACAAGCACAACTCGGAGGAATCTGCGTGTGTGCATGCATACATACTATCTTCCATTTAGCTGTCATGTGCACTTGTAAGGCAGAGAAGTGGCTTCTACATGCTGGACCATTTCTATTTCTGTTCGAGACAGTACATGAAAAGGGCAAGATATGTTAAACAAGGAATTAATTTATCAGTAGTGATCTAACTGTGGAAATATTTCCGTGCTATGTTGAGGAAAAAAGAAAAAAGAAAAAAATTCTGATATACATCTACACATTGAGGGAAAACAGGAATGAACTAGTCTCGTAGGACATATTCCAGACAGTTATTAGAAGAAATATTTCTACTGAATTATATCCTAGCTTCCAAAAACATCGTTGGGACACAGTTATATGAATATATCCCGGGGTGTATTCATTTTCTCATATTTCTAGTGGCACCCATACATGTGCCCACAGTGGTCAAAAGACCAAGGAGTAACAGGGAATATGAAGGGCACAGGGGAGAAAACCCTCGTGGTCAGAAGATGTGGGACTCTCATACCTGTGAATCGGAAGCTCACTGACTCTGGGAGACCTGAAGAGAAAACACAAGCAATTTGTGGCACTGAAGTTAGGACCAGAAAGCACATGCTGATGGGCGGTTCCTAACCGTAGAGGTACCAATGTGGGTAATGCTAAATGTAGCAGCCAGTGCTGTCATATCCCCATAATTCACTTAATGCTGCTCTAGTTTCCTGCTGCAGTCATCAAAATCAATGGTGAGCTCTTGCAATACTCCTTTAAATACTGTAACCACCTTCCCAAACAGAGAGAGAGGCAAAAGTTTGTGGGACAGGAGAAGAGGGAAGACAGATGGCTTCCTCCTGCTCTTCTCCCCAACAGACTGAATCATTGTCAGGAATGGGAGAAAGTGTTTTCCTGAGAAAATGTGAATTACATTCCTGGAAATGGTAAAGTGAGCCTTAAGTGGTCTAGTCCAGAAACAGCCAAGACTCTTCTTGACTTCAATTAAGAACACGACAGATTCCCATGTCCTTTGCACCATTTAGACCTTGTGCCTTGGTATGTCTGGACATAACCATGAAGTAACTCCAGGTTTGAGAAGGACCAGCCCTTCAGCTACCTCCAGCAGTCTGATGGGCACTAGGGTGAATGTCTGGCTACTTACCTGCAAACGAGAACGCCATCATCTCTCTCAAGTGCGGAGCTGACGTGGGCGGACGATACGCGATCTTGCCGTTGTTGACGTCTGCCTGGCTGAAATACCGGGCTGGGGAGAGAGGCCTGTCTCTGTGCTCCACAATACCTACAAAGAGCTCCATGTTAACAGGAGGAAGCTGTATGCAAGGTCCTGTACATGAGGTATCAGGAACCAAGCAAGGGTTCTTCACGCAGCAATTTCTTCAAATATCTCTGGCTATAGAGGTGAAGAGCAGAAAGATGTGGGATGCAACATTCAATATATTCCAGACAATAATAAACAAAATAAAGTCTGTGTGCCGCTGGTCACTCCTAAGCAAGTCTCAGAATCCCAGTTAAGAAACAAGTTGCTCGAAAGCTAAATGAAGAAGTCTGAACAGATTAACAGATGCCTCCACAAACTGATATTCTAGGAAAAAAGGCTAGAAGCACAGCAATAAATTGAGAAGGTTGTAAGTGTCAGCACTGACATTTTGCAGCAACAGCAAGTTGCCATATTCCATTTGCTTCACTTGCCTTGGCCGGGAAGCAGAGGAACAGTCACGTTGAACAGGATTTTCTCACTGGGAACCTCCGGGTCTACAAAGGAGAGGTGATGGGGCTCAATCACTGTCACGCGGTCCTCCAGCACCTCAACAAACATATTACACCATGAGCATGAAAGCCAAAGACACAGGAAGGTCCACCCAGAAACGCACCGAGAGAGAAATGGTTTTGCTATACTTAAGTACAAGGGAGTCTTTGAATTATTATTGGGTTTAGATCTAAAATCGACATGGGATGAGACTGAACTTTTGGCAAGGCTCTCAGACTCCTGCAGGGACTCCACAGAGATAGTGAAGCTTGATAAACAAGGAGAATTTGCAAAAGAGCCAGTACAAGTCTTAGGGACTATTTGAACTCACTTTCAACTCATCTGTAACCCAGTAAGTTTCTAAGATGAGTACTGTCATGCTCAACAAGAGATAGTGCTATACAGAACCACCTATATTAAGTCTTCATTCTGGCAGAGTAAGAAAGGGGCTGAAATCTATGAAAAAAAAGAAACAATCATCTCCTTCTCTATAATTTGGTTAAAAACCCACAGAATGAAGATAGATTATCGGTCAATCTGATGTGCCCTAAATGGATTTATCTTAGAAGAAATCCTGAAAACATCTCAGCCATTTCTATAGAAATGCAGATGAACTTAAGCTTCTTAAGCTTTCTATTTGGTCTTAAATCTGTCAAAAAATGCACCGTTCCTTCCATTCCAAGAGGAATTAATCAGAGGTGGGCAGTGTGTATTAGGAGTTATGGTGCTGCACCAACAGACTTAAATACACAAAGATATTTAACTTGCACATATTTGTGAAGCTTAATCCAGCCGAATAACAGGTATGAGAAACCACCAAGTTTAATACTTCAGCTGGGTAGGAAAGGCCTCCAGCTCATTTCATAATCACTAACCAAATACAGAGGAGTACAAGCTAAATTAAGGATACGGGCAATTAATTCATCTGCTTCAGAACAAGTGATGATCATCTGCAGCAGCTCCAAAACGAATTACAGTTTTCCACCTCACACATCTTGCACAACCCAGTGAATACCGAGCTGGGCAGGACTGTGATGCCACCCTGCCAATGCACACCCCATTCTGCCAGCCTTATGTGCCAGAGCAGATTTGTAGAAAGGCAAAAGGTCCTGACAGAGCAGCTCAGTGCCCTACAAATGCCACCAGTCTCCCAGATGGACTGTGAAAGCAGTGCCAGTTCCCCTGACTCTCTTCAGTTTTCACTCAAATCCAGCATAAGAGACGGCACAGCTTGTGAGTGACACTCGTAATGCAGTAAATAAGACCCTGTCAGTCCTTCTTAGATGGGCAAGTGTCCCATTTCTAACCAGAATCAAAAGCCACAAAGTTTCATTGTGACATCGGCATTGTCATCGACAGCCCTGTATAAAGAAGGTAAGCTCAAAATTAACAGCAGGGTCTTATTCATATCGCCAATCTGGAAAGCGTATGGAGGACCTGCGGAATTGTCCCTGTCCTCCACAAAGCCCATCTCCGTGTGCGTTCAGCTAGAGAGAAGCTCACTCTCCTATCACTAATCCCATCAGTGGGGAGGAAGCAGGTACCCTGATGCATTACTGAAGAAGGAAACACTACAGATGCCCACTTTAAACCATCCAAGTGGCACTGCACTTTCTTTGACCTTTCTCTGCAGGACGTGCAAAGACAAGACTTCGGGTATGGGAAGACCTAATGTCTTGTGCTTGCTCTTCAGCAGGGGAGGCAGCCTGACTCCGAAAGAGCCTCAAGACAGATTAACAGAACTCAATCACTCTCATGCAAGGAAATGCAATTTTATGATGAAAAGATTTAGGGTTATGATTGCTTCCTAGTTGTCTCCGAGGCATATTTGTCTCTCTCAGAGGTAGCACTTGCAGGTTGCGAGCCATCCCCTCAGTAAAACATGTTTTATGGCGCTATTGAATTCTGTGCTGTGTAATTGGCTATAAAACCCAGCACTGCACGGCTCAGCCAGACACCTCTCCCATTAATTTTGTCAAGTGACAACAACAAAAAGTCAAAAAGAGAAAGAAACATCACTGGCTATCGCTCCAAGTAGCAGGCTGAGGATGTTTTATTAGTGCCTGTAAAAGGTTGCCCCTATTTTAAACCTTGACAAGGCCCTTGTGCCATGGACTTTTCACTAATTTCTCTCCCACAGCTTCCCTCAGCCCTTCCTGGTCCTACACCTGCCAGGACTTGCTGGCTTGGAGCCCAATGCCTCTCCTGAGAAGAGACCCATCTCCCCAGGGAGGTCGGCCAGAGCTGCTCTGGGCCTGCATGGGTCCTCTCAGAGCACTTCTGTCTGTGAGGAGCACCCAAGGGCACGGGCTTTCTGTTGGATGACGCTGGCATACCCTAAATAAACTATGAGGCACAAATGGTGCCAAGATGACTGCACACGACCTCCAAGCTTGCAGATGCAGCTCTCCCAGCTCCTACCCGACGAGCTGCCCTCAGCTCTGTTCACATTTCTCCCAAGTGCTTCCCGATGTCCCACTTTCACAGCCTGTCCCGGCTCGCTGTCATCCACTGAGTGAGACCACTGTGTTGTGGGTCAAGTTCCTGATCCTCCTCCAAAACCCCCAAGGCCACCAGGCTGAGCTGATGCCTAAAACAACTGCTACTTTTAGCCTGGTTTTCTGAGCATCCCAATGGACAACCTGGGTGAAGAGACCCACAGCTCCCTCCCAATCCACACACTTGCATTCCCTTTGGGCTTTTCCTAGCCTCCCCTTTCTCCCTGAAGAAAAGAGGAGGCTAGGAAGGGGGAAAGCAGGACTACATAACCACCCCACAGCTGGGACATCAGGGAGACATGCACCAAAGCCAGAGCTCACAAAGGCAACTTTGAATTTGGAGGTCACCTTTTAAATGAAAACTCTCAGGGGAACAAAAACACAATGGAGAGAACATTGGGCTAACAAAACGGTTGTTGCCGGGGCTGATGCTTCAAGAAAAAGCCCTTCGCTTCCATGAGCAGATATAACGGGCTTGTCTGAACGTTTTCCAGAGAGGTTATAATCTGTGTTCCTGATGTCAGGATGATAGATGGAAACTTTCTGCTGTGGGTGGGCTACAATTCCGATAAATAAAGTTTGCAGTAGAATTACTGACAAGATCTGTTCATTACGGTTTCTCTAACCTGCCATTTTTCACTCTTGCCCTTCCTAATAGCTTCTCAAGAGTGTTTCAAAAATGCTAAGAATTCCATGAAAACATGTTATTTTTTTTCTCTCCTTCTCCCTTACAATTTGCACATTCATCACTTCTACTAATACCGAGTCCTCAACTTTCCTATTTTGTGGGGGGTTTCTTTATTTTTTTCCCTTTTTTTCCCTCTAAAAAACCACTCTTCTAACCTATATAGGTTTTATTTCTTTTCCCTCTTTCATTTAGGCTTGTTTTCTACTCCAGTTATCTGCCTAATAGTACCCCTTCTTCTTTAGATTTGGTTCCATCTCTGAGTGAGGCATAACAAAGTGGACGAGAGCAAGCAAAGGAGTCGATATGGGGCGGTTATTTCTGCTCTGCGGGAGGCTCTGCTCGCTGGGCACAGCACAGCAGTGGCAGCAGGGGGGACACAGCCAACAGCCGTGGGTGGCTTCGGTTCACACTTACAGCCATGTGCAGAGAGGAGCCGAGGGAAAGCTGAGGTGCTCTGGGCGTCCGGGGCAGGATGGCGACGTTGAACACGTGGCTTTCCGTGCTGGCTGGCGGAGCCGCGGAGCTGGACACCTGGGAAAGAAGGATCACCCCAGTGGACATCTGGCCAAGGATGCCACTGCGTTTCTAGAGCACTTTCATGCTTCCCCTCTCCTCTCTTCCTAGGTAGGCACCTCCTCAGCACACGAACAGAAATGATGAGGGGGTTTAAACCTTGCTGCCACTCTCACAGTGATCACCAGTTGGCCTGTAAATCTGAAAATAACTGGTCAACGGCAGCACCAACACCTGGCAGTGACTCCCTTTGATGTCCACCCACCAAGTCCCATCTTCCAAGAGAGCCTGAGCTTGGGTTTGACACAAGACACCCGTGCAGGCTGCAGGCACCGCTTCAGTATCAAAATTAATCCACCTATAGCTAGTTCCTCATAGCATGCTTGCAATAATGAGGTGTAAAGCAAATAAACACAGCTAAATTTGCCAAAATCCAGAGGGTCGCCACAGGGATAATCCTGAGAATGTTTACAGCAGCCCTTGGTAAAGTCCAACAAACTGCAGCCCCTCTTTGCTACACTCAGTTACGGACTGATCTTTGGGCAAGTGCATCCATCCACCCTTGACTACAATAGGACTGAAGATCCTCAGGAGCAAGAATGATTTTCAGCAATTTTAAGAAAATGCACAAAATTGCTCTGCTGAATTAAATAAAATTATTTTCGGTTTTTGCTGGACCTGTTTTGAGTTGCTGTCTGAATGGTAATTGCCAAAGTACTGATAAAAATGTGTCAGCCTTGCCTGAGATGCCCTAATCCACTATTCAAGACTCAGGGTGTTATGGTCTCCTGATGGGACCGGTGTAATCATGGTCTCTCACTAGGGCTCTCCATACAATTATTGCTACTGCTCCAAGACACTAAAAACAAACATTCGACTCATGCAAAATGCGTTCTCCATAATAGCAACACAGCAATTAAATTAAAAGTTAGCTTGTTCAACATCTGACACTCACAACTTCCTCATTATCACTTATGTTAATTACTTTAGAAATTACCTTAATTGCCTCTCCGGTGCTACAGGAGTAGCTCCTGAGCTGTAAACCAAATTGTAACAAACACTGCAAGCGAGTGTTCGTGTTGGCTGAGTGATATGGGAGGCTGTTAAACCTTCCAAGCAAACAGCAAGGACCTGCCTGAGGAATTTTATGGTCATTAAGCCTGTGGGGAGGGGGGATTTATTTTAGTATTACATCTGCTGGAGAGTATTGTACCATTATGTTTGCTCGGAAGAAGGAGAGTAGCCTGTAGCAAAAATTAAGGTATTAGTTGAGGGACTCCAGGAAGTAGGAAAGCTGCTCGGTTTTGAGGCTTACAATACCCATATAATTAAGGGGAAAAAAATTCAGAGCACTTTGCACTTGGAGTAAACACTCCAGGTTTTAGGAGAGGCCAATGTATTTTCCAAGCAGAACCAACACGTGAAACACGTCTGAAGTGCAAAGGCAACTGAAGATTTATGGCAACAAAACATGCCCACAAGTACCTGGAACTGGAAGGAGTCGCTCTCCACTTGAGACCCAGAGTGCCTGTACCACACAATGCCTTCATTGATGTCCTGCTGGGTAAAAGATGTTGTAGGAGAAACTGCTCTTCCATCAGGCAAAAGCTGCCGCGCGCTTGCCGGGCTGTCTGCAGGCATTGGCACCAGAAGCACAACTTCCCCTGGGAAAAGCAGAGAAGAGCAGCCAGGGTGAGAAAACAAGACAGCCAGATGCCCTTCGCCAACTATCGCACATCTCAAGACAAGTGTCCTCAGTTGCTCTTAGTCTTCTCTGTACAGCATGACTAGAAGTAATAACAGTAGAGCTCCTAAGAGTCACATAAGACCTTGTAATATCCCAGTGAAGCCAGGAAACATTATTCTCTGCTTAGTCAAAGCCAGAGCTAGTAACCTGGGTGAAGACCCAGGGGAAAAGCCCAGAGAACTGCTCAGAGGAGTGCCAAGAACAGAACCGGGAACTTCAAAACACAGTTGTCCCCACTGACCAGCACGGTCAACCTAGAGACAATAAACTGCACAGAAAAAGAAAAGCAAGGGACACTCCTCACTGTCATGAGCCTTTCTGAAGGGACGAGAAGGAAGACAGAAACAATGAAAAATCACTGCGGCAGGTTATCCTCCTTTCCTCCAAGGGCACAAGTTAAGTATCAGCACACAGTATGCTCGTTTTTTCAAGGACCTTTTTCCCCAGCTCTTCTGGGTACTTTTTATCCCCAAGAGTTTTCTCATCCAATTTCTCTAAACAGAAACCTTTCATTGAAGACAAGCTCTTGAATAGATATAGCATAGGCTGTTGAAAAAGTCTGGGTGTCCTGGTTTATAGCTCCCGCTCAAAAGAATATCTAGCTTTTATACCTGTGACATTCAGCTTATTTCTGATTTTCGATTGAGGAAGTCATTCTCAGCTAGACTGAGCTGTCATGGTCTTCACTGGACATATGCTGGAGAACAGCTGAGTTCAGTATGTGAAGAGCCAAGTGCCATTCACCATGCGAAGGAAATCAAAATCTGGGACAGTAATTTCATTAAGTCAAACCCAATGCAAATGTTTTCCCAAACCACATGCATGAATAAAACCAATCTGACAGGACTATGCTATCAGAATATATGACATATTTTTGTATTTTACAGTATTATTTGCTTGCTTGGGAGTTAACATATAATCTGTGAAAAAAAAAATAGAATTCTCCTCCATCTTTACTATTCTTGGTTATAGATAATTTAACCGCTATCTAAATAACTTTAGTTGTGCATTGGTAGTCTCTAACAGACTCTGAGAGTATCCCTCATGGCTACCAATTCAGAAGTACATATATTATAAATCACTTCAACTCTCCTTACAGCATTAATCATTCTATTATGCAAAACACCCATCAGAAGCTCCCTCAGCTCATTTCCCAGAGCTACACTCAAACAGTGAGAGTTATAAAAGAGTAATTCAGCATGCTGAAATACACATTTCTACTTAATCATCAAACTCTGAGCTAATATTCCCTTATCAGTGAATACCATCCTAATTACATTCCCAATCTGATGCTTCTGCCCATGAGAGTTTACCACCTTAATCTTGGAGGGTTTCCTACAGATGTTCTCGCATACTCAAAGGAGTGGGGACCTGCAAGATTGTTTACCCCTCCCAAAGTAAGAGCACAAGCAGTTAGACCATATAGGAGCTTTAAGGAAGATTCATGTCCATGCGCCTTGTTATAAATGAATATTTAACTCGATTGTAACGAACACCTCTGTGATGCCTGCTTCATTTATAATGATCATTTCAACCAGAAAATAAACAAGCAAAAAACCACAGTAAAGCACCTATTGATGCATTACGTACATGAATGTAAGTGGCAAGTGTTCACACGGGCAATTTATGTCTGAGACACATAAGAGATTATGCAGTTGCCATTTCCAGAGCTGTTTAGAGGATCCTTTCTTTTTGAAGAGTCTGGACACTTGGATCATTTTTAATCGGCTTTAGAGACTTCATCCTCCAAGAATGCTTGCCATGTGGAAGAGCTCAGGGTATAACAATAGCTACTCATATAGAAACGTGTAATAAGCCACCCCGAGGTATCCTACGTGCCCAAAGGAGAGCCAGGGAGGACAGCGACCCTATTTCTAGCAATAAGGCAAGAACCTCACCAAAGAGATCATGAGGAAGAGTCCCTGCTCCCTGGCCCCTCCAGTACCAAAGCAAATCAACTCTGCAGAAGAGAAAGATCTGGGCAGATAGACGTCTTCCCTGCCTCCCTTCTGAGCTAATCTCTTTCATTTGGCTGCGAGGTCCTGAAATAAAGGACAAGGAGCATTCGTGGTCTATGCACTTTTGTTCCGGAAATGTAGTAGCTGGTTCTGAAACGGTTTATTTCTTATGTACAATCCAATGATTCTACGGGTACAAATATCTTCTCCATGAGTCACATACCAAGATAGGCAGATAAGCCCTCCTTCATTAAGGATATATTTCCAGCATTTCTTTGTCTTGAATTTTTCCGCACTGTGCAATAGTGTTTTATGAAACTTTGAAGATTATTGATTCTTGTTGCTTATTCATCACCTGCAGCTATAAACCTGTTCGTCTTACTGCAATTAATTACAGAAGAGATAATTATGATGATATAAATGTAAAATTATAAGTTTTGGTTAGGGTAAGGCGGCAGGAGACAAACTCCTCAGGGAAAAATTCTTGTTTTCACTTAAATGCTTATTAAAAATGCAAAGATCGTCCTTCATCTGCAGAGAACTAAAGGGGGAATATAAATTAATTACTTCCAAATTGCAAGAATAACATAATCTCTGTTTCCATCAAACACTAGCAGCTGTTAGGGAAACCAGCCTATCCTCACAGCAAAAGTTTAAAGCACAGACCTGGTGTTGTTAAAATGACTCAATAACTTTATCCATACCAGCAAATTAATAGCAATGATACCGTTTCATGCATCTTCCAAGCATGTTATTTATAGACATGACTCTGCTGAAGAAAATGATAATTCCGAGGGGGAAATTTTTTTTTCTGCTCAGGATTCCTTTCCCTCCTGCATAAAGCACCTCCTCTTTTCCACCCAGTATGTCCGAATTTCTATCTCAGTCACAAATGCCATTCCCTCCCATCCTCCTTGGCCCGAGTCCAGGGAATATTCTGAAAGCTGCAGTTCTATAGGGCGGGGAAAGGAGCTACAAACTTGTGAACGCAGCTACCCTGAAATATGAGATTGGGGCCTCCCAGCAGGAGTTTATAGATGAATGCAAATCTCACCCAATTCTTCTTGAATCAATAACACCTTCCGTTCTCAAAATCAAATATAAAGGAGTTTGGAAAGCTCAATTGTTCAAGGCAAATTTGCTCAGTAATTTCCAGAGGAAGATGTTACTCCATGCTGCTCTGAAACCAAATATTTATTCACTTATTCAGTACAATAGCCTATGGAAATACACCCTAAAATGCTGCTTGCAAATCAAATACCATGAAAGGATGACAGTCCCGTATGTCTGTGCAGAACATCCTCTCACCCAGAAGTGAGAAGAATCCACCTTACTCAGTGGTGGGAGAGTCGGGGATGTGCGGGAGAGAAAGCAACAAACTAGAGCTTGGTTTTGACAGTAAAACACAGAGGAACTTACCGTGTCTTGGCTGGTCCCCGCCAATGCTGTAGATGATCTCGGAGTCGCGGGCACCGGGGATCTCGGCCTGCAGGATCCTCTTGGAGATCTGGAGCATTCCTCCCTGGGGCACCCACACCAGCGAGTTCGTCACCAGCCGAGGGCGCCCGGCACTCTGCGTGTGGGGGGAACATCAGGAAAGGGCTTAGCTCCATGTCAGCCCTGCCGTGTGGATGGGAATGTGGCGAAGTGATAAGGATGAGGTGGAGTACTTGGGAATTCCTCACGCACTCGGCCCTGGCAGTCGGCTCTAAGAAAAGCACCTGCATCTTTAATTAGGTCCCTAGGACCTAATTCTCCCTCTGTAGAATCAATCTTGTCCACCAAGACTTGAAATTCTCTTCCTCTCCACTTTATTTCTAAAGATACACACCTGTCAAGTTTACTTGTAGAACAAGAGGCTTTGCACCTATTCAAAAGAGCAGACAAATGACACCTCTGATATCTTTACACACACCTAACTAGTCAAAATCTTAACTGCTCCATAAAAGTGATCATCATCCTCCTCATCTCCTGCTCCACACAGTGATGCATCACCCCAGGAACTGATGAACGACTCATTACTTTGCTTCCAAACCTGTACAAGAGACATTAGAAAGAGCTAGCAAGATGCTTGAGAAAGGAACACATTAAAGGATGAGTTCCCATCTCCACTTTGAGACTTCTGCTGACCTGTTCTCATCTCTTTAATACAAATCACACTGATTCTGAACAGTGCTAACCTTTAAATGCCACCAAGGCTTAGACTGGGCCAAGTCAACAGTTTATCGGCACAATGGCTGCTTTTAAAAAATAAAGAACTATAAAGAAGCCAATTAGACTTAGTTGCATCCCAGAGAGCCCTGTCAATACACAGAATGACTTTCCTCTGACTTTATTGATTAGATCACATCAACACACAGATGAGTCCTTAAGAGAAAGGCAGAATTCTGCCACAGGAGCTCAGCAACCTGGAAAGGTCAGAGTGGTCCCTGGATTTACTGGGCGAGGAAGGAAGGGAAGGACTCACCCGACTTCAGAGAGTGACAGGCAAAGTCCCACTCTTTCCAAAGAAAGTATTCCTAAATAAATTTCAATTAAACGTAAGGCCGCAGCTTGTCTATAAACACATCTCCCTTCTGCTTTTCAGTAACTGAATGATTAAATGTTTCCTCGCTGGTCACATTAAATGAGTCAGGCAGTTTCTAATCCTGCTCCCACCTGCGCTGATGCTTCCCTCCCGCAGATTAATAAAAATGCCCTCACGAGACAGCTTTGTGCTCAGTAATCTCTCTGCATACACAAGTTCTTGTCTGATCTGAGCGCTCACCCAGCGTTCAACAAACTGGGTAGCCTCGCATTAAATTTTCACACTGGGGCCTGAGCACACAGTCAGCAAACACGTGAAGGATTTAATTGCTCAGGAAAGGTGTTTTCGGGGTGCCCGGAGGCTAGCGTATCCCCCTGCTCAGCGCTTCAGCTAGCTGCTCCCAGGCAGGACAGGACACACAGCCTTGTGCTATCTCAGGAACCTTCCAGGTGACCCTCCGAGCTGCCCTTCTCCTGCGCTCATCTTCTCACTTTGCCGATGCTCCCATTAGCAAGGGATGCACAGCATGTGAGCAGGCCTGGCCTCCTCTCGCTTGTACTGGCACCTGGGACCATGTTTTCCAAGACTTAGGCTCGCTCTTCTCCATTGGAGCACCAGTGGTGGGAGAGCAAGTTTTCCCTCAAAAAAGCAGCAGCAGGTCTCAGATTGACTTCCCAGAAAGTGTAATGGTGAAGAACATCAACAGAAGCACACAGCAGTGCGAAACATTAGTAAGAGCTCCCAAAATAGAGGCCAGCTGCTCAGCTGCAGTGTATCAAATGAAGCATTTGGTCAGGGGCAAACATGGGAAATGATGTTGTGAGCAGCCAAAGGGACTTAAAAAAAAAAACATGTTGCAGAAAACAAGGCACATCCATTGCAAGTAAACAAATCCCTCTAATCCATACCCCTTGAAAGGTTCCCTTCTCCCTTCTTTTATGTTTTGTACTCACACTGCAGTGCCTCTATGGATTAACGCCTTAGAAGTATATTCTTTTCGCTCAAGGAAAAAGGAATCCTAGAAATGTCTTTTCTCTCTAGTATGTACTATATAAAACCATTCAGATATAAGAAGCTCCACGTACTTGATCTGGGTTTAGAAAGCAACCCCCAAACCTCCACAACTCTGTGCCTTTGACTGGAAAAACAGGTCTTGGCAAGCGTGCTTCATCAGCACCTTTTCAGAAGCAAGCCCTGCATCCATTTCATCTCCCAAGGCACAAGGAGGGCACTCAGGATGAGCGGGAGCTGGGGGGCTGCCAGCTCGGCGCTCACTATGCCCGGCTCTGCTCTCGCCTCTGTCACCGCCTGCGTTCTTCTCCAGCGCTGAGTGCTGCACCCAGCCCAACTGGGAGGATAACGGGAGACAAGAGAGTACAAACCTGGCTACTGTGAGACACTGGACTCAGCAATTCACCCTCATTGGCATGTACAATATGAAGCTGCTTAATCAATAGCAGAAAGAAAAGAAAGAAGAAAAACCACCTGCAAGTGTCACAAGCGAGTGGTTTCCAAGCTCTTCACAGTCCTCCTGATCTCATTCGGGCTCCTTGTCCGTGGTGTGCGTAAGGAAACCACAGGTGGGGTGGCTCATTCCAGGAGTCTGAGCAACTCCGTGCCAGCGAGGTGTGAGTCATGCCGCTAATTCTCGTTAATTGCTACCCTTGCTTCAAGAGCACCCGCAGGGTCCAAACGGGATCAGCCCCTCTGTGTGCTGGCTACATACAGACACACGTGGTGCTTGTAAGCCCTCCTTAAAACTCTCAGGTCCAAGGAGCTAGGACAGGCCTCCAATACAGCAGAGAAGACAGAAGTGGGGTAGAATCACCTCTTCTCAGCTCCTTTTTATAGAGTGGATGCACACAAAGAATGTTTAATTCTCAGATCCATGCACAGTAAGTCCCAGTAGTAAAGGACTTTTCTGGGAGCTGTATTTTTTATTCTATTCCTTCTTCACATTTATTAAGAAACAAGCAAATTCTCAGATTTTCTGCCAATTTTATTACAATACCAAGCCACAAAACCAGAACTGAAATGCTTGCGAGCCCTTCAGCAGCCTGTACTGAGAGTCCATTTTCCTGCCCTCAGACCTGTCTGACCTTCCTGGGAATCCAGCTCCTGTCACACGGCAGCTCTGACTCCAGCATCCTCAACTGTTGGGTTGCATCCTTAGACAGAGGAACCTTCTTTTTCCATGGGGATTTCCTTGCCTTGCCTTTCCCCTGACCTCATTTCATTGAGCAGTCTAATTGCCATCTTTGAATTCAGTCCAAATGCTCTTTTCAAATCTGGACTGAAATGGCTCCATTTCACAAACATATCCCCCTGCTTAGGCAGCTCAAATACTGTTGCTTATCTAAAATGTGCTCTCGAACCTGAGTGCTGCCAGCCTGATACCCTGTTTGCATTCAGATTCAAGAATGTTAGTGAGCATCTGCATCTCACACCATATTCACACCAACCCTGTGACAGGTTTATTACCACTCAAGCCTTCTCTATGCCCAAGCAATTCTTTTTCAAATCCATTGCCCTTTCCATGCTACCAAACTCTCCTCTGTACCTCCCAGAGATCTGTTTACCGAGCAACTGCAGCCCTTGAATTTTCAAGGCTGCACAATTCAAGCCGAACTGCTCCTGCTGCAACCCAAAAGCTCAGGTGACCCGCAAGCCTCCATCAACCCACCACTTCCACTCTCTCTGACCAGAGCCTGTTGGTAAGGAAGGATTTGTGACACCCCAGGGATCACAGGATCACAGAATCATGGAATGGTTGAGGTTGGAAGGGACCTCGAGCTCATTTAGTCCAACCTCTCTGCTCCAGCAGGGACACCCAGAGCATGTGGCACAGGACGGCATCCAGGCAGGTTTGAAGACCTCCAGAGAAGGAGACTCCACAACCTCCCTGGGCAGCCTGTTCCAGGGCTCTGTCACCCTCAGGGAATACAGTGATTCTCCTCTAAACCCCTCATTTGCCCGAGAGGATTCCTGTCACAGCACATACCTTGGGAGCAATCTTGATGTGGAACAGGATGTTCTGGAAGTGGTAGCCGTCGCTCACTTGCAGCAGCACAGTGTCATCCCGGCTGTCAGAGTCATCGTGAGCATAACGCAGGAGTCCCCGGGCCAGGTCATCGAGGTGGAACGTGTGGACCTCAGAAGCTGAGTCCCCTGAGCGTTTCACCAGCTGCCCGTGACGTGGGGGCTCTAACACCATCAGTGCCACATCTTGAGGATTGTCACCGTCCCTCATACCCAGCAACACGTCTGTTAGAGTTCCAGTTTCCCCTCTGCTGACAAGGAGAGCCTCGTTTCTGAGCACATATGGGGCCTGAAACACAAAAGCAGCTCTTGGGTGTTTGCTGAACCACAGCAATTTGATGAATACACTCTGGAAAGAAAGAGGTGAGGTTAAGGAAATTAGTTCTTCTCTGCAAGTCTCCTACTTCCAGACATCAGGGAGTCACTCTCCACACTTCCTCCCACATGGTTAGATCTAAGAATATCTAGCAATTTAGACTGACTTAATTATGTCAGAAGAGGTTTCTCACGCCATAGCAAGCTTATAGCAATGAAAAAAATGAGGACATTTATAAAGAAAGCAATTTATTTATCAGTCAGATTCTGTATTTCCTTTGCTCTCTGCATGGATAACAGACAAGGGACACAGTTTTGCTCTATTACTTTCCACAGAAATTCAAATGAAGATACGGATCCCTACTGTTTTGGAAGGACTACACTTTATATGTATGTCATCAGGATCAACTGGAATACAGACACTTGAGATGCTGAAGCCTTTCTTGTGTCAATAACAAGTTCAGGGTTGGACAAGACAGATACACCACATTTCCTACATGTATTAACTGCTTAGACCTCTTGCAAAACACTAATGCTTCAAAATAGGACAGAGAATAACCTGCACATGCAGAGTATCTGCTTAAAATCGCCTGTAGAGCAGAGAGGACAAAACACTGAGTGGCAGATAAGGGAGAGTGACTGACACAGCTGGGAGGTAAAGCGAGAGGCAGAAGCTTGAATAATGCTTCTAACTGAAAATGAGTCAACCACTTAGCACCAAAGGATGTGTTTTTGCTTGTCGGGAATGGATAAAGTCCACCTCAAAGAGAGCAAAACAAAACGCCTGCTCTGATGGCTGGCTGTCATCAGCATCGTTGCTTCTGTGTTTTCAAAGAGTCCACAGAGCCTTACTCATCCAGCTGCACACACGTCTTTCAAGGTTCAGACCAGTTTCTTAGTACTTAATCGTCAAGAAAGTTGTGAGGAATGTTTAAATCTACACTCTCTATTGATCTCAATAGACACCATTTACCACCAGGAATACCTCGCCTCGGGAGGGGGGCTGATCCTGCAGAGACAAAGTCAAATCCTTGGGAACATTCATCAGAGAGCTAACTGCTGCCACCTCACCTGTGTGCTGCTGATCAGAATTATTAAGGATTGACAGGCAAAATTCCTATGATTAAACTTCACTTATGTATTCTGGGGCAGTAACTGCAGCTCTTCCTTAAGTGTGGTCCTACTGAGGTAAACAAGAGATTATATTGAACAAGGATTTCAGCACTAACCAGAATCAATGTATACGCAACAGGATCAAAGTCTTGCATTTGTCTTGCACTAAAGGTCAAACTGGAACTCTTGTGGTTTCTGAAGTTATGAAAGTACTAATACAAAATAAAACTGTAAAAACAACAAAATGCAATTAAAAATAAGCTACCTCCTCTTTAGGTCCCTGATATGGAAAGATGCCATGTACTGCAAAGTCTCGAGACTTGTTGAGAACCACAGAGATTGGGCAACTCAAGGAGCTGATGCCGCTAGGAAACACTAAATGCATTAACTGGATCCTTCCATCAGGGCCTTTAGTGAGCAAGTCAGGTCCACATACACATAGAGGGACATAATATGGTTTGACTGTAACTGGAAACCTGGCCGTCATCCTTCTTTTCTTTAGCTCTGGCTCCCTATTACTGACAGGCCTGATTCAGCATTCAGCCTTCCAGTGAAGTAATTTAAGAAATTAACTTATTTAACCACTCCAGTGGTGGGTGGTTTTGTGTCTGGAAGTGCAGACACCATCATGTGCTTCATGCTGAGTACAGCAGGAACATCGCTAGCAGCTCAGATCAATGATGAACCTCCAAGGGGGTGGGATGAAAAGCCTTTCTGAGCCCATGCAGCTAGGCTGGTTTTGAACAACTCACCTTTCCTGTAATGCTCTGCCTCTCCCCAACACACGTCTCATGCATCTCTTCATGACCTGTCTTTCAGAGACCCCTCTTGGAAAAGGAGTCCAGTATGTACAGCCTCTAACCACTCTATCGGAGAGAGCTCTACACAATCCTGTGCCACAGATTTTAAATAAGGAGACAGGGACACTTGACAGTACCATCAACTTGATTGCAGTGTTGAATAGTTTGAGACACACACATGGAAGAAGCACCACTTGAAATAGCCTGTGCTCATTTAATTTCCAACTACCCTGGAACAGAGCATTTAAGTAAATGCTCTCAACTGTCAAAGTGTCCCTACCATCGGGATCAATCATCATTCAGTGACCCTGCAGTAAGAGACTGAGCAACTAGACCGTCCACTGATCCAAAGAATAATTTAAACAGTAAGGACTCCTTAGCCCGCACTGATAATTGCTCTATGATTGCACAGCCACAATTCCCAGCACAAGTAAATTACATGGGCCACCTTCTTCATTCACTTACCCCTGTCCTGCTCTTTCAAATCACTCTTGACTGCCTTGCAACCAAGTGACAGTTGAGTCTAATGTGACCTGATCATCAGCTACTGCTCTAACCAGCTCCTTTGCTATGAGCACAAGGAAGTAGGGCTCCAAAAGGTGCAAAAATTGGGGTTGTTTGCAAGCTTTGTTATATTACCTGTGTTGAAAGTGCTTGAATGTTGACCACCTCGGGATAGGAGAAGAACTGCCGATCGCTGACCTTCAGGGAAAACTGCCCTTTCCTAAACAAATCCCCCAAACCACAGGACAATATAAATGAATTGTGCTTTCACAGAACACAATAACGATAAACTACTATACATTCAGTAAAAATGACTCACATAGGGACAGATGCTTTAGATTAAGTTTTTGCACTTAACGTCTTTATAGGATCTTTTCTGAAGATTCACAACATACAATAAAATACTGTCATCTCACTTCAAGTATGTAATAACATATCTCATTTCCATCTGTGTGTTACCTACATAGGTAATTTATCCAAGATTAAGTGCTGATTCTAAATGTCAGCTAGTCTCTGCTAAAGAAAAATGCCAATTTTCTGGTTTCAACACAGCAGTTCCCAGTCTTCAGCAACTTTGCTTCCTACTTACTTTTGCAAAGTGCCACCCTCGAACAAAACACCTTGGACATAAAGAAACTGCTTTTCTCAAGACCAGAGTCCAAAAGTTATTGTGGTGATTAGAGAGCAAAGACAAAAGCCATATGCTGCTGCATATGACTGGTGAGCATTAGCTAATCCTTGGCATCAGAGGGACACTCTGAAAGTCTTCCTGAAACTAATGGGTCAAAGGCAACTTTAGGCAAGCAGAAATCTAGAAAACTACATGGATTGCAGTCTAGTCCCAAGGTTTTACGGTGCTGTAAAGCGAGTGTAGAATTTGGCAGTGCCACTGGCTCAGTGCCTGGCAGCCAGAGGGAATTTGCTTCCTTGCAGCGTGAGCACTGCCAGGTGCTAATCACCTCTAATGGTCCCAAGAAACTAACAGAGTGCAGGCTACAGGCAAAGCAGCAGCTAATGCTGTCAAGCACAGTTGTGACATTTGTGTTCATGACTGTATCAAAAAAATTGTCGTAAGAGTCAGCATAATATGCCAGTATTTATCAGCCAAAGAAAGAGTATTCTAAAGACAAGATAGATCTTGCATTCCCAAAGCACAACAGATTGGCAGCTGTATCGCAGCAAAAATTTATACCACATAGAGAAAAGTTTTGCACCGTCCTTTATATTATAACACAGTATCTCTGAAATACAGCAATACTGTTTTTAGCAGATATGCATCTCATCATAAGGACATTTTCACATGACAAGGGAATGCCTGCTCTCCAGATATGCCCGTTTTCTGAAGGCAAGGGTTTATAGAGACTGTCACTAGTCACCTGGATTTCTCTTTGCTGTGCACAAAGCGGACTCTCTTCTCCTTGACATCCTTGTAGCTGAAGTGGTCGCCTTTCCTCAGGTGCACCTCTTTGCCATCCGCCACCATCACCAGTTTGCCGTTGGAGGGAGCACTGTCCACGTGGAACAAGAGCTGTCCTGGGTCACCACCCGTGCCATGTACCTCTAGTAAGGAGAGGTCTAGGGGCTTTACCCCACCAATCCCTACTGTGAGGGTACTGGTCACCCGGAAACTCAAATGATGCTTGCCATCTAAAAAGAGAGATGATATTAATTCCCACTATGACTGTGAGAGACTTGGGCAACTCACTTTCCATCTTCAGTTCCCACCATCAAAACTAAAAACCAACACACACTGACACACCCTGCATATGAACTAATTAATGTCCATGTGCTAATAGGAACACGCAAAAGGCACTGCAGTTGATTCAATGAAGTATTGCCCTATGACATTTTTTATTGTTGTTTTGTATTGATGATAAAGGAAAATACAATACCGTGACTGAAAAGACCTAGGCAAAATGGGTAATTTCCCTTAGATATCCATGTTCACGCACATTTTATACAATAAAAGAGTTGCAATAAAAGGGCTGCCTGCTCCCAGTGGCTAACAAAACAGCTCCAAAAACATCTCTGAAAAAAAACATTTATCTTTGATCCTAAAATTTGCTGGAATTCTGCCGGGACAGCTGCCTTACCACAGGGGACACTCACCTTCACACTCTCTGGTCCACACATTTTCATAGAAATCCTGGCCACAGGCAGAAACACACATCTTGTTCTTCAGGAAGGTGCTGCTGTCACAGAGGTGACACAGGCTGCCACTGACACACTCCAAGCACCCGTGAGGACAAGCTGAATTTAGATGAAAAGCAGAACCCCATCAATACAGCATCAAAAGTGCTTCCTCTTTGCCCATACTCTTCTGAGAGAGGCAGCAGTGACCAGAACATAGACCACAACCCCCATCCCTCTCCGCCACCTCTCTCCCGTTTTGCTCACCTATGCATTTTCGTTGTGTCTCCTCTGCATAATAACGTTTCCCACAGTCAAGAACACAACGAGTGTCCAGGAGGAAGAACGGGGCTTCGCAGAGGTTGCAGGCCTCCGGTTGCTGACACTGAAGGCAGTGCTCATCACACCCTACAAATCGTGGAGAAAGAACTCAGCTGCTTCCTGCACGGGGCCGAATGCACCTGCCTTCCAAGGGCAGGACAGGCACACGCTGGAGACCAGCAGGGCAAACGTGTTGTTAACAGTGATTAGAAGCAAAGCTCGAGATGAACTCACTCTGGCACGTGTCTGCCTCCTTGTAGAAAGCTAAGGGGCACTGTTCCAGGCAAGTTCCTTCATGGAGAACGTAGCCATCCATGCACTGCAGGCAGTCGGTCCTCTGGGGGCCTTTACAAGCATTGCAGCTCCAGTCGCACTCTGGAAGAAGAGAATTCAATGTAGGGCAGCCCTCCCCAGGGAGTACAGCTCACCCCACACAAACGCCGAGCACCTTTGGGACCTATGAGCTAGGGGAGTATGATCACAAACAGCAGAGAAAGAATTGCTTAAGAGATACTAAAAAGAAAGTATGATTTGAACCGAGTGACTTCTTACAACATAACATACATCCTCTTTTTCCACCTCTTGGCCTTAACATGTCAGATTCCAACTGGTTTATCTTTTGTTCAGCATTCCAACCCATGCGACATGGGTGCAGCTCCGTAGCTTGTAGAGCCTGATTTTACCCTGAAAGCATCAACACTCCTTCTCTTATAACTCTGGGTCTGTTGTTCATTAATAATTATCCAGTTCATTAATAATTATCGAGTCTACTTGATCAATCTCGTCCCTTGCAAATGCAGCACCTTCTGGGATGCCCAAGGCTCTTCTAACCACTTTGACCACAAGAGAATGAAATCATTGTCCCTTGCCCTCCAATGCCACCCTGAGGAGTCACAAGTCCAGAAACGCAGCAGTTACTGCTTGGATCACATATGTCTCCAGGTGCCCTTGCATTATCCCTCCTCAATTCCTCCCTCCAGATACTAAGAGAGAGAACCAAGTAGAAACGAGCACTGAACAAGTCACTGCTATTAAATCCTCAGGTGGTGGCATTCTGCAATACAGCCGTTATCCTCACTTATTACCATCAACAAAGGCTCTCCCTGGGAGTTCTCGAAGTCTTTCAAGTCATGGGTCTTTGAAATCACTCCCAAACATTGTTGCTGCAGTCATCCAGCAATGCAGTAGTTAAGAAGTCAAAGAAAAGCAGGTAAGTACACAAGGCCCTACCAGCACTCTAAAAAAAGAAGGGCCAGGTAAGCTCACTCGGTATTCAGCTGACCCATGCCTAAAGGAATTGCACGACCTGACCCTTGAAAAGTTTCCTGGCTCACTTATGGAATCATTTACAAGAGACGGATTTGCAATAATCTTGTTTTTCACTGCAAGGTTGAAGTATGTGACAACAGCTTGCTGCAAAAGAGGAAAACTGCAGACACCACACAAGTGGCCTGTTACTAAACAACTGCCCCCTCACACATGCTTTTTATAGTAGGCCACCTGTACAGATCATGCTGCAGATTATACCAAAGTATTAGCCCCGTTTGTTGCAATTATTATTTTTTTTTCTTTAAGCCAGCCAAGAATTTTTCACCTCTGCAGGTCTTGGTGGAAAAATCAAGATAATACTGCTGGGCACAGCTCTCGTACTGGCATTCTCCAAACAGCAGGACCTTGGCAGGATCTCTGCAAGACGTACAGCCCGCGGCTGACTCGCAGCTCAGGCACTGGCTGTTGCAAGCTGTGGAAGGAGAAAGGAAAGAACTGTAATTATTGAGAGACCAGCCAACTGTACAAGTAAAAATGATTTTTTCCTGTAGCTTCTCTGTGCCAGGTCCTTGCAGAGAGACACCTGTGGAGACTTCAGGTTCTGCTTCTTGCATCTTTCCTGACAACTTCAAAAGTGTAAAGTCTCCCTTAGTTTGTAAAAGACATGTACATCTCCTCGGAGACCTTCATAACACTGCTCCTAGGCACTGCATCTCTCTCTCCTCTGCAATGATCAGGATAAAAGATGGAACTTGAATGCAGATCTCCAAATAAGAGCTCTCCTTGTCTCTGTTTTGCTATTCTTGTTTTGCTGTTGCTGTTCTTTTTAAGCGTGCTATGTTTTAAATGATTATTGATTTAAGTCATGAAGACACATGTTTTAGAGACCATAATGATCTGCTTCACTCAAATGAGCAACCCCTCAGGGAACCAGAGGCCCATCAAATTTCACGTATTGTTTCCTATTTCTCTAGTTGGCCAATTTGAAATTTTGGAATCCAGGGAAGCAAATAGCAAGGCCAAGAAAAAAATAATTTGGGAATTTACTGAATCTAGGATCAAAGTCCAGAGGGTCAAAATACTTCAACTCTCCTCTTTGGCACCCAGGGTCTGACCTTTGCAGGAGCTACATTAATAACCAAGTGATATCAGGGCTCTTTGCTAATTCACAGAAGAAGGTTTAATACTACTGTGAAGGACTGACAAATATTTCCCAGCACTTGGCCCCACGTGCTGAAAGCCCACTCAGATACTGGTGAGACAAAGTGGTACAAAAATAATCAGCCACTTCCAAAGATTCACAGCACATTGCAACTGCATGTGGAGAAAACTCATGGAGATTTGCATGTCTGCTTTACACAAAATTAAAAAAAAATGTAATTCCCATGCTGGCAAACACTGCAATGGCCCGTGCTAAAGGACTTTTAATACCTTTTAAAGCAAGCTGAGCACTGCTGTCTCCACAAGCTGTCAGAATCTTTGGCCAAGCTCAATTCTGCACTTGGAATAAATCAGGCAAGTCCTGAAAAGCCAACTCCAAGCACTTAAACTAAGGAATAAAGCTTAGCCGACCATTTTTAATGAATCAAAAAAAAAAAAAAAGGAACCAAAATCTCTCACAGGGCTACAGTGCAGGTATTAAACAGGGATGTGCTATTTGTGGAAATGCATTTCCATTAGTTTTATGCTATTTGTGGTAATTCATTTCTCTCTGCTTTGAATTTAAGGTTGAGCTTTACAACCACAAAGCTCCAAATACAGAAACACAGCTGAAAATATCCACACATTGCTCCTGTGGAAACCTAATCCAATGTGTCCTTCAAAATAATTACTTGTTTTATCTCATCTCAAGAATGTCACAGAAGGCCCGGATTTTGCTGAAGTACAAATGACTTTCTAGCAAAATCCAGCAACCTTTTTCAGGTGCTCTAGTACTAGTCTCATTTCAGCTACCTTACTAGCTGGAACTGAACATAATGTGAGTATTAAATGGAATAATAACAATTCATAAGATGCTATAAAAAGCCGACTATTAAAAGCATGGTAAAACTCACCACATGAAGTGTGGTATGAGGAAAATAGCAACAGAAATCAAGTTACCCAAAGAGGCATTCCTGAGCAGTAAGCAAAAACTACATTTGAAAGCAATCATATCTGTTTTCCTTATCAGCAGGACTCCATCCCTACAGTTTTAAACCCAAAAAGAGCTTGTTAAGCTTTGCACTGTTCCTCGGCCAGTATTTCAGCGAGCTTAAAAACATCTCAGAGGGCAGGTATATGCACTCAGCGTTCAAATGAACTCCAATCCAAACCTGAGGTCCTCAAAAGCGCAACGTGACTCAAATACTCTTTGGAGAGAGAGCAAATTTCTCCACCTAACAGCCAGCCTCTGATTAACCAACCCTCCTTAGCCTTAAGTGGTAGTTTTGCAGCAGCCAGGCGCAGTTAACCTCTCCATGCCTTATCAGCAGCACTTCACTTGAAAAAGGCACAAGTGACAACTGGAACGACAAAAATCCAGTGCCCCGACACACTTTGCCTTGAGCCTCCGGCCACATGGATTGCACCCACTTCTTAAAAAGCCATTTGCCAGCTAGCAGATTGGAAATAGCTCCTTGTAGTGAGAGGTTGCTTGCAAAAAAAAAATCTATTTGCATTTGAGCTACTAACCTAAATTCGGGAAGGGCGCAGTGCCCGGGAACATTCCACTTGCAGCAGGATGTCCTGAGGGGGGCTAGCAGGGGGAAAGCTTTCATTAGGAAAGGGCATTTTCATTAGCAAGAGGACTATTTTGGCCTTAATGACAAGAAAATCTAGACAGCAGGAGGGAACAGTGAACACCCTGTAGAGCTGGTATGATAGTAGGCAGGACAGTAAGAATCCTGTGATTCTGTTCTTTTTATTCCTTTTTTATTACTTCCCTTCTTTTTTATTACTAAAGAGCCTGCTTTTTTTTCTGCCAGCTGAAGAATAATACAAATTCTTCCAGCTATTTCCTTGAACTTAATGCAAGGTGCCTCCATCTCTGCTGATACGATGGAAATATTAGTTTCCAGAGAGCAAATAAATCTCAACAAAAGGCAAGTAAAGCTGACAACCATATCAGTTTCTTCCTATCAAACTTCATCAGTAAAGAAACTGGGTCTAGATAGGATGACACTGATACCTACTCTCAGTGCAGTGCAATGGAGTTATTCTATCACAAATTAGGATAACTTAAATTACAGTAACACAGATCTTAAGAGATCGGAGTGTTCAGGTTCAGACTAAGCAAACCATTTAAGAACTCGTTTGTTTTTAGGTGTGTTTATTATAGTGAGTCAATTTAAGAAGGCATTTTAGTATTTTTTTTTATGTCTTTGGGCTACAAAATCTGGCATATTGGAACATCAAGCCTAATAATTGAGTAACGACTCCATTGATGTCAAGGCCAAAAAAAAAAAAAAAAACCCATAAAATAAAAAAAGAAACACCTGGGTGATTCACAGGTGATATGTTTGCTTGATATGATAGCTTGCATAAGCATAAATATTATTGGACTTAGCATCCAATTAATTGCATCAGATCATCAGACATAAAAACATCACAGTTTAACTATGTGAGTCAGGGATGGATCTGCCTGGCTGCACCTCATTTCTACTGGAGTTTTCACCAGTGGAAAAATTTGCCCTCAGGGCTGAAGTCTTAGTAGGGCTAAAACTGGTCCAACCATGTCAAGTTGAGCAACTAAGATGATTAAGGGAATGGAACATCTCTCTTACGAGGAGGGGCTGAGTGAGCTGGGCCTGTTTTCTCTGGAGAAGTGAAGGCTGAGAGTGGATATGATTAACATGTATAAGCTCAGGAAGGGAGAATGCAGGGAGGAAGGGGACARGCTGTTCTCACTGGTGGCCAGCGAGAGGACGAGGGGTAATGGCCACAAGCTGGAGCACAGGAAGTTCCGTCTCCAGGTGAGGAGGGTGACAGAGCAGTGGAACAGGCTACCCAGGGGGGCTGTGGAGTCTCCTACTCTGGAGGTCTTCAAAACCCGCCTGGATGCCGCCCTGTGCCACATGCTCTAGGTACGCCTACTTGAGCAGGAAGGTTGGACTAGATGATCTCTAGAGGTCCCTTCCAACCTTGAATATTCTGTGATTCTCACAAAGCCTGGAGTCCATCAGTTCTTCTGGCCTCTGCTTTATGTACTGCCTGGATAAGGAAGCTTTACACAAGCTCTTTGGTAGTTCTTTTTCTGTGAAATCCAAGGCCTCCTGTCTCTGAAGTCAATAACAAAACCATAACTGTGCTCCAATCTAAAGCCTTCTGTAGGCTCTGAGTCTCAGGCAGCGGGAACTTGTATCAGCTCACTCCGAATTTTCAGCCGCTTGAAGTCTTCTGGCAATAGGAACAGTAGCAAAGGAGGAAGAGAACACACGCTGGGGATTATCCTGTGGGAGGGAGAGAGGGCTTAGAGAGAGACACTCACGTTTGCAGGTCTGGCTCTCATCTCTGTAGTATCCCGGGGAGCAGACAGGAACGCACATGCTGGTGTGGGACAGCACCAGGCTGCTGTTGCAGGAGGAGCAGGAAAACGGGCCCTCGTCGCTGCAGGTCTTGCATGAGGGGTGACATCCTGCAGGGACAGCAAGAGCAAATGTTTCTGCTCAAGGAAAAGCAGATCTTTAAGTGAGTTTCAAAGGATCCAGCAGACCCCGCCTCAGAGAGCAAGATCAGCAATGCTAAGTATCCGAAGTTCTCACTAAATTCTAAAACAGCTGCTGGTGTTCAGCACTCAGGAGCAGCATTAGAGCCACTTTGAACCTGTCGGAGGCTCTCCTTCACATGCTTATGCTCTCTTCTCCCAGTCCCTCTGCTTCCTAATCTGACTGAAGAGATTTAAAATCCTGCAGTGGATGTGGCCAATCTACCCTGTTATCCTTCCTGGAAGGGAAAACACAGACCCAACTTACTTGTCCGTGCAATTTCAGGATGAGTCTTTACCTGAAAAATGATGGCATCATTATACCCATCAGGCCGAATTCACTGTGAGGGTACACAGAAAAATTAAGAGGAGTGACTGATCTGCGCTGTGCTGGAGATCTTAAATGCCAACATAAAATGCAATATGAGCTTTGACAGGCTGAATAATGCAACACTGCTTTTAAACGAAAACTTCAGACCAAATGGAAGAAATGTTGTCCCTAGCCTTGGATTTCCAGGCAGGCAGAATTTCTTTCTCAGAAGTTTTCGCCATTCAATGACATGGAGAAAAACTCATACATCTCAGAGATTCTGTTTGCTAAAAGCAGGTAAATAAACACACAGCTCCTGGAATACTTGACAGGTGCTTTGAAACAGTAACCATTAACGTAGACGAGGTTAGGCAATGCCACATCCTGCAGCGGGAGCAAATTTGCCTTCTGCATCTTGACTTGAATGGGCAGAATTTCTTGTCTTGATTTGCTTCTCTTAAACCAACCTTCAATGCTCCATTTTCAGATTAAGATTCATTGGGCTCTGTGGGCCCCGTAATGAGGAAAGCAATCTACTTCCTTCTAGCAGGAGTCCAAGAAGCATAAAACAGCACAAAGACAGAAATACAAACCCATAAACAAGAACAAAAATTGCAGCAGACTCAGGGACAGGTAAAGACTCAAAAAGCTGGAGAACAGAATAAATTATCAATCTATCCTGATTGTGCTCCGCAGCTGGAGCTGCAGGCTGATGGAACTGGTTTGTTGTGCCAGAGGAATGACTGCCTTTTGGACCATTACTGCAGCAAGGCAATGCTCAGTGAGCATCAGGCAATCTGCAAGGAGATCCTAGAAAGGATGACGCTCCATTCCAAGCTGCAGACTTCTGGAAAAGTTCCTCATGCTAAAAAGTCTGTCTTTTATGAGCAGAAGTTGTACAGCCCCTTGAACACATGTCCAGGAAGTATCTTCAAGGAACAACATCCAGAAGTGTACTGGTATCACAGAAATTGGAGATTCAGTGAAGGACACCTGAAGTGATCCGTGACTGTGGTTAAACGGTCCATCTCCTCCCATGAGCAGCCGCAAGAAAGCTGCAGAACTCACTGAACTGTCACCCTGTTGTCTGTGCCACCAGCTTTGAGAGACAGGAGACACAGCCACTCACCTCCACCTCCTCCTCACAAACACCACGGTCTGGTAGTAACACTGCAGTTGCTAACAGTATTCGAACAGTGGGCTCAAAGCCTTGGCCTTAAAAAGACGCTGTCTAAAGCCGAAGACGAGGGGCAGCGCAGTGAGAGTGTCCCCAGGCACCCAGCAGAGACGTCGGCCAGGCAGGACACCCCCAGGCTCCAGGGCAGGGTCTCCCCACCGGAGCAGGATCCCACCCTGCAGCTACCCCTGGGGCTACTCACTTCTGCAGGCGCCGCTCCGGGCGAAGTATCCGGCCGGGCAGTCGGGAACGCAGTGATCCCCCAGGAGCAAGTGCCGGGCGTTCTGACACGTCAGGCAGATGCTGCCCGTGTCCCGCAGGTTGGCCACGCACTGACGGCACAGAGGATGGCAGTCTGGAAGGAGCAGGGAAGAACAGAGGCTGTGACCACAGATAAACGAGAGCTGCTGTGGGGAAATGCCCGAGGATCACACGAGGGAAGGAATTTTCAGAGTCCTTTCCTGCTATTTGGGGCACAAGGGCTGAGATGGGGCGCTGAGCACTGCGCTCCCCGGGGGCTGCAAGGCACAGCTTGAATATCATCCACATGTCTCCAGTCCTGTTCAAGCATCTTCTCTCCCCTCCTTCTTAAAACTAGCTTGGGAAAACTTGGCCAGACAGCGGTTGGAAGTGCTCTGCTTTCCCTAGTCCTTCCTTTGTTTTCAGGTGCGTCCACCTACAAGTTTCTCCAGCAAAACGATGCTGCCAGCTATAGGCATTCGCTGCCCTTTGCCATCCTTTCAAAATAAAGAATACAACCTGCACAGCCCATCACCTTCTCCCACGGCTCACACTCCTCCGAGTTTCCCACACAAATGAGACCTCCGTATCCCAGAAAGGCTGCAGCGTACCACAAAGCCAAGCAAAAAGCTGCACTGAGAGCTGCATGAGAGGACCTTGAAACCTTCTCCTTTTTTCTTTTCCTCAGCAGCACAGAAACTAATGTCTCCTGACCTCTCTCTGAACTTGAGCGCTTAAAAAGCTTTTACAAGCGGCCTTTTGTACGCACAACAGTGCGGTGTAAGGCAACCTGGAAGCCAAATTAATCCTCATTACGGTAATTTAGAAAATTATAAAGGAAACGACGACTGTCTTGAAAGAAATGTAATAATGAGGCTTGATTCCAGTACCTGGCCTCCTGTCAGGTTTCCAGTGACAGCTCAGCTCTCTGTGCTTTGGCTCTCCTGAAAGCATCGCTAGAGACTGTCAGGCAATCTAATTTTACAAGCTGAAGAGAGGGTCGCATTGGAGATCCAGGGAATTCTGCATCCACCCCTGCAAAAGCTGCAGCAGCAGCTGGTTTCAAGCCCCCAGCTGCTTTCTCCTAAGTCGGACTACAACCCAACGAGGCTCTCCAGACCCCGGGCAGGAAGCACGGATGCAGCATGGAAAGAAATCCAGTCCCGAGTGCACACAGCGTGCAAGGTCCTCAGGGCAGCTGCCTCCTCCCCATCCTGCCTTCACAGGCTCTGTGACCCGGGTAGTCCCTGCTGCCACCTTGCAAACTTGGGGGGAAAATTCGCAGCCAGAGGGGAGGTGAAGGTGTGCAAGAACAGGGACTAGAGAGAAAATGAGAGAGAGAAAATGTATGGAGCCCAAATAACTAGAATTTACTCTAAATAACTGGACCATCCCAAAGCAAAGTTTAAAAGACTTAAGTCTCTACAAAACCAGGTGCTGCTGCAGCACACTCTGCTCCTCTTGAAAGCCTCTATCTATGATCCTATATGTTGAAAGAAGTCTTCTTATTTTTTCATTTAATGCTCTATAAGAAATCATTCCATACCTCTCTCGTTCCTTTGAAAACCTGGAGATCAAAGAGTACACAACAGCAAAAAAAAAACCCTGATACTGGTGCTGAATTTGAAGGGCCTTGGGAAGCTAGTGACAGAAGAAAGAACTGAAGGGCTTCGTATTGGAAAAGATTATTTAAATTTTTCACAGCAGGCACCCTTTGAAGGAGCAGGGGCAGAGTATTTTCTTGATGCTTCTCAGCAGTAACTCATATCCATATTTGTTTCCTGTTTCCACCTTCTCCATAGCGATCCTCACTGCAGCTCGGCCAGGATGCAACTCCATGGAGGTACCTGGCCTCGCATGCCCAGCATGTTTGCTGACAGCCACTTAGCTTACCTGATTCCTTTAGACTTTCTCCACTATCCAGACTGGATTCTTCTGCCTCCCATTCATCTTTTCAAGATTACTAAGCTGCTTAACACTCTCCAGACAAAACTTCTCCCTGCTGGCCCTTTCGGCCTGCTCTTCTTTGCCAATTCAAACCCCTGTGCAACATTTAAGTATTGTGGATCTTGCTATGAAGCAGGTTATAGGATGCAAAGTACGATATCATGGCTTCACCGATTGCAGTTTTCACAGCTACTCCATGCTCGCCCTCTCTGCAGCTTTTTCTTAGCATGCAACAAAAACGCAAACAAAACTGTGCCCTTGTTATACGGAAAAGCATCTACAAGCTGCTTCCTTGCCTGTAAGCAGAGAAGAGATGTTTGGGAAGCCAAAATCATCTTTAAAGTGTTTGTGAATGACGAGAAAGGAAACCAGAGGCATTTCTACCGCTCAGTTCCTCCACTAGCAGAACAATCAACCACTTGTATTGTTCAAATACACTTTCCCACTTAAGGCTCTTTTGAACGTTTTTCCCTGGTTCAAATTTCACATTCTACTTACTCAGGTATCGTATGAGGATTACGACAGGGCACTACTCTCAACTTGTGTAATTTACAGGTGTGTCTGCATGCAAACATCCTGCAGCAAGAAGTCCTTCCCAGCGAGAAGTCCAGAAAGAGAAGTCACCGTAGGTGACTTGGCTCATCCCTAGTCACCCAGAAGTGACCAGGATTTTTGTTTGTTGTTTCTTCCAAGAGTTTTCATTTCTCTCCTAAAAAGAGCCAAATAGTCTTTGCCACATAAAACAGTGAGGTGAACTCCTAGTGAAGCAAAATCCTGTTGGCAGGATTTGCCTGCACTGTCTGAAAGGGGCAAGAGCTTCTCTGGGCAGAAGGTCCAGGTAGATGGTGCCTGGCACAAATGAACCCAGATCAAAGTGGGGAGATGGCCTTTCGGTCTCCTCACCTGGCAATTCAGCTGGTCATTTCTGCAGGAGACTGCACACCAGTGACTAAGCAGAGCTAAGCCTCGCTCTTGTTCTGCTCGGGGAGGCTCCAGCCCCTGGGGATGATATCAGCACTGAAGAGGACGCCAGCAGCCCCTTAATTTTACAAGTCACTGAGCGTATTTCTTGCTGTCAGCATTCCTACTAGACTTGTAAGCTCCTCATTTCATCTGCTGAGAGCTTCCATTGACTCAGGAGAGCAAGGAGGAAGCCTCAAGACAGGCATGTGACTTTTTCAAAACAGAAAGGTGAGTTTTTAGTATTAACATAGGGTGTTATGCAGAGGACAACAGTTTTAATGATGGTGCTGCATTCTAAACTGGTAACTGGACTTGTCTCGAATGAGCAACTGAGAGAGGGAGAGAGAAAGCAAATAATCTTTACAAAGTGGGAAAGCGCAAAACACAGAAGACCCGAGACTCCATAGAGGATGGCTAAAACTACACACACACTCCTGTGCATACTCTTTAACTATAAAATACAATTCATAAACTGAGTACTCTCCAGAAGACTGCCACAAATTCATTATACCCCAACAGGAGCCTAGAAAGTCACCGATCCTTTAAATCTGAGGCCATTTTATCGTTTGTCTGCTTCCACTTGAAATGCTTATTTGATAAAGTGCTAAAAATGACACTTTTTTCTTTTCCTATTAACAAGGCGAACGCTCCAGTCCTCATTCAGGTAACACGTACAATCAAAACACTCATTCACAGGCAATGGTTTCAAAGGACAGTTGGTTTTCTCCATCCTCTGTGAAAGATTCGTCCCCGTGGGTCTATAAAGCCTGACAGGTGGCTATAATGCAGAGCAGAGCCTATATGTCACCACACAGCTCTGCCTGGAGGATGAGGAATAGCAGAGAGATGGGAAGATAACTGTAAAAAAAAATGATTGCTTGGGGAAGGAAAGGAAAAAGCTTTGTTAGATTCTGATGCAAATGGTGTGTAAGGCAAGTGTCAGGGGTTTCACTGCTTTCTTTTATGGGACAGCTGCTCTTTAGTTGGTAATTAATAAGCTGCCAAAGCAAATTTAGCTGTTCAATCAGTGCTGAATGGGGCAAATGGGTGAAATTTAACAGGCTGGATGTGGAGCTTTTTATCTGTAGCAGAACTAGCAAGATTTATCATGTGCTTAAGCATCAGGGCCAAGTGTGGCACAAGGAGCCACACATTTTTAACTGCAAATCCAAGACCAAAGTCCAACATTTCTTTTTAAGGTAACAAATAACACTGTTCTCCTAGGTCAGTTAGACAGAAAAACATCACCGAAGAGCAGAGAAGAGAAACTGCACCTAAGAGCACACAGACATTAAGGGTCCCCAAGTTAAGACCAAGGAAAACTTTATACTGGCCTCTCTACCACAGAAGAGTCCCACGGCAAGCCCAGGGTGAGAGCTGGGTGGGGGAAGGCTGTTTCCTCATCCTCTTATCCTACATTGTACCGCACACTCAGCGACTGCAGCCGCTGTGAACCGAGCCTTGAGAACACGTTTCTATTTTGAGAAGATGACTCTACAAAGAGTGCCCGCTGGTCACGGCCCGCTGGGCTTTGAGATAAAGCTTGCTTCATTTGCAAGGAAAGGCTGCGTTACCAGACTGCAGTCGCCTTGCAGTGCACGGAGTCAGGCGAGGTCCCTTCCAGCTGATTCATCACTGTCAGTGCAGGGAGTCTCCAGGTCAAACCATGCCCCCTACAACGTCCCAGAGGCCCCACTCTTCCTAATTACCTGTCCTCATTACTGCCAGGCCCACCGAGGTCTGCTTAATCACCTAAGATTTGGGGAGCACATTTATTGCTCTGTGACACTTCACCAAATTCACAAGCATCAGCAGCCTAAGAGGGATAATTAAAGCATATAGTGTGAAAGGAGCAGCAAAGAAAACCCTTCTCCAGAAAAATGTTTGTGATAAACCGAACATTTTTTTAAATAAAATTTGCAGCTTGCATGCCTCACATTTCCAGGGACCAGGGAAAGGATCTTGAAAGGTAATGGGAAAATAAGGTGGAGGAAATAATGTGCACACAGCTATGGCATTACAGGATATTAATGAGCACTGTTATATCCCCTGAAATGTTACAGGGCAGAGACAGCACACAACACTGAAATGCTGAGCAATTTCCATAGTGTGACCACCAGTGTGTATGAAACAGCCTGATTCCCAGTCTGACTGCTTGCATATATAAGGAGCTGTACAATACTTCAGGGGCATCTTCCCACTCTTTAGGTACCTTGTTCTCTCCTTTTAATGTCTGAACTGTAATTAAGTAAACCAAGAACTGTTGGTTAAAAAGATGATGAAGAAACAGGTTCTAAAAATTATCTGTGAAGAGTAAAGAAACGAGTATTTAAAAAAATGAACAAAGACATGTATAAAAAAGGAGTCTTAGCAAAGGGAGTCATCCAGACTTCACTGAGAATGATTGCCTCTCAATGGATTTATTTATTATGTATGCTGCAGTTCTTCCCTATTCTTACGCTTATCCAGTTTGGAACTATTCAGGCTAGGATAAGCCTCACACATTGTATCTTTTATTTGATAAAGAAAAGAAGTGTTTTGATAAAGCTCAACAATTTCTGGAGCGGTTCCCAGGATATGTTTATACATGTCTGCATGATGGATTAAAAGTGATTTCTCTTTTTAAATAGGTAAATGCAATTAGTGACTTCTGATGATAGGCTTAAATGTAGGCACAGAGCACCCACGGAGTATAACCCCTGTCTATAAATCTTATTATCTCCCAAAAATGCACAGACAATCCTAGCTGTGCCAGCTTTTCTTTAGGGCCCCATAAGCTGCTTCTCATAACAAACGTTCCCTTGATTCACTTTGCTCTGTGATGAATCTAAGCTTTCCTGCCCCTGCATCCACTGAGCTTGGCTCTGCTCTCAGAAGGGACTCTGTTTTGGCCACCACACAGCACCACCACAGACATTACAGACGCTTGGGACTGCTCCTTGCTTGAGGAAGCTGCAGAGTGAGTGTCACCCTGTATGACCCACGCAATCTGCTACTCACCCACGCAGTAGCCCACCAGGTTGAGATACTGCTCCTCCTTGCACTTCGTCCTGCACCTCCCACCCGCCAGCGTCGCGTGGGGATGGCAGGTGACGCAGTCCGAGTCTGCAGGGCCACGACATGTCTTGCAGGATGGATGACAGGCTGGAGAGGAGAACAAACACTCATTGGAACGCACTCGGTAGAGCCTTTCTTCCACCCTACCCATAAACCCGGCTCCTCTGATAATGTCTTACTCCTATATGGACGTAAAACGGGGTTGAAAGCACAAGTGACTGCAGAGTTTTGATTGGGATGGTTTTGACATTCTTCTTTTAAACAAAGGAAATGCAGAGAGAGTTGAAAATTAAAAGCTTTGCTTTTCTTCTCTGCATAAATCAAGGTATAGATATATACAAAACACAGTTATCAGTCCATATATTCCTCCCCCTAGCATACGTGTGTGCATATAGGAAGAGTGTGGTATGCAAGAGAGATAAACTAAGCATCTCGGTATTATACAGAAATTATTGTGGCTCTGAGATCGATATGCATGAGCGGGGAACCCAGGAGTGAATTCTGCACAGATCCCTCCCTGACTGAGCGCACTAAAACCTAAACGTGGTGCTGTCTCATCAGCCACTCTGTGCCTGGCAGAAGCGCAACGAAAGGACCGCAGAGAAAGAGATTAAGATTGCTCAAAAATATTTCACTCAAGCTGGTTTTTGTATCCTTCTACCTTTAAAGGCAGGTGCCTTATTTCCATGATTCCCACACTACAGATGCAAGGCCCTACAGATAATCTGCAGAAAAACCTCTTAAAAAGCAGCGTAGAAACTCCTCAGTGGCTAAAAGCACACAGCTTCAAAGCCTCCCACCTCAGGCCTCCCCAGGTTCCCTCTCCACATGGAAGCTGGGGTTCTTCCCACAGCTGTACAGCGCAAGGCTCCGGCGTTTCAGACTCAGCCCATCACCTCCCACCACCTTCTCAGCCTCTCAGAAATTATGCCCATGATTCTGCTGCTCCGTAAAAGCAAAAGGGAGAGTCGGACTCCTAGACACGTCGCTCTTAACTGAGTCGTGCTGTGCAAGAAATGAAGGAGATGCAAGCTGGCAGCGTGGAGAAAGCCGCCGCTCTCCTGACAGCTGAATTGGGTTCCCAGGACATTTACATAAGGCTGGGATCTGAAGCTGTATAATGCAGCATTCAGCAGCTACCTCAGCTCTTTGGGAGCAGCACACGGGCTCTGAATTGATGAATCTTTACAAAGGCTTGCCAAAGGAATATATTTATTGAGTTTTCCCCTGGATGAGCAGATTGAATAAATAGAATGATGGACTTCAGAAGGGCTCCCTCTCTCTGAGCTTTCAGCCTCTTGGGGAAGCAACTAAACTAACTTCAGCGAATTTCTCCTACCGCCGGGACAGATGCACGGACACCTGATCTGCTAAATCTATTAAAAAAGAAACGACAACCTGCAGCTGACCTCGAAGGGCCCGCTCGGCTTCCAGCCGCCTGCCTTTCCTCCCCCAGCGTCCCATAGCGAGCGCAGGCCCCACGGCCAGTGTTCTGCAAGGGGATCGAACCGCTGCAGTCGCTCTGACAGTCAGTGGTCCCAGTCACAAGATCAAGTGCCCTCGATAACGGCCTCATGTCGACCGCTGGGCAAGCCGAGGACACGAGTGCGTGATGCTGCCCGCCCTGCCTAATCAGGCACATCCATGGTTTTTATCTTACGTCTGCAGAATTTCTTCCTCCTAAACTCAGCCCTACAGTCAGCAAGGGATGGAAAATAAATCTATTTCATATGGGCAATATATTTAGCCAGACTAATAAAACCAGTGCATGCTTCAATTCTACCCGGTATGCTAAAGAGCTCTTGAGCCGCAATGTGCTGGCTAAGAATATCACCGAAATAAAAAGCAAAACATTTTCAGGGAACCAATCCATGAGAGACAACCTGACTATAATTTCTGTTTCAGTGTGTATGTTTCTGTCCCATTAGGCAGAGGTTGCATTTCCTGAAGCTGGACTGTACCTTCTTCCCCAAAAATACTTAAGTAGCCTCATATAATCTCACAGCATCTGTAATTACATTGAAAAAATACATCACAAAATGTGCATGCAAGGAAATTGGCAGCTTGAGCGGCAGGTGCCTGCACGTTGCACTCACCGTAGCAGCGGTCGTCGTGGCTGAACAGCCCCTCTGGGCACGCGGAGAGGCATCGGCCTTCGAGCAGGACGTGGGAGGACGGACAAGCCGTGCAGTCCTGGGGAGCACTCCCCACGCAGCCCGCACAGGAGGGGTGGCATCCTGCAGGAGAGGGAAAAACAGAGAGCGCCAAATGAATTTCTAGCTTCTCTCTGCTGTTTCTGTCCTAGAGTCCAGCGAGATTGCTTTCTCCCCTAAGAAAACATGAAGGTATTTGCTCATAGGATTTGATGCTTGTGAAAGGTATAAAGGGCCAAAGGGCTAAGGCTGTGGGCCATGCTTCCTGAAGATAAGGAGCAGCCACAAATAGCTGCGTGTTTCATCTGTCTCTGAATCCATGCAATTCATTCCTGAGTTTCTAAAGTGGAAAGCAGAGATGCACAGTGCAGGGCAATGCCAATCGCCTGCCTTTATGAGCTCTGGGGCCACGCCAGGCGGGCAGAGCTGGAAATCAGCTCCTGTTAGCACCCTGCCCTCCCCGCAGCAAGGATTTTGAATCAAAGTTTGAATTATTGCATGCTCACACCCTTGTGCAATAAATCAGCTCTTCTAGGGCCACGACCAAGACAGCAGAGCTGCGGGCACGCGGGGCAGTGCCGGCATTCCTGCCCGGGGACGAACGTGAGCACCGCTGCCCAGGCCTGTCAGTGCAGGTCTGTTCTCCACGTTGAAGTGCTGCTGTGCAGGCTTCTGCATTCGGTTTCAATACCATAAGCTACAATCAGCCAGGAAAATCCATCTCCTGCCACGGGATGGGCACTGCATGCAAGAGCGCCAGCATTCGGTCTGCAGCCTCTCCAAGAGTGCCAGCCAATATACCCCATAGCAGAGACCCAGCTGCTGTAAGGTGCCATCTCTCCATTGACCTAAAATGTGTTAAGGTAATTCGTGCTGACTAGGGATGCTTTGGCATAATTTTGCAAGTAAAGGAACACAAAACCTGTGGTGATCCTTCTCTGTGCTCTTCACAGCCGTCTCACAGAACAAAGCATGGTACTTCATTTAGGGACAAAAGGAAGGCAATGCTCCTCAGCAATTAGTATCAAGGTGACTTGAGTTATATTTTGTGAGCTGTCACAGTGCTTTACAGAAAAGAGATTCTCTTCTCCCATTTCAAACACTTTAACTCTCCAGACATGCAAGGTCCAAAACAATTGAAGAGTAAAAGCTGCACCTTGATTTCAATGGAAAGAAGGCTAAACTGTAGAGGCGAACACAGTCATTTAGAAAGGTGGACTGAATCCTTTACTCACAAACTATTGTTGAGCATATTTACTTCCAGAAGTGCCACCACGTTGCACTACTCACGTGTGCAGACTCCTGCGCTATCCGGGTGGAAGTGGGCTTGGCAGCGGGCGAGGCAGAGGCCGTGCAGGGCTCCGCGCAGGCGCCCGTCGGGCTGCAGGGCGCGCGGCGCCGCGCACCGCACGCAGTGGGAGGCCTCGGGGCCCACGCAGGCGCGGCAGGACGCGTGGCAACCTGCGCGCGGGGAGAGAGCGGTTAGAGCCGCCGCTCCGGCCACGGCTATGCGGATATATGGATAAGGGAGAGCAACTGGGCACATCCGAGCACCTCATCCCAAACACGAGAGGGAAAGCCCTCATTTGGACCCTCTCGGTCATCCTACTTTCCACTTCTGCATTCCTGCGAACGGGTCAGTGCTCAAACAGTCAGCCAAGGGTGCGCGACTACCTTGCAGCAAGTCACAGGTTAAGAATCTGGTCCAAAACTAGGCAAGATGCTGGATTTTCTATAATGGAGCCGTGGTTTTTTTTGTTTGTTTGTTTGTTTTTTTAATATTATTTTGCCATCTTTTCCTATAAAAAATAATGCCTCTTTTCTTGAATAAATGAAGTAGATAAGCAAATAGTGTAGAGGGGAAAAAAGCTGCAGTTCTATGCCACAGGCATTCCATTTTCTTTTAAATTCTAGAACTGCAAAGGTGAACAGAGCCTCACTAGAGCAGAGAGCAGAAAATACAGTCTGAAAGGGTTTGTGAGTAGCACAAATTCATCTTTTGTATTTTCAGGTTTTTCATTGCTGCAAGATGACTTCACCCTTAGCAAATTTGCAAGGTAACTGTAAAATGTTTTTCACCTCTTATCTTGAGTCAAGAAAAGATTCAAAGTGCTAGGAATGTACATTATACCATGGATAAAATATCCTTAAGATCACCAAATCCTGAGCAGGTGAAATCACACAGAACAAATATACAAATATGGTGGGGGTTGTTTTTCAACGTGAAAAGCAATCAGGAGACAATTGGAGGAATTACTCTTTCCTTGACAGTTCAGCCTAAGATAAAGGGCTAGAATCACAGCAGGATGCCCAAAGGGCAGCACACCAAGAGCCAGCATTGACCAGACTGACTGCCAGCAGCCTGGGAACTTGCCCAAATTACACGGCTTACCCTTGCAGACGTTTTGATCCTGGTAAAAACCCTCGCCACAACCTTGCAGGCACTGGCCCAGATGCAATGCCAGGGGAAGGGCACAGGAGGTACAGTGGGTGGCCAAAGGTCCCTCGCAGGTGGAGCACAAATTGTGACAGGCTGATAAAGAAAAAGAGCACGTGGAAGTGAAATACTCCATTTGTTCTGCTTGCAGGTGATGTTGCTGGCTACAATATCCTCCAGCCAACGATGAAAGCTTTGAATGGGCAGGATATTCAGCTACGTGAACTAATGAGCACAGAAGCACGCAAACATTAATAACCAGCAAAACTGTTACAATAACTCCCACTCACACCATGTTTTTTTTGTATATATCTCAGTATATCTCAACGTGCTTCACAAAGCAGAGAGGTTATTTAAAATGACTCATGGCAAATGAACCAAAGAAATCAAAAACTGAAATTCCCTTCCCCTCCCTCAATTTTGCACTCCTATTCCCCACGAGAACACACCTGGGGAAGACACGGTTTGGAAGGTACCTAAACAGCCATAGGAAAGATCATGCAAAGATGCCTGTTACCTCTGCATCTTGCCCTGCTGTCTGGGAAATATCCCTCTGGGCACTCCGAAAGGCACTTCCCATCATGTAGCATCTTATCCGGAGCGCAGGTCAAACACCTGGGCTGGTCCGAATAGCAGGTTTCACAGGAGGGCTCACAAGCTGCCGAGGAGCAGAGCTCATTAACCCACAGCACTCACAGGACATCAAATTGCAGAGCCATTACCCTGGCTACAGACACGAAGTAGTGCAAACCATGCCACGTTCCTTCCTAAAACTCAAGGTACAAGGCTCTGTTTGCCCATAAATTTTGCCTGTTGCTGGACAGAGTGACATTTCACACTAACATCAGTTTTAAACGGTGCAAAAGTACCATAGGTATCTGCATGCATAGACAGACTAACCAGCTTCTTTCTCTTTCCCAATTAAAGTCTCTAACAATTATTCAGTGAATCCAGAGACAAACATCTATGTCCTGGGACACACAGAAGAACTCCTCCAATAGACAGCATCATTATGAGCACGATGGTGTGTGAAAATCATGTCATAAATCTTTGCAGATTTTCGCAAAACAAGAAGCTGTTCAGGAATTGAAAGGTGGTGGAAAAGTGGAGAAAGAATTTATCATTCTTTCCTTTCTTCCTCTTATCTTCAATCAAAATTTTGAGTGTTATAATGCATCATAAATCAACCATGATAAGGTTTTCAATTAATCTCTGCGGGCCATATTATCTCTGGTATTCACTTCTGATGTTAAATCACCCAACACGCGATGACCTGTGGCTCCAGTTGAGAGCTTCCCATTAAAACAGGTTCCAGGTCTCCACTTGAGTATCAAAATGTGTTGTAGGTAGATGTGGAAAATCTGAATTTCGCGGGGTCTGAGCAGCACCTATGCTGCTGTGAGAGATCACTGGCAATAGATCTACAAATATAGGCAAGGTGCGTCTAAACAGAACTTGCTTCTCAGCTTAAATGATTTTCAAGTAAAGATGTAAAATTTCAACTCTGCACACTTAGAAACACATGCTTGTGAATTTACTGGTGTAAACATCCAGTAGGGCAAAAGGGAACCTGGTGAAAAGTGAAATTCAGCCAGAAGTGGCCATAAAATTTGAGTTTTTTTTCAAACAGGCTCTAGGTTTTAAGCCCTCCTTATTTAGCTGTGGCTCACACAGACCTGCACGAGGACAGGTAACCCTGAATCACTACTCTGGACTCTGGTGGACAGAGCTTCAAAGCAGCTGGAGCTGCCTGAAGCAGAGACCTGGCCTGCAAGGGTTACAGCAGAATTTAGATTATTTAAATTATATTTTTTTCCTTCATGAGCCGCTTGACTTTCTCCTTAATTTCCTCTTGCCTTCCCTTTGCCTTCTTTTAACTAACCTTTCCGGTTCCCAAGGCTCATCTGTTGTTCACGTATTAGTTACTGTGATGCTGAATTATAGGATAATTTCCAAAAACCTGCTGGCAAGGGCCATTTCTCTTGCTGCAGACAAATGGATTTGTCAAGCCCTCAGAAACATCTTGGTGGTGCTTTCACGCTGTTCAATGAGGGAAACAACCTTAAACCTTTCAGCATCTGATTAGCTTAAATGAATTAATAATCTTACAAACAGCAGCCTTTCCCATCCGATTATTTATGCACAAGGTGCATCTGGCTTAGACATGAATAAAATCAGAGCTGCTGCTTGGCTAAATGAAATATTGATTCCCTTTTTGCAGAACATTTCTCAAACTTCTTGCAATTGGAGAAAAGAAAAAAAAAATAGGTATTTACCACTGCAAACTCCATCCTTCAGGTAAAAGCCCTGTCCACAGCTGGCCACACACAGCCCGTCTTTTAGCACCCAGGATGCGTCTTTGCAGGACAGACAGTTGTTCTCAGCAGGTCCCCAGCATGAGGAACAGGACTTGTGACAAGCTGAGGGAAAGAAAGCAAAGGATTAATGAATGATGAACTTCCAATTGATTTTTCAAAATGAAGAGCTTGCAGTAATTCACTTTTTTTGCAATTTTTCTTCCTTATATTCACAGGCATTTACACTGTTTCAGTACTGTGGCTCCCAGGGCTTCAGGAAAGGAAAAGAAAACAAACAAGCACTGCTTTTAATGTTAGCATTTTCGTGCAATCTGTCTTGTAGGAACATCTCACACCGCCAGTCTGTACTTGCCAGATGACATTCAATAAACATCAGTTATTTCCGTAGCTGCAGGGATGTTGGTAACACTATTAAGTCCTGCTCATCTTGGAGCTAGGTACTGTACGAGCACAAAGTGAAGGGAAGGGTAGAGTCTCTGCCACATGCTACATGAAACTAAGCCTAGAACTGGATTCTTAGAGTGACTACTCACATGAACAGCACCTCATGAGCAAAGAGAAGAAATGCCCTTCTCGGGCAGAACAGTGGTGCTCGAGCACAGTGATGTGCTACGTGGAAACTAGTAACTATGTGGAGATCAGTTCTGCACATATCAAACACACTGAACGAGCAGCCTTGTACAAAGTTGGTCGGCTGTAAGGGAAACGCAGCCAATGCCAGGTTTAGTTTTTGTGGAATTTATGCAGCAGGCATGTTAAGTCCTGTGCTCCTGGTGCTTGCATCAACCGTGCAAATTACAGTTCCTTAAGCTACTAGATTTTTTTCTAGATTACACTCAAAGAGGTTTGAAACCCGTTCATAAAGGTAGTATTTCACAACGAGGCGTGTACATGCCTGTGTTCCCAGACCAGAGCAGGAGATAGAAAACAGAGCTTTATGACATTTGCCCTGGATCCATGAGCACGGCTAAAGCTGCAGCCACCCAAGAAAAGCTCTTGGGCGAGCAGTCTGAGGGTAACAGGGAACCAGCAGGCAAAGCAGCAACTCGCTGGGGAAAGAAAATTCATGCTCTCTAGGAAGCTTAACTCACTTAACTCAGAGCACCTTGATGTATGAAAGTTACACAAATAAACACATTTCAGCAAAAGAAACCCTTAAATGAGCCACACTTTGTCCTCTCCGCAGTAGCAGGTGAGGCTGGAAGTCCTTCTGTGGCAGGACCACGTCCAGTGCAGCAGAGCAGGGGGAAGCAGCAGAGTGTCAGCTCCACCAAGTGCTGGTAGCTGTGGCTAACGCAGAACACAACAGACACCAGACATCCTGTCCCAAGGTAAGGACTGTGCACCCTGCTCTGCTCCAATCAATAATTTCTCTTGCTGATAGAAAACCGCACCTCATTCCAGCCCGGATGACTCTCAGGGCTTGTTCACACCCGAAAGCTAACTCCAGCCCATGAGTTCATGTTGCAAATTCCTACTACTGAAATGTCCTCACTTCACCTTCCAGTTGTGCTTTGCTCCTCTCCAAGCTCACTCTATTTTTTGAAGTCTTCCTAAGAGGCCAGACATTAGAGCTATTATTTTCTAATAATAGACTTCTCAAACACAGCTTTGGCCTCTCAATATTAGCGTGTTCTAATACATTGACACTTCTGAAGATACCACAGAAGAGCAGTCCCCATGTCCTCGTTGACCTATTTATTTAGAAAAATACTCAAGTTCTTCCCAGAGATACTTCACCTTTTCAAGACAGACTTCTCCTCCTTGACAGTCTGGCCTCCACATCGATTTGATTTAAACAGACACTCTTGCATACATCTCTATTAAAAACGCACATATGGTGAAAGCAAAGTGGCGATTGTGCTTGGCTCCAGCGTTCTCCCACCTGCACTGAGCTGGCTGCTCCTCAGTACTTCCTCCCCTCAGGCACTTCTCTCTCGCAGCTGCCTCTGTGTAGGTCAAGATTACTCCTTCAGGCACCCAGCACAACATGTTTTGCTGGCTCTAGGTCTGCTACAAACTAGACCCATGCAGGAAGATCTTTGGCACGCCTGTGCCTACTTCCAGGCTCTTGGCTGGAGCTGATATCCAGCAATGCTGCCCCTAGCATTTGGAAGCAGAGCAAATGACCCAAAGTACGGGACAGGTGACAACCTCCTCAGGTAGGACATCAATAAAAGCACCTGCAGCGAGACACCCGGCTCGGAGGCACTGCTCAGTCACTGCCAGGCTCAATGCTCCTCTTGGCCTACAAGACAGCCCCCAATTCCACTGAAAAAGAAGGGGAAAAAACGAGTATTCACTGAACCACTGTCAGGTGAAATATCTTTGCCTGCAGCAACTGAGTGAGTGCCTGATAACAAATCAATAGAAGAGACTGTATTGCCAGGAAACTTGTTTTCACCTTTCCTGGCTATTTTCAGTTCAGGTTTGGGCAGGGCTATTTTGTACTTTCTCCTCTGCACAGTGGACACAAAAGCAAGTTCCTGCTCTTAACCAGACACTGCAGCTGAATGAAAGATATTCAGAAAGCAGATCTGGCCTTCCAGTTTCAAGAGGATGCCCAGATACTCTGCCTCAGCTGACAACCACTAAGTGCCAGGTATGAGCAACGAGTGCTTTCCATGCCCTGCCTTTCTGTGTCTCTTACTGGTGTCAGCAAAGGTGCTACATGCCAGTGCAAAGGGCATCCCACCAACCCAATGAGAAGTCTTTGCGTGGCTTTTGGAGAGCACAGATGGGTTCCAAGCACCCTACACTGTGTGGCAGCAAGAAACACCTCTCCTGTCCTCGCTGTGAGCTGGGAAAGCTCAGCTCAGCCAGATACAGTCATGCAGTCTCAAGGTAGGTCTCTGGAGTCAGGATACAGCAAAGAAGGACAGGGCACGGACAGAGATCCCAGCTGTGGAGTGACTGGGTCTGTTAGCATCAAGTTACACATTTCAGTTTTTGCACTTTGGGGGATCAAAGCAGAAACACTCGAGTTCTGCCTAGGCTTTTGGATAATCCTGAAAATACAAATGATTAAATTGCAAAAATGCAGTGAGTGCACTGAAAACTCCAAGTCCGTTGAGTCCTTCTGTTTTACCAGACAGTTATATAAAAATATATACATTTTTCCCTTTCACTTTGCTTTGGCTTTTTTTTTTTTTTTTTTTTTTTTTTTTTTTTTTTTTCTGGCAAGGAAGACTTAACCACTCCGCCTTAAACAGGATTCAATCCAACCTACGGTTATCAAATACACTATGTGCCCAAGCTTGCCCCCTTTTATTCTCAAATCTCCTTTCTTTTAAGGGTTTCCATACCATACAGAGGGGAAGGGAGGGAGAGTGATAACTCTGGGGTATGAGTAGAATGTGAAAAGATCAAACAACTCCATTCCAAAATTCAAACTAGATCCAGAAAGACAAATTCACTGTGTTCTGTTGTTGCAACGCCGACAACAGTGTTAAGCAGCTAGTTCTTACCTCCAAAGCCAATTCCTCAAGATAATTTGTTGGAATTGTAACAATTATCTCATTTAACCTTTCTGTGATTTTGGAACAAACTTTTCACAAATTTTACAACCATTTTAAGAAAAATCATCCCAAACAGCTTAAAGGCAGTTTGGACAGCCAGATCTGTAAAATGGAGAGCATACAAAGGAAGGACTATCGGCAATGAGTTGTGGTCTGTGTCTGAAACTTAAGGCTTTCTCCACTGCTTTTATTTTACGCAGAAAATGCAGCCAGGCAGAACTAAAGCAAATTGGTTTAATTCCCTTGAGGAAACAGGAACAAATTTTCCCAGCAACTTTGGTCTACAAGCATGCGTGACTGCAGATTTGGATGGAATGTACGAGCAGTAATCCACAAAACAGTAATAAAACGAAACATTAGCCTTTTCCCTACCGCTACAGCAGTACATGGGCACTGCCAGTTAAAACATCAGGAGCAGGTGGAAAGGAAACAGTAAAATAAAAGCAAATGAAGTAGAAGATCGTTTGGTACTTAAGCCTATAAAGTTTTCTGGATCAAGTCCCTCTTTTCTGATTATACATGTATAATGGAGACCTAGTCTGTGGTCACTGCAGGAAGGTGGAGGTTTTTCCAAGTTTTAAAACATGAAACAAATAGCCAGCGACTCAAAACAAACTGTATTAAAAAGGAAGCTGGACTTAGGGTCTGAAATGTTTTTCCCTGAAATCTGCCCAAAGCACTAAGCCTATGCTTAATTTTAAGCAGGAAGGCTAGTTTCAAGGAAATTGAAGTGATGGCACAACAAGTTAAGCCTGTGCTCCAGTCTTTTGTTGAATTAGGGCTGCAGAAAGAATTAAAGGCCTTTGCAAAAGGCCAACTTCAAAAGCAAAAATGCTTTAACTTTAAAGAAACAAGAAAATCTTCAGGAGGGAAAAGGAGGGAAAAGGAAAAGTCTGGACAACACACAAGTATTCCAAAGGAGTGGGTGAAGCTCATACAAACACTGCCATAGTTCCATCCACATTTCCCAGTCTTAATCTCACTCTCTAAAATCACAAAGATACAGGATTTAGACACTATTACTATTTCACACTGTATAAAGATTTTTTTCCGAGAACAGTTGGCCCAACCAACTATCAGCAAGAGAGCACTGTACAAGGGAAATAAATGGAAAAGCAAAGGGCAGAACATCAAAACAGTATTTTCTGTGATTTTTCTCTGGCTCTAAACCCCCATCTCTCCTTGTACTTCCCCAAGCACATCCAAGTACTGTCTTTTGAGAGGTCTGGCAGTAGCAGCTGCAGCTTAGTCTGCACTGAACTCAAGGAAAATCCCAACGGCTCAGCTGGCTAGGCAGGGCTCACAGTGTTACCCCCTTTGCAAAACCAGCGTGTGCATCCTGCGCTACCTGACCCACACTTCAGTAGCACAAAACACACGGTCACAGTTCCAAAAGGGCATTCCGAATTGAAAGAAGACTGTGGTGAAAACCTGCAATGGGGTCGTTAAAGGGTGGGAGTTTTCGACCAGCAGAAACGACCTGCTGAGGAATTTTAATGAATATTCCCTAGACTAGTAATCAATTTTACCCAGTATGACTTCATTCCTCTGTTCACTCCTTGCTTTACTCTATGGCAAACATTAACACCTATGTCAACAGCAGATCCCTCAGCTGAGAGTATACCTAAGAGCTTGGATAGAGCTTTGTCTGCTCACTTGCTCTCACAAATTATCACAAAATCTCTCATTTTATTGTTCTGTTAAGTTACCTGCGCAGAGGAGCTGATCCTGAAAGAAGTCCTGCCCGCACGAAGTCACACACTGCCCATTCTTCAGCAGCAGGGATGCTTGGCACGAGGAGCACTCGAACCCATTGCTACAGCTTGAACACGTTTCGTTGCAGGCTTCCAGCAAAAAAAGCAAAGGAAAAGTGCATTAATATATGGAAGGCACAAGCATGGCAGGCTCTGAAGCTTGCAGAATCGAAGCCCTTGCAGGGGGTACCTAAGCAAGTCCCTGCATCCTGGTAGAAGCCCAAGTCACACTTCTCCACACAGCGTCCGCTCTGCAGCTGCTTCCTGGCGTCGCGGCAGACGTTACAGTGGTCGACGGACTGCGAGCAGGTCAAGCAGTCCGCGTGGCACTCCACTGTCAGGGGGAAAGACACAAAGGCAAATGCATCAGCTTTCAGGCAGGCAGGCAGAAAATAACTCATGCTCAAAGATGTGAGTGGCCACGGGTGTCTCCTCAATTAGCCTGGCTGGTCTGTCTGCAGAGGGCAAGACAGGGACTAAATCTTCCTTAATGCTGAATTACTTGTTGGAAGAAAACCTCTCTGTTCCTCCCTGAAAAGTCAGCAGAAAGGGTTCAGATTCTGCAAACTAACTTAGAAATTTGCAAAAATTGTTCCTAAAGGAGGATAACAGGAATTAGAGAAAGCAGACAGTCAAGCGCAACAATGAATCCAAACCAAAAAAACGAAAGAAATGCATAGGATGTGCTGTCTCTAACCATTTTGTTGTATTAACTTTCCAAGGGCACATGCAGCCCTTCCCTACTGCCTGACAAGGATCTGGCTGCTTTGGGTGGTACCGACTGGATCATTTTTCCCTAAGTAGGGAAAAATAACCTTCCCAACTAGGGAAAATACCCTCTGCCCCAGTCCAGACATTGTCAGCAAGAACAGACTACAGCTTCTTTCAGCATCAGATCCTCTCTACCAATTGAGAATAAATGGCTTTTTTCTGCTTCTTGCAGTGTGCCTATGAGAAAAAGCAACTAATCTATACTGGCTTTAAGGAAACAGGTACATTAGGCACATGATAAACGCAGGGCTTCGGTGAAAGAAATTGCCTTGAAAATTTTGCCTTTTAAGACACAGAAACACAGCTTTACACAACAGCCACCACACAGTGACTTCAAAGCTGCTGTTTTCCACAGAGTTACTGTTCTAGAAGAGGTCGTGTTCTCAAGAGTAACCAGTATGTGGTGGCACCTCGTGATAATAAAGAGAACAGATGGGTGTCGAGAGCCCCTTATACTCTCTCCTCTCCTTAGCAGTCTGGGCAGAAGCTGCTCTCTTTGAAAATCCAGAAGGATTTTGTATGATCTGTCCAAAATCCATTTTCCTCACTTTTCAATTTGCACTGCTTTGCATTTTTATTAGAATGCTGTAAATAACAAGCTTTAAAACATTAATATGGCAAGTGCGCCAAGTGACTCGGGCAAATGACAGCATAATTAAACTGGGAAGCTATTTTCGTTTTACTGAGACAAACCATTAACCCAAGCACTCTGATAAAAACACACTTAGATGAATGCTGCGAGGACAGCTCCCAATACAAACCTTTAGCAAACCACAGATAAAGCCTCCCAACTATGAAGTGTAAATGAAGGAGGAGAACAATATCCTGGAGAAAAATGAATTTATATGCAAAGTTACCAAATAGCTAGGGCCATTCTAATCTTTCTGAACAATTATTAACCGGGAGTCATTCAGCCCCAGGTGAGCTTGTGGCATAAACAGTCTAAGCAAGCTCCTACTATTCTTCCCCTCCCTCAAAATAATCATGAACTCATAAACTCCAGAGTTTTTGTTAAGATTCAGAAAGCAGCAGCCTTCTGCCCTAGAAAACTACTTGTGTTGCAAAAAAAAAAAAAAGGAAAAATCAACACAAAAACTTTCCCAGAGACACTTTTGCTGAAGGAAAACTGTAAAGAGAATGAGCTAAACCACGGGAAGTCAATGGCAGCCTTTGGATGGAGTCCTGCACCCCTCCTGAAACGCCAATTAAATTATAAGGAAACAGTTAACTAGCAACTGCAGAGGGAATGAAGACAAGTTAAAATTCAACGCAGGGCTCAGAACAGCATGGAAGGCAATGGGGAAACAGAGGCCACCCGGATCCCGGAGCTGCTCCCAGGCCAGAGGCGCAGGGAAGAGGCTCCCGGCCAGGGCAGGGGTTGGTGCCTACCTGGCTGGCAGCGCGGGCAGCACTCGCCGTCCTCGGCCACGGCCAGGCTGCCGAGCGCGCAGGGCGGGCACGAGCGCTGCAGGCAGGTCACCTCGGCGGCCCGGCACTCGCACTCTCTGCACGGGCCCTCGCTCCACGACTCGCCGTCCTGCACGGGGCGACACCGAAGGGCTCCGTTAGTGGGTCCTTGGTCCAGCCCAGCAACAAGAGTTTTGATCTGCTTTGGATCTGAATGATATCTTTTATCTGCTCTGAATTTACACACTTGCATGGGTCATTACAGCCTTCTCCTCCATTAGGATTTATCCCAGCTACTTGTAAAACTTTAAATCTCTTTCTAACCTTTGACAGCATTTTACATCCTCTCCTCCTTTGCTCTGCTGCCTTGTTCTCCATCACTCTGCCAGTTCCTTCTGAGGAAGTCCAAAGGCAGAAAGTATTTTACATGTCCATGAAACCAGCATTAAACTTGCCATTTCCCACTTGTGTTGGCAAACAGCAGCTACCAGTACTGGTACTCATCTGTCAGAGCATCAGAAAGTCCATCCTGGCTTTGTCTCAACAAAGAAACCCCAAATTTTGTTTTGCAGGAACACGAAAAGGAAAGTTCCTTGAAAATATTCATAAAATAAGGGACTCCTGCTGCAGTGAAAATTATAATCAGTGGAATACATAATCAGAAAGCTACACATTGCCTTGGCTTTGTAGCCCCCAAATGTATAGTATGAAAGTCAGGCATCCTAAATGCCCACGAGATTCACACGGAACCAGTGGGTATGTGTATTAAATATTAAGGAGAGATGACTGAGGGTATCACGCAGAAGAAAGCAAGGCAAATCTAAATTCCAGAGCAGATGTACACGTTATAAACAAGTGCGTTTTTTAAGTTCTAAAAGCAGTTGGGAGACTATATTAGTGGATCATCCTTCCCCTCCGCTTGCAAGGAATGTCCTTCTCAGAAGAGCTGGGGAGGAAGATCCTCTTCCCTGGGACTTTGGGAGCAGAGCCCTCTAGGTGCTCTGAGTTACCAGGACACTCACCTCTTTGACATGTCCTCTGTAAATACAGTGACGCTTGTGTGAAACACATTCAGGGCAGCACTTCCCATCTAGGTGAATTAATTCTTCATCCTGTGAAGGGAAAGGTTGCAGGAGGTTAGATGGGATCAAAAGCACCGAAATACTGTGGAATGCAGAGACAGAAGCGCTCCTGCCCTGGAATGCGATCTTCCCTATCCAATTCCACCTTATCTCCACCATATCCTGCCTCATCTCTATATGTACAGCCTAAAAAATGTGCTTAATGAACACTGTAGCTGCAGAACAAATCCCAGAAAAGGTTAGGGAAGACAGTGATAAGGACATTGCTGCATCCCTATATCCTGCAGGGAAAGAAACCCTCTGAAATAATCCACTGAAAATACAGAGAACGGGAGATATATATATATTTTAATTTACAGTGGACTTCCAGGATGTTTTTTGGCCACCATCTCCATGAAACTTACCTTCATTTTCAAGTCGCTACTTTTCTCCTAAGCAAAAGGCCAAAAATGTTTTGGACAAATTTCAAAGCATCTGCCCTCTTTATCCCAGATGGAAAAAGCCTGTTCTTTGTCACAACATCACACAATTTACTGAAATTACTTCGGCGTGGAGATAAGAATTTAGACTAGGGGCAGGGAATGAAGTGCCCTGACTTGTCACAACTTTTTGCGCCTAAGCAGAAGTTGAATATTTATGAGAAGGGGAGACTGTGTCTTAAGGAGACAACAAGCAGCTCAAAAAGAAACAGCTTCAATGCCTTGGCAAGGTTCTCATGCATGCTGAACAGAGGCAAGGAAACACCACAGTAACAAAAGTTACAAACGGATGGCTAAATTAGATTATTTCACTGCCCTGGGCACTGGTTAAATGTCTCTTTCCCTGTTAAATGTCAGTGCTGATACCCATTCCCAATCTCTCCGTGTAGTATCTCTCTAGCGTCACAACCAGGGCGATTCCAGATTTATCACAAAGCAGAGAAGTCACAATTGGCCCGTAACTGTCTGCAAGGGGCCCATAACCCAACCAAGCCACAGATTTCCCCCTGGTTTCCATCTAGCTCAAGGCCACCTTCCTTTGGGGGCTCACGAAATCCAGCTGAGCTCCAAGTTTACTGCCTGGCTGGTTTACACTGCCCAGGCATCTCGTTCACTACGGTCACACCCAGACACTTTTTGCCACTCCACTTCAGCACATCTAGCAGTCTGTATATGTAAACTATTTTGTACCTATACCGTGCAGTAACACCCCCAGTTCCTGTTAATTTTGCCAAGGCACAACAGCTAGTCCACGCTACGCTCAGGAATGCTCAGACATTTCTGGGAATGGGTAAGAGAGCAGAGACCACCCAGTTTTCACTCACCTGGGACCACACACAGCCTAAAATCTTTCTCTGATGGTTCTAAACGCGTTCCCTACTTTAATCATTACTTCAAAACGCCCTTGGCTGTGGTTGGGTCTCATGTAAACGTACTGTAAAGGCTCCCATTCCCATCCCTGCCCACATCCCCCTGCCACACACACACTAAAGGAAAACTGAGAACGGCCAAGTTGGGGGGGATATGCATCCCCAGCCGCGCTGCAGGGACACGATTCACTGCACTCCAGGCAGTGAATGCTGGAAGGTGCTAGTGGGCTGTGAGGCAGAAATGGGAAAATAAGCAGTTTATGCAAGTCTCTCTCATGCTCATTCGCATCCACATCCACATGCACCACTCATGAGTCCCAACTTGCCAGCTCTGCTGCTTCCAAGTGTCGCGGTAACTGCCGTGGGCTGCTCTCTTGGTGCAGCCACCCAGCACCCTGCAGGACCTGCCTCGCTGTCCCATGGGACCTACAGCAGGGACGTCAGGTAGCACCCCAGGGCCGCAGGCACCCACCACCCATCCTGCTCACAGCCCTGCCTCAGTGGTCTCACCCCGGCGCTCTCTTGGCTGCCCTGGGAAGCACGGCCTGTTGGTCGAGCACATCCTTCTCATGGCCCTACCTGGGACAAGTTAGGCTGCTGCAGAACCTCCAATCCCCAGCTCACCAGCAACCCGCTCTAAGTGGGTTTTGGAAGATCAGTGCAGAATGACCACAGCCACTTTCCTGCTGCAGCCGCTGGACAGGTTTGTCTGAAAGGGTTTAAAAGCTAAGCCTGTATTACCCTGTGCTCGGGTAATACTGCTACGCCGTGTCAAGCTCTCCAGGATTTGCAGTTTAAATCTGTGGCCTCATTACGCTTTAAACAGGACGATGTGACCAGAAAATTAATAGTGCCTTGAGGAAGAGATGAATCCAAAGGCTTCTAGCTTCATCTCAGCTCAGATTTATCGATGTAGGTGCCTGCAAACAAGATTTGCACCTCAAAGAGAAAAAGAGAAGGGGAAAAGAAAATAATGTATATTCTTTTTGAGTAAATATTTTATTGTATTAAATTAATGTGCACCTTGTACTATTGAGCTAAACTATGACTGCAGGTGTCTTGAGGAAGTCAGTTTATCTTAAGGAAAGCCATGCAGGATTATAAATCCTTGGGCAAATATCTTTTATCAAGTGCTCTCCTCCTGCTGTCCTCACAGTAATCACATTTCATTGAATTCAGAACAGCAGCCACCTGTACCCTGAGAAATAACCCTTTTTTTTCAGATGCTCAAGCATTAAACTGGCTGGTTACCTTTGACATGTCAAGTGTGAAAGAAAACTGCATGAGTGGCAGAGTTGCTTTTGAATCCCATTCTGTTCCTAACCCTATTTCTTAACACCTTCAGCTGCTGTCCTGTAAAATACTTGTGTTTTTTCTGAATAATGGATTCCTCACCAGAACCCAGGGCAAGAACATGGATATTAAATCACTGTCCGTATTGAGCCATGACAGCGTGCCATCATCATTAGTGCAAATGATTCCATTTTCAGCCATAGGCACGCGGGAAGCTGACTGAAGCAGATGTCAGTGCACAGGATTTTATGGCAATCGTGACTTCCACCCTCTGGAATCTCTCCGAGCAGTTTAAATTATATGATCATCAGCAGTGCTACACCGAGGGACAAGAGTTCAGATGCCACGCGCAATCCATATTTGTTAGTTGGAGGACACAACCTCAGATGAAGGTGCATGTATTTTTTATTCCTACATACATCACATCTGCATTATGTATCATTTGGGATTGTGCTCATGGATTCTAACTTTCTGGAAGAGCCATTCAAGTGTTCCAAAGCAGGGAGGCCATCGTGTGCAGCATGCAGAGTTTGGCTGGAATTCAGGCCCAGTGCAAGGGTGCTGGCACGTGAGATTTATCTTGTAGGCCGAGTCATCAGAAAACCACTGTTAGTGAGAGAAAAACCTCAGAAAGCTACAATCTATTCCCTTCTCTTCACTGACTCTGTGGAGCAGTTGCAGCAGAGCAGGTATTAAACTGTTAATTTAAGCAGACGCAGCGACAAGCCCCACGGAAGTTTTGTCCCACTGCAATCCAAAAAAGCACAGTCAAAAAATGTTTTTGTCTGTGTGTGTGTGCAGGCTCAGATGGGTGCACGTGGATGGTGGGGAGAAGAACATTCAACCCTATCTAATGCCTTTTTCATATTCATTAAGAGCAACTACAACACAACCTGCCAGGGGATTATTTTTTTGGAGCAAAACACACAAAATTCCTTACCAATTTCACTCAGAAGGGCATGAAAAAATGGAGAAAAGGGGGACACTGCCTTGCACAACAGTGTGGAAGCAGTGTGGGAGACAATCCAAAATAAATTAGCAATTGACTCTCACTAGTTTTCCTCACAATATAAGCTTGCTGAGCAGCCAACCTTGCTTGGGAAAATCCCAAGCTTGCTCCTGTTTTCTACGAAGTGCTTTCAAGGCAATTGTACTAAACAAGCCACAAGCGAAGAGCAGGTTCTTTGACTGTCTCAAGATATCAGCTAAGAAAGAAAAAAAAAAAAAAACGGAGGCATGGGGGAATCACAGGACTTGAGAGAGAGATTTTGCAAGGAAAAACCTTTCTCACCTTGGCACACTCCACTCTGGCACACTCTGCTTTCTGGCAGGCGACCTGCCCTCTGTCACACATGCAGAAGTCGCAGCGGGTGCTATTCCACATGTCACTGTGGTACCGGATGGTGCCCTCATAGAAGCAGCTCCCCTTGGCAGCGACGCATTCCGCACAGCACTTGCCCCAGCGCTGCACTTTGGTGGCCCCCTGGAAAACAGCAGTTCCCCCCTGGAAAACATCCCGTCGAGCGGGACCCTCTCAACCCTTCCACAATGGCAGTGACCCGGGCAGCCAGGGTATCAGAACTGAGTGATGTTTAGCTACCTTTTCACAGGTGATGGATTCACAGGTCTCCCTCAGACATCTGACTTCCCCTCGGGAACACGCACAGGTAGTACAGGCATTTTTTTTCCACTGTTCGCCATGCTGTTCAAAAAGAACACGAGACATGTATGTAATTGTCAAATACCCTTCACAGATGCCCAAAGGATCTGCAGAAATCCGTGCTTCTGATTGGAAGCAATCACTTCCCTGCATGTCTATATGCAAACAAACTTCTCTTGGCAAACATACTTCTCTGTATGCAAACAAACCGCTCTTTAAAAATGCTAATAAACGCATTATCAGTCACAAAAACTAAAAATACAAGGTCTAGATGACTGATATGCATATCTCATCAATTGCTAGCTAATGACATTGCTGAGGCCCTAACAGACATTATTACCAGTAAACCTCACATATATACATATGCATTAAATAATTCATTACATTAATTCCAGGTGATACAATGAAAGCTATGAATACTTCGACCTTTGCAAATGCTTTTTGCCTTCCTGCTTCAAGAAAGTGTGAAAAGCAAGTGCCTCATCTGCTTCATCCTGCAATCTTCCTTTCTGTTTGCCAGCAAGTTCTTATCTAGTCTTATTCCTTTCAACTCTTCCGCCTTTCCAGAAAGAAAAAAATGCAGTGCTGTACTAAGCTATCAGTGCTGGCACAGAGTCAGACATTATGGAGAAGGGAAAGGGAGATGTGCCAGAAGTTGTGAACAGTTGGCCTTTGGTGGGCCTTATCAAAGGTTACCTGGTACACTCTTCCTGACACTGAGCAGGGCTTGGGAACACATTCCGGGCAGCATTTTCCCGGAGACATCACCAAAACTTCATCCTAAAGGGAGAGCAAAATAAATAGAATGAGAGTAGGAAGGGCTGGTATGGGGCTCAGCATCTCTGCCTGGATTTCCAGGCACTGTGGGTTATCTGTGTGATAACCCACAGCCTCACAAGACTTGATTTGGGCTCCAGTCCCTGAGACCATCAATGTGGGAGGTTAGGAACAAACACATTCCTGACATCTCTTTCTGTAGACTTCTGTAGCATGGCAATCAAGGCCCAGATATACACCCACCACAGAGAAAAAATGTTATCAAGTTATCAATGACAGTTTTCCCAGCAGGGCTAAAGGAGTTTTTTCATGGATTATGTTGGGACAGCACGAAGGAGTCCTTCCCTTTGGCTCTGGTGACTGCTTATCGGGCAGAGACAACTGGTGGCAAAACTCCCTAAAAAGAAGCCAGGAGAGTGAGCTGAAACTGCCAGACACTCATTTAATTTTGCAGTGGAGGCAGCAAGCACGCCGGGCAGACTCGACAAGCTTGCATGTTCGGAGAAAATATATCCACGGAAAGCACATTCTTCACTCCTGGCTTCTTTTTTCATGGTACTTTGGTACTAAGTTGGAAGTGAGGACTTGCAATTCCTCTTCTCCTGGGGCTGACATATTCAGGCGCCCTTCTGCAGCAAGTATTTCGGAACATGGATCCCCTCGGCACCCAGGAAAAAGCACCCTTATCTGAAAGCTGTAACATGAGTTTAATACTTGTTGCCACCATACTGGAAGAAAGTATTTATTTGCTTTTTTTTTTTTTTTTTTTTTTTTTTTTTTGCAGGAACTGTAGTTAGAAGAGACCAGGATAAAGGCATTCGCAAGACAACAACAGGTATGATCAAGTAGAGCTCCTGCATGTCCTGCCAATGTCCCTTCCAATGGGCACCATATTAGGGAATAGGAGCACTGTGATAACTAGCTTGTTATCACAACTAACTAACTTGTTGCACTAACTTGTCTGTTTTAGCCAGTTATCCTCACATACATCACAGCCACATCCACAAAGTCACTTCTATTTCCACAAATGAAATCCCAGTGACTGGAAGGTTAAACATTAGTGTGATCAGCATTGATGCATTTGGAGCAGTATCCAAATTGAGTATCTTAGGAGAAAACAATGCACAGCATGCAGAGCAACAGGGGAGTTTTCCTTCAAACAGACAAACAAACAAAAAACGCTGTTAATTACACAACCATCTAGTCTTGCAATAGAAAATTGGATAAGCAGCAAGAAAAAAGACTACTAAGATTAATGCTTTTGTTTTACAGCGTGCTACAGGGCTGTCAGAGCCAGAGCACACTTTTCAAGGGCACTGGAGTTCTTGTTTCACCACTGGAATAAGTTCAGTAGATAAAAGTATTGGAGAAACTGCAGTTTCAATGACATAAAGTCGAAGCCAGCCAAAAAGAGGATCTCTCAGGGGGCCAGATCCTGCATTTCAGAGCTGTCACTGGCAAGATACACTGCTGAAAATGAGAATGTGGGAAGCCCAAGAAAGCTGGTGCAATAGGCCCAATGAAAAGAAATCCATGGAGCATAGTTGCACCCTCAGGTCTCATTTCTGCTTTGCAATATAATAAAGAGAATGTAAAGAATCTAGTCACTTGTATAGAGTATTGTACACAGTCTGCTTTCTTTACTAACCCTTGTGCTAACACTGTATATAATCCCGTTGAATTTTGGCTGGGTTTATCGCTGCACAAGTACTAAGAATTCATCATTACTGTCCACAGCAAAGACCTTTGAGACAGGAATGTCCCAGTTCTCTCATTTGGGCTCGAAAAGTAAGTCTCTACTTGAGCCTGGGTAAGTTATCTACTGATTTTACCGATCCGCAGATCTCCTCTGAAACAAAAGCACATGTAAGGAATAGTGCTCTGGGAGTTTCTTTCTGTTTGAAGCAGCCTTTTATTTTTGAAGCCTTTTTAGTCACAAGGGAATTTCATAAGCATTTGACTATTTTCAACTGCATTTCTGTAGCTCTCGTAAACAGAATAAAGAGGAACTGCAAATAAAGCAGGTGAAATCAGAAATGGAAGTTTGTGGAGACAAATCCCCATCAAGCTTCTTGCTCTTTCATTCCTTTCTACAGAGAAATCAAAGCACTTTCTGATCAACTCTGAAGCATGGTTTTAGCACAAAACCAAACGCATAGTTTCTTTGGATAATAGTTTCACCTAGTTAGCCAGCAAATGCATGAAAAGAGTAAATTTGTGGGGAAGGAACATGTTGGGAAAGAGATGGGTATACCGACACATTTATCCAACATTCTGTATTTCTAGAAATTAAAGCTCCCCTTTCCAAATCACCCATTTCCCTCACAAGAGACGCGCTCATTAGTTTGTAACATCTTGTCAAGGAAAAGCAAAGAGCCGAGAATAACGTCCCGGAGGGGCCCTGACCTGACTGCACAGCACGGGCTGGCAGGAAGCCACGAAGCACTGAGTGGCGCCGTCCCTGCAGATGCACTTGGAGCACTGGCTGAGCCGCCAAGCCTCTCCATCCCGGAACGAGCGGCCGTCGAAGGAGCACGACTCTAAAAGACATTTAAGACATGGGGTAACTCTCTTGTCACACGTCTCTTAATCGCTTTCCACTCCCCATTCCTCTTCAGGGCGAGCACGCCCACTGTTCCCAAGGGGCTCCCGGGTTCCGGATGGGCTTGCTGCACAATGCGCCCCGTTCCCCGGCACAGTCCCCGCAGCTTTTCACTTGCTGCAACAATTGCACAAGGTTGACGTCAGTCGTGTGTTAGCAGGTTCAGCTGTTGCCTACGGAAATACAGCAACACGGGAATATTGTGTTCCTCGGTACTTTGGGGAAAGAAAAGAGTGCAGCAGGAAAATGTGCATCAGGAGTCCTTATTCACGGATACGCCTGTGGCACAACGCTATCTTCAAAAACAAGCCCGAGTGATGAGAATACTTAAAACAGATTTTGTGCATCTTAGAAGTAGAAATCCCCGTTTCTCAAAGTAGCAAATAATTATAACAATTCCCACGGTTTTCAAGGGCTTTAGACTCATGAATCAAGAGCTCTGGATGTACTGCTCCCAATGGATTTGAATGAGAAGAAGTATCCAACAGCTGAGGCATTTTTTGGAGCTTGAAGCATAAATCTGCAAGGGCACCCTCGCTACACAGGGAATATCTGCATTCTTTTCCCTAAATCACGGTCTCAAAAGCAAGGAGAGAACACTAGACACATCGGTTCACAGCTGAAAGTTTATCACTTGCTTCTGACCTGTGGGTGAAGCCCTTAGGAATGTAAATACAGGGAGAGGACAAAAAGAGAACAAGCAGAGGCCCTTGCCCTAGGTGCTCAACAGAATTTAGCAGGGCAAGAAAGGTCTGGGGCCTGCCGGTGCCCCCTTCACACACAGTCCTCACCTCCAAGGCCCACGCAGGTGGGACAGCAGGCTCCTCGGGCAGTGTATTGCAGCTCCCCGCTTCCGCAGGCCAGGGCTGGGCAGGCCTCGGGGGTGCAGTTCACCTTGCCGTGGGCACAGAAGCACAGGCTGCATCCCGAGCCGGCCCACTGCGTGCCGTGCTGCAACACACAACCACAAAAAGCAGGGAGAAAAACCATGCAGGAATCGACCTGCCGAGGACACCCACACAGTTCAGTACTTCACCGTGAGGAAAATCTTGTTAACTCGATTCTTTAATGAAGTGACAACACTTGTATATTGAGCGGGGAGGGGAGAAAGAAATGGCCCCAAAAGAAAAATGTTGATGCACTGCAGCGCTTGCCAACAAATCCCTCCTCTTCCAGCCTCTTCTATCTGCCTCATCACCGATTTGTGTCGGTCACGCCAGCCCAATAAAACAGGGAGCTATAATCGCCCTCTGGGGTGCTGAACATACGAGACCTCAGAACTACTTGGCATTTCAGCAGGTTTCTAAAGATTTGCACCTTATGTTTCCTGTCAAATAAATTCATAAGAGAGCAGAGCTCAAGCCCCTGGCCTTGCTGTTAGGACATCCTTCTCCGTTCACCTATTGTGGCATGAACTACTGCCCAGGAATGTCCACATCATCCTTCCTTTGCACACTTATTCTTACTGTTTTGGTCTTTCGTGTCCCCTAGGTGAAGTCGCAGCCTGTAATGTGCTTCTTGAATAATTCAAGGTTACAAAATACATAATCCCGGGACACAGGAGAGCGATTAATTTCTACCAGTACAGATTGCTGCTTCTTTCAGCAATCCTGAAATTTCCTGAAGAAAACCTTCCTTCGGGGCAGCTAATGTGCCAAATTCACCATATTTTACTTCTAGCATTTCCATATTGTCTCGGACCCGCCATGGGAACAGAAAAGTGAATGAACGGACAGCAAACTTTCTCCCCTTAAGTCAAACCTGACAAGCTGTTGCTCGGCCCCACATTATCTTTTCACAAACCCCCTCAGACGAAACGTCCCCTATGTTACATTATCTGATAGTGACAGAACACAGCAGAGATGGAAACAGTGACAAGGAACGATCCTTCTTCCCCAGGCCAGCTGACAAGAAGCAAAGAGTCAGAGGGCTGAATGCTGCAACGTCGCTGCCGAGGGACACGACAGAGCAACTCACCCCGTGGGTCTGTCCTTCGTGCTGGCAAAATCCTTCAGCTCGGGAGGCGCACGTGGGGCAGCACTTGTTGGGGGCTATTTGGAGCACTTCTCCCTAGACAGAATCAAGAGGCCAGTAAGTATTGAACATGAAATAGGAAGCCTAACTGGAAAGGACGGACAGGGGACAGCATCCAACAACACTACCTCTTAGGTTTAATAACCAGCACTTCTTTGAATGACAGTTTTTGATAAACCAACTATCGAGCACTTCCAGCTGCAGCACGTGTGGGTGACACAGCTAATACTTTGCTTTGCCCAAATCAAGGGGCTTAGTGAGCTGCCTGCCCGCTGCGTTATGTTGGTAGCAGGGAACACAGGATGCTGAGGGAGGCACCTGTCTGGCTACCACATCGGGCCATAAGCAAACAGCATCAGAGAATACCTCAGCCAACACCAGGAAGGACCTTGGCCTTTCCTTTCAAGGAAGGCAAAGCTCTTTTCTTTCAAAAAAAAGGATTCTTTGAAACGTCTCTGTGGACTCTGCAAACAGAGCTCCCACATTCCCTCCAACACTCACAGCTGTGTGATAAATATCCCACGCCTGGCACCGTGTCCCATAGACACTGCAGCTGCAGCAGGATCTTACTTTGCAAGGGTGTCCCTGTGGGCAACAGCACCAAGAGTCCTTGGCACCCCTTGGGAGCTTCCATGGATCTTGTGGATCCAAGGAATTCAAGAATCACATATTTCTATTCATGGATCATGCATTTTTTCCCCTACAATTAATTAAACAAACAGAAAGACCAGAAATTTTTAGCTATAAAAAGACCAGAAATTTTTAACCATCTGAGAGTTATTGGAGCACGAAAGCTGGAGAAGGCTCAAATGGAAACAGAGAAACAAAAGGAGGGAAGAAAGTCACAGATTCAGACAGTGAAATGAAGAAAAAAGCTACCCATAAAGCCACCCTCCTTAAAATAGTGCCAAGGTGCTTCGCAGGAGAAAAGCTTCATCCTTGCTCCTTTGAAAGGTTATAGCCAGCTTGTAAGGCATTGCTCTTGACCAAGAAGGAGTAATTATTTACTGTAATATAAGAAAAATGAAGATTGTGCAATACAAAGACGTCTTACCTGTCACCTCTGTATTAGTAATGATAAAAGCAACCAGAGTTATTTGAAAATGTCACAAGTTTTCTTTCTACGTTTTCTAAAGGAAACAATTTTCAAACTGGAAAAAAAGCTTCTCGCTTCAAGGTTTCCTCCAATGTCATATTTTTCAGAGGCTGAATATAAAATTAAATATTCCACTTAGATTAAACTATTAAACCTCATTCAACTGTGAAGCTAGCGGGGGGGAAAACTGTTCTGTTTTTTTTCTTTCCCTTACTTCACACAAGGGAAATTGTTTTCACTCATTTCCATCTCCCTAAAATACCTTCTTTTTTTCTTCCACCTACCCGTGCACAAAGAATATATGCACACATGGTGTTAGGTTTTACACGCAGATGTTTAAACAGCCTATTGCTAAATGCTTTTTGGAGAGACTGCCTGTCTCTGCTTATGTCTTGCTGCTGTAAACAAATAGGCAATGTCTGCAGATATCTCACAATAAGCAAAGAAGTCACAAACCATAGAGGATCTGGCCTCATTGATCTCTGATCAGCTTATGCCTGAAGGATGATCAGATTTTTTTTCTTCTAAGACCCTTGATACTTCTTCTCCTCATGAAACCAGCCAAACCTTCAAACCTTTTTGAAATCCTGCTGATTTCCCATGCCAAGGAGCTGCACCACTTTATTTCACACTGTGTAAATCTTTTCATAAGCCTCGTAGCTGCTACCTTTTTATTTTCATTTAACCGCTGCTGGTTTTCATGAATGACAACATCATCTCCAGCCCACTCACTATTAGCTCTTCAGTGACAGCCCTCTTTTCTTTCCCTCTCCCCTTTAGCACAAAAGGCCTAATATTCCCATTGTCCTTTAATCAACACCCCACCTTAATAAAGGAGAAAAATAGTAAGGATCAAAAATTATTTCACTCTTAATACTGTCACACTGGAAAAAAAAAATACACGCTTGCTGAAGCTATATAATGATTGTATTGGCAGTCCCTCTTTAAAACACTAATTTTCATTGCCATTCATGTGCACTACACCAGTAATCCAGATGCTAACGCAACCCCACTTCTGTGGCCAATTAGCTATAACCGCTAATGAAGGCTCTGACAGGGAAAGATAAACAAGAAACAAAGGGAGCTTAACAAGCACCACAAGGCACAAGGAACTGAGAGGCAGACGGGCTCAGCCCTGCTGCTGCTCAGCAGAGTGGAACGCGTCCATCTGCTTGTTAGGAGGTGGCCTGTGTCCCAAGGAGGGCTGATTAGAAGCTGGGCTCACGCTGGGAGGTCCAACCCAGCTCAGGGCCTTCCTGGGGGACCCCGGTGCCCTTGGGGCACCCGCTGGGCTTCGCCTGCCAGGGCTCGCGTCAGCAAGAAGGGTACGGGGGTGGCTGAAACCCAGCGGTCCCTCCCGCGCCCCCCAAATCCCAGCGTAAAGCAGAACTCGGGGGACAGGGGCCTGCGCAGAGGAAGGCGAGCACAGGACACAGACACCGCCGCGTACAGGGATTCACGACCAGCTCGGCTCCGCCAGCTCCGCTGCAGAGACTCCCCACGCCACGGCCTTCTCAAGACCCGAGTAACACCAGAGCTTGGCCTCCACAGACTCCAGAACCAAGTACCCAGCTGTCCACAACATCCCTGAGCACAGTGCGTGCTCCAACAGGAGCGTTTTGACATGTGCGTGACTATTCCAAGGGTGAAAGGAGGGGGAAAGCAGGGAACCCTAGAGTGACCTGACATTTCTCCCACTCTACAGAAGGGACCAGCAAGCACTTGGGCAGTTCCACCCCTTACCTTCTGAAAGTCACACGAGGGGTGTTTGCACACAACAGGTTCACAGGTGACAACGCCACTTTGGCAACGGCAGTCTTGGCAGGAATCTGGTTTCCAAGCTGTGTTGTTCTGCAAACAAGCAGAAGTTTTAAATTAGACCCATTTTCTCTACACAAGTTGGGACTATCCAGAGCTACCAGAGCTAAGCAGCTATCGGAGCTGCTGCTCTGACCACCGCTTGCACTAAGGCAGCTGTGGCAGCTCGGAGGCCACCGTGCAGCTGGACACACAGCTGTAGCAGCAAACCCTGTGAGTGTACAGGCAAACACCGACATCCGTGACACCCAACGAGCCCTTCCTAGAGGAGACAACAGCCTCCAAAACAGGGGGCTCCCATGGCAGACACCCCCAGAGCATGGGGCAGATGAACAGAGTGAAATGCAACGTGCCCAGGGATGCCCGGCAGCCCTCCTGCAGTGCAGCCATAATCTCCACGGTAGGAGCAGCGGGCAGGCCAGGAGCACATTCCCTGCATTCATGGTTACTTATGGAAAAGCCTTCAGTTCATACCACGTAAAGAAAATGGAAAGAGAAAGAGCAGTTTCTTATTTGAACAGCTCTCTGCCATTAGGCAGCCGTGCTGTGGGTTGCCTTTATGCGAGATAGCCACTATCCAAGCTGTTAAACCTCATTTCCACTTGATTTGAAAGACGACCAGATTTTGCCCCTCACTTACAGGCCTTGCGATTTACTCCACTAAGTCGATTTACTTGCAGTGTAAATTACTAAATTACTACTTAGGCAAATTAAGATAGCAAAGCATGATCAACCTTTTGCTACTACGAACACATTTTGGGCTGACGACTAAAACCATAAAGCACACTGATAAAACGCCGAGATGTGCCTAAAGGCTCATTAAACTGCTAAATGAGACCAAAAATCTCTTGAAGAATCTGGCAACTTGTTTAGGAGCTTATACAGAAGCTGCTGGGTGCTGGGCTAGTCTTAAAAGCTGCATTTTGTCACCGACAAAATCCACACATCACTCCGGAAGATTTAAGAATTCACACTCCAGCTGATGGTCACGAAACCATGTGATTTTTCGAGGTCATGGAACTACAGACTCACACTTGGAACAGTCAGACTCCGAACCACGGTGATGCTACTGATTTCTCCACAGAAAGGTGGGGATCCTTGTGGAAGTGTCTGCAAGTCAAACAGAAACCTCAGCCACATAAGCAAGATTCCCAAGTGGCTTTTCCAGTGGGAACGGAGCTATCGGTCACGTAGCTGCAAAGCGAGGACCCCGCTGCCATCCAGGGCAGCGTGAGGCTTCACGAGCAGCTCCACAGCGCTTCACAGAGACTCCAGAGCTCCCAATTATTGTTGCTGCATCTGAGACAAAGCAAGACTTTGCAGCAGGCACTCAAAGAACTGCTGTAAATCCCCCTTACATCTTCTCCGAGGCGCTACACCTCAGCGGGTGAATTATCTGCTACAATTTAAGTGTGGAACTCCTAGCCCATTATGAGGATACTTTTATCAATGGATATTTAAAGAGCTTTTTCCTAACAGGACTAATATAATTAACAGTATAAATAATGAAACACTGTGCGCAGAGCACTTGGAAGATGGCAGGCACTGTTTAAGTGCCAAATAGTCCTGGTCTAATTAATAAATTCCCTGAATTTCTTACATCAAAGGAGCAAACGGTATCTAATTTAACTGAATTGTATAATGCCAAGCTGCAAGAAGAGATACCTGAATTAGTAGCTGGGTTTGCACAACATTGGCTAACAAAGCAAAATCTCTTCCCGCGCCTTTAGAGCTTAGATAAAAGCCAACTTAAATCCAAAACATAGCACAAGGACCTGGTGCGTTGTTCAGGGAATACGGCTGAGGAGATGCTCCCAGCTGAGCGCTCTCCTGGACACGGAAAGACCTGTGTCTTTATGGACTTGGCTCTGCTGACTGAGCATCGCAAGCTCATGAGGCTGCATCTGCTCTTCCTCTGCCTCGGGAATGAAAAAGAGCAAATTAAAAATAATTGGGCTCTCCTATTAATACAAAAAATAAAAAGACACCTCCGTAATTTAACCAAATGGAGCTTATCAGGGGATCCTGTTGCACTAAATCACAATCTGTGCTCCATTCTGGCACGGCGCCCGGGGAACCGCGCTGCAAGCAACAGCTGTCTGCGAGTCCCATCCCCATCTCTTAGGGCTTCAGGAAAACAAGCAGCCAATCCCTAAAATGCCACCACGTGTGGCACCCTCCACTGCAACGTGCCGGGCTCGTAGCTCGGGGGATCTGGTTGGCAAATGAAGAGCTGGAAACAACGCAGAGACATAAAAATCAGCCCTTCTACCCGTTCCGGTTTGGCTTTTCTCTTCTGTTACAGGGATGGCTGCCAATGCTGACGGTGTTTTCAAATCTGATATATGCTTGCATACAACAAAACCCAGTTGAAAAAAAAGGTGTTTTAATGGGTTTATTGTGACAGGCCTATTAGCAGAACTACATGGGGACGGCTTAGCCTCTAAAATCCAATCGAAATCCAATTGACTCCATCGGAAACCTATTCAATCTAACGCTCCCACAGCTGGGCAGTGCAGTTAGGGAAGAACATGTAACTTGATCAACAACGTTAACTATATTAATATTAACATAATGCTTCAGGAAATGGCAACTACTAGTACTCGCCCTCAAATTCAAGAATTTCCAAATTACACAAATTAAAACAAGATACTAAGCGTGACTCACTAGTCTGCTATTTTTCTATATTTTCTAACTATGTCTTTTACCAGTTGTCCAGGTCTTTTACAGGAAGAAAAAAAAAAGAGAGAGAGAGAGAGAGAGGCTGTTAGTAAAATTTCATAGCAGTCCTAATTGATTTCAGAGACTATAAATTGGATATTCTTGAATCACTTAAATGCTTTTGCATGCAGCATCCTATCTTTTATACAGACACAAAAGCTGTCACTAGGAAAGCACTCAGACAAATTGAATTCTCAGTGAAGAAACAGGGCACATTGAGCAAAACCAAGAGTTTTAAATCAGTGCTCATAATCATGGTTTAAATTAGCATAGAGAAATCTTGATTTAAACCAACAGGTTCAATAGCTTTTCTGCAGCTGGGCTCCTCTACAGAGGTGGATGCTCCTTGCTTTTTAATGGTTGGTCAGCATTAAAATACACTCATCTGCCCTCAGATGCTGCCTCGGCACTAACCACCGCATACGTTTTCCTTACGGGAAGAAGTGCTGCTGCTCCATGTAAAGGTTTAAGTGGCTGTGCAGTTCAACACATATATATGTCAGCACTGAGGCTTTCCTCCTCCTCTCTAATCAGCTCTTATCAGTACTTGCAAAACCAAAAATGAGCACGAGCACCAAGTGAATAGGATTCCATCAGCTGGCATGAAGTGCAGTAAGCCAAATTGTGTCTTTACCCTTTCGATGGCACCACGATGACCCTCCATCCCCTCAAAATGACGCTGCTTCCCAGAGAATCGAATGTGTGAGAGCTGCCAGGATACAACGAGCTGACACGGGATGCTGGAGGCTGCAAAGCTGCAGGCAGCCACTGGCAGCAACTGTGCACAGAACCGTAGCTTGAAAAGATTATCACAGATTTGAAACCGGCTATTAAGTCATCTTAATCCAGGGCACATACTAGAAGGGATGCCCTAGGGAGCAGAGCTTGCCTATATTTTCCAGAAAATAGTGTTGGCCTTTTGAGCATTAGCTCGTGTGTTCAAAGAGAGGAGGGAACACCCTCCGTAGTCCCAGTATCACTACACGAAATGCTGAAGAAATATTCCCAGCGGGATGCGTAACTTCAGATTGACCCTGTTGGGCTGTGGAAATGCAGGCAGCGTTGGGCAGAACGACTGAGATGGGCTCTGCCTTTCGTGCCATCTCTAACAAAAACAACAGGGCATGAAAATCATTGCAGCTCCGCCAGCTGACTCAGGAGAAAAAGCAAATCTCTTCACTAAGTCACTTGTAATAGGCCTCCAAACACTGTACTGCGTGAGCCAGAACTCTATTGCTGCTCCTTGAAGGCAGTAATAGACCAGGGAGCAATTTTGCAGCCCACTTTGACAAACATATATATATATATATTTTTCCAGTCCTAAGCCAGATATTTAGGAAGTGTACACTTTGAAAGCACAAAGCAGGGAATCACATACCTCGATTCCTACTATGGTTACTGAGGATCCAAGCACAGCAACCTCTCATCCAGCTCCCCCAAAATACAACCCTCTACGTCCCTGTCTTGAATCTGAGCTCGCTGTGCAGCAGCTTAGTGAAGGGCTCTCTTCTTCTTCCTTCCAAGGGGCTGGGGACACTGTGCAAGTCCTGCAGTGTCGTTAATCTTTGTGAATTAAACGCTTCATTACTGAACAAAAATGATGAGGAAAGGCCTGTAGAAAATGAGATTTTATGGGCTCTCTTCACATGCTCTAGTGTTGTATCGAGAGCCTCTGGCTCATCAGGAGCTGTCACCATTTAACAGGGCGGTAATTTTATGGCCAAAGAAAATTTTAAAAAAGCCAGCAAAAGGTGTGTAACAGCCTAGGATTTTATTTGACAATGTGGGCTCAACACTGCGATCTGTTACAAATGATTACATTAACTGCAAACTATAAACCCAGAAATAAAATGAGGCTTAAAACATCCTAAAAAGGGTGAGATGACATACAGCCATATGCATTTGTGCTTGTCTTCTGCAAAGGAAACGGAGCGTCTGCGACATTTTTGATAGATAATATGTATGGAGAAGTCAGGCGGTCCCACGTCTTTCCCACCAACTGTCCTTCCGCCTTGCTTTTCCTTAACAAACCTGCTGCAGAGCCAGTGTCCCGCGTTGCTCCTCATCACCTCCCCACACGTTAGCCCCCCTCCAGCCCTATGGAGAGGGGGTCTATGATGAAGCCCTCCCCTTGGATGGCCCCAAAGGCCTCCCTGCGGGCAGGGCAGGCTCTTCTTCCAAGGGCTCCCTCGTGCCGCGCGGCTGGGCAGGACGCTGAGGCCAGGGCAGCTTGAAGAAAAGGAAAGGAACTCCCGGCCCTCGGCTAGAGCCTAGTCTGGGATGATGGAGCAGGCAGGAAAAGAGTCTGTATCTGCGAAAGGGACTGCTCTGAGGGAGCACGCTTGGCATTTCTAGCAAGGAGAGAGGATTCTCTACTCAACAGCATTTGCACTAAACGGTGCTGTAGGTAATTGCCTGCAACAGCAAGTACGGAGCGTGCAAGTGTGGAGCACAAGTCTCAAGGCCCTGGCAGATATAGAAGCAGTTTTCCCAAAAGATCAATCTAGGCAGCTTAAAAATAAACAATGAAACAAGTTGCTCCAGGAAGAGCCTGGCAGGACTGGAGAGAGGCCCTGGAGCGAAACACCGGGGCGGGTGGGAGCTGCAGCTTAGAGAGGCTGGTGCCAGCACCCAGCGCGCACCCGTTGCACAGAGCCTCCTTTGGCAGCACATTTTCCCTCCTCATCCTTGGATTTCAGGACTGTATCTGCACACGCACTTCACCTTGCGCTGGGCCAGCCCTGCCTCGTCCCTCCCAGCTCTCTCAAGGGGAGGCAAGAAAAGCACTCACCCAGTGACAGCAGTTTCAAAACCCAAGCCTCCCTCTGCAACCGCAGTTTGCAAGCGCCAGCAAGATCAGTGCTGGGCAAGGAGAACGCAAAGAGAAGTCTCTCATCCTCTTCGCCTCCGTCTGTGGGTAGCACATGGAAAGCACTAATCCCATGCAGCCCATCACTGCCGACAGGGAAAGCTGCACAGCCTGGAACCAGCAGCCAAACTGTTTCAAGGATGAGTCCCGGGCACCAGGAATGCGATCGATGCCGGTGCGGAGCAGGGGAATGAGCTGAGCTCAGCAACACGGGCCCTGCTGTTCACAGGGTCCCACGCCAGCCCAAAGGCGTCGTTTCTTACACCTATAACAAAATGCACCTCATTCAAAGCCAGCTGAGGAAAACTACGGTTGGCTGTTTCTTGCTCCAAAAAGGAAGAAATTCCATGAGTTTAAGGTTATTCCTGCTCATACCCTCATCTTAACTTTCCCCACACACATCTTCATTAACAGGAGGTGTTACTGAATCGTAACAAAGGCAGCGCCAGGTCCTGCTCTGGGATTTTTTAATGCATTTTTCATTCTCTTTAGGTTTTTTTCCCTTCCTCTCTATTGATTATTCAGCTTTTATGAGTTTTTCCTTCTCTCGCTTGCAGCACTGACCGGCCTCGCGCTCGGGGCTGGCCGGGGCTAACGAGAGGGGCGACCTGCCCCGAACTGACCCAGCGCGACTGACAAACCCCGTCACTGAGGCTGACAACAGCCACCGAAGGCCGCGCGCTGCGAGACCTGCCGCCCAGGCTACACTCTTCCAAATACCCCCTTCGGATGCAGGACACAGGCGGCAGCAGAGAAACAGCAACCCTCGCTCTGCCTGACAGGCTCCGAAGGCAGCCAGAAGTGGAGTGAAATATGGGAGACAAAGAGATCCTTGAAGGTTTAAGGAAAAGAACTGATATTAGGGGCAATTTTTACTTGAGGTGTCTTGCCAGGATGAGATTTGGCCCAATTTTCCTTGCTGTCTCTGAGTCAGATAAGACATAAGCAAAACCACAGTACCGTTGCTCTCAGCAGATTAGGTTAATTGGCATGGTTGGCCCTCACCCAGAAATAAATTGTATTTTACATGGAAAAGTGGCAGCATTCAGTGGGAAATAAATTGCAGACTCTCTCAGGCTCCTCCTGGAAGGGTTCCTTCTGCTTTCATTAGTCAGAAGCCCTGCTTGAAAGGTCATGGCAAAAGAAATATTTATTTATAATTAAAGCCTTGTAATCCTATCTAAAGCATATTTATTTTATGATGCATAAAAACATGTAAGGCCACGATTCTATGAACTGCTCTTCCAGAGTGATGTCAGGAGTTGTTTAAGAATAAATACAACATGCTCTTTGCATAACCCTCCAATTTGTTCCTTTTACTACAGTTTTTCTCTTCAGAAAAGCCCCTTTTACACAACTTGACTTTCCAGAACAGAAACAAGATGCAGGACCAACATTACCATGCCCTCGAAGGCTGGTGCACATGAATTTTTCACTCTCACCCCTTTTTCAGCACTTAGCACCTTGCTCAGAATAGGTCTGTGATAAAAGCTCGGGAAGAATTTATACAGCAAAGCTGCAAGGGTGACTGGAGCAGTAAGTGTGAGGAAAATGTACATGCTTAGGCACTTACCTAGACCCCTGAAACCGGAGCAAGTGGTACCTTAAATCTCTTGGATGTTCATGGTTTAGAAAAGAGACAGTCTTTATCAAATCACTTTTCCCCTTTACTACGGGGCTGTCTTAATCTACAGGAGACACTCTATTAAATATTTAGCAGTGGCAAAACCCACACATGCCTCCAACTTCACATTGACGAGGAAAACGCATCCTCCTTCCCCTTCAGTCACTGAATGGGCTGCATGTCACCCAGAGGAACACCTGAAAACCTGCTTCCTGCTAGAACCACTTAAATTCTGTTCCCTTAATAGGCTTAAAAGAAGGTTTGCTGATACTTTTTTCAATGCACGTCTCGCAGGTGCGATAAAGCTCCTGGCATCGATGTCCATGAGCGTTCGGAGACAAGAGAGTTGCAGGAGGCTCTCAGCACGTCACTCGTGGAGCTGCAGAGGGGATCTGCCAGCTCGGGGATCACTCGCTGACATGGGGCCAGTTAATTCTTGTCGCGCTACTTTGTGCTCGGCTAGAAATAATGGCTGTCTCAGCACAAAATTAATAATGACGCTGGGATCCGGCATAACTGCGGTGAGCAGAGCTGCAGGGAGAGCAAGACGTTAAATCCAGTCTACACCTTTGCTGGGAAAAGGTTCTGGTGGGCAGCATCACTCTGCAAAACCGGGGGGGCAAGTGGCACCAATTCAAGTGGCACCAATTCAAGTGACACCAAGGCAAAACTGGACTTGCCCTCCTGCTACCTTGACGGCTGCCACAGCACTGGTGCCCACCGATTTCTCCTTCCTCTTCTCCATTCCCATTTTTTTTAACCAAGAAATAGAACTAATCTGCGTTCAGATGTACCTGAATTCCCTTTCTGTTGGATATTGCCCTGTGGCTTCCCCATAATCTGGAAGGGGAGCCATAAAGCACCTCTTCAGCAACAAGAGTTGACCCGATCTCGTCTTTTGGACCTTTTGGAGCACGCCAGCGCTGCTGTCGCCCATCCGCCTGTCTGTCACAGCCTCAAACTCGTGCCTGATGCTTCCTGTTCAACACTGTGAGAAATGTTGTTTAAGGCTGTGGAGAAAAGCTGCCGTAATGCACAGTCATGACCTGACAGCTCGTTCTTTAGGGCCTTGGGAACATTAAGTATTTCAGTGCTTTCTTCCATAGCGTAGTAAACATTGCACTTTAAATCCACCTGATAGGTATTTTAAGTCTTGCTATTAATCTTATTT